AAAAGCTTTTAATATTTTTTAAACCCCAAGAAATGAGTGCATAGTGAGTACTTTAAGTAAATAAATTTACTTAAAATATACTGATTATAAAATTAGCCATTGAAAATCACATGACTTTAAGGTGAAGACGTCAAAATAAATAAATGATGAATCAGCAAGTAATACATAACTGACATTTTGTAGAAGTACATAACTATGTATAATACTATTTTCTGCTAAAATTTCATATCTTTTTTAATTATTTCCTAACCTCTTACCCCCAATCTAAGGGCTAAAGGCCTATTTCATTTCATCGTTTTTTGAAGTCCATCCTCCAATTTTTTTATCAACAAATTTTTATCAGTCGAGATGGACTGTTTCCTTTACATTCCCTCCTTCTATTTCTTCGCCAAATTTTGTCCCTTCGACTTTCAACTCTATTCCTTTGTAATAATTAAATATATAGTTCCGATTTGGTTAAATTCTTCGGCGAAAGAAAATTTGATAGTAGCGGTGCAAATAAATTGACTGAGGAAACCCGTCTAGTTTGAGAGAAAAACAAACTCCATTTTGTGAGTACTCTTACTAACTAAAATTTTTTTACAAAAATATTTTCATTTTAAATTCTGAATGTTTTTTTTTCATTTTTAATTTTATTTTAAAATTGATATTTTTATAAAAAAGTTTTTTTATGATGATGAGCCTTTAAATAATTTTTTGGTACTACATATGCGTTTATACTCCTGCGTTTTCCTTTCTTTTTTCTCAAAAAGGATTTAAATGGTAAATAAAGAAGGATTAAGTTATCGTATTATCTCTAATAGAATGCCTGTCGTTCTATGTATTTCTCAATAATCCTTCAAACCCCATCCCATAGATTTGGCCATTCAAATGGAGGGGCCAATCTGTTTTTAATTCAGCCCCCAAAGTAACATTCAATTGGACCGGGATAAATTGAAGAGATAATAGAACTTAATCATTCTTTAGTTACCATTTACCATTTTGTAATATTTTCGAGAAAAAAAGGAACAATGAGAAGAAAAGGAAAATTTAGTTGTATAAACGCATAGTACCAATTTTTTGATTAAAAATTCGTTGAATATATACTTATATCACTTGCGTTTAATCAATTTAATTAAATTTCAAAATTTCTAAAAAAAGAATAATTTTTAATCAAAAAAAATTCTAGAAAAAATTTTTCCTTCAAATTTTATTTATTTACACAGCTAAAATTCAATCGACTGCTATTTTCCCTTTTTATCATTTTATTGGAATATTCCCTCTCCCTTTCTCTCCCTTCCCCCTTCTAATATTCTCGCCAATTCCCGCCTTTATTTTATCTAAAATTTACAATTTTTATCTAATAATTTTTATTAAATGATAAATAATCATCTCTCCATATAAGAAGGGAAAAGGAAGAAACCTTTTGCACTCTCACTTTTGTCATAATTTTTATAAATTAAAAAAATTGGGAGTGATATTTTTACAAAATTATTTTTAAAATTAAATTATTTTTTCTTTGCTATTCTTATCCTCATTTTTTAATTTTTTCATTTTTTCTCCTTCAATCTCAACCATTAAAATAATTTTTCTTTTTTAAATTAAAGATTTTTAAAAACAAATAAATTAAAAATGTCACCACCAAAAAACAATAATTTTAATAATAATTCAATAAATAATTCCTTAATTACCAATAATTCAATTAATTCTGTATATACTTCCCTAAAACCCCCAACATTTTTCGTTACCGATCGTCGAATGTTGGCACACAAAAATGAATGGGATTTAGACCATATCGACACTCCTAAAAGACTTGCTGCTGTTTTGGATATGCTCGAAGTAATTTAAAAAAAGAAAAATTAAAAGATTTCTTAAAACAATTTAGAATGAACATTTACTCGATCAATGTCAAGTAATTGATTCTGCCGAATGTTCAAATGCTGATCTCAGGCATTTTAAATAAATAAATAAATAATTTAAAAAAGAAATGTTTATAGATTAGTACATACACAAGAACATATTGACAAAATTCGAGAGGCATGTGAAGAATTAACTGATATAGCTAGTATGGAAAATTTTTGTAAAGGAATTGAAGATGTTTATATAAATAAATATACTTGGGTAATTATTGAAAGTGAATAAATAATTAATTTTTAAAAAGAAATGTGCCCTTTTGGCTGCAGGAAGTGCTTTAAAAGCAATGGAAGCTGTTTTAGAATATAATAAAAATTTAAATAAAGAAAAACAAAGAATTGAAGAAGATTCCGAATATTTAAATATACCTGCCCCAAATTCTTTTGCGGCTATTCGCCCTCCAGGGCATCATGCTTCGGCAGAAACTTCTTGTGGTTTTTGTATATTTAATAATGTTGCTATTTGTGCTAAAAAGGCGAGACAAATGGGTGTTGAAAGAGTTTTTATTTTGGATTGGGATGTACATGCTGGACAGGGTAAGGGGGTTTCTGTCAAAAGAATATTTCCAAAATTTCCATTTAAAGGTACTCAATATTGTGTTGAAGGTGATCCAGGAATTTTATTAGTATCTGCTCATCGATATGAAAATGGACAATTTTGGCCTGAACTTTCAGAATCTGATATTTTTAATGAATGTAAATTAAAGAGAAAAATGTTTTTTTTTAAATTAATTTTAAAGACAAAAACACAATAAATATTCCTTTAAATGAAATTGCTTATGGGGATGCTGAATATTCTGCATTAATGCATTTCCTTATTCTTCCATTAATTCAGCAATGGCAACCTGGACTAATACTTGTTTCTTGTGGTTTTGATGCTGGAATTGGTTAAAGAAGAAGAATATTTTTTTAATTTTGATTTCTTTTTAAGGAGATCCTCAAGGGGAAATGGAAGTTAGTCCAGCTGGTTTTGGCTATATGACTAGTTTATTGGCTAATTTGGGGATACCTTTATGTTTGGTATTAGAAGGAGGTTATTTCCTCGAAAGTGTTGTACAAGGAACTCGTTTTTGTATGAAAGCTCTTTTAAACAGGGTAAAAGTTTAATTTTATATTTGAGTATATGTACTATGTATTTTATCAATTAACCTACCTCATATTCCAAAACACACGTAATCTTAATTAATAATTACTCATTCAGCAATGGGTTTCGAGAGCAAAAATAATAAATAAATAAATAAATACAATTATTTACATAACTTTAATTTATTATAATTATTAGACTCCTCCAGTTGTCAATTTTTGTCATCGACCGCCTTCCCCGATATTTCTTGGAACTCTTTATAATGCCTTACAAACATTTAAACATCGAACAATCAACAACAATTTCCCTTTATTTAATTCATTTATTCATCAATTAAATACGCTTAGATGTGCACTTTGTTCAGCTACGGATAGAAGAAAAAGGCGTGAATTGGCGCCTATTGGAGAAGTAATTTACCTAATTGTTTTTTGAAGAATTAAAAATAAATAAAAACAAAATTGGAATATATAAAAATTAAATTGAGGCAGAATAGGGACTTTTGTTTTGGGAATGATCGAGTTATTTAACAAATTCATTTAAATTATCAAAAAAATAGTTTAGCCTCTCTATATTTTTTTAAATTTAATTTTTAAAGATGGAAAACGGCAAATCAGGCAATAAAGAAGGAGAATTTCCGTCTTCCCCTTATTTTGGCGATCGAAAATCTGTACAAATAGCATTAGCAACAAATACATATCCAACTAGAGGACAATACCCTCCAAGAGTTCCTGCAATTGAAAAACAATTCTCTCTTCGTTTAAAACAATTAATTGAGCAGTATTCATTAAATACACAATATGAAGTTTAATTTAAAATTAAATTTATTTTTATTTAAAAAATTATTTTTAAAGAGAGCCGTTCTTGATTTTGAATTAGATATTAATGGAAAACTTTTATTAATATTACCTAATGGAATTATTAAACAAAATGGAGCTAATAATAATTTTAAAGAATTACTTCAATTTAATAACTGTCAACAATTTTTGCTTTTATATTTTTATGTAAGAGAAATTAAATAATTATTTTAAATTTTTTAGGGGTAAATTAAATTGATGTAGAATATTTCAAACTTGGTAATGGATATGGATTTTGGTATCTGTATCCGAATATTTATGGCGGATACAGACGGATATACGCAGTCATTTTTAACTAATCTGTATCCGTACCCATTACCAAGCCTGGAATATTTCTTATTCCCCCCCCCCCCCCTTTTATTACCGTCTTCAAGCATTTTTGGAGATTTGTTTCCAGAATTTCACAAAATTATTTATTAAATCACAAAAATATTTTTTAAATTTAGGTACTTTTGCCATTGAATTTTACTTATATTGATGTTAAACTTTCAAAAAATAAATTACCATTATGTTCTAGTCAACTCGATAAATTAATTAATTTAATTAAAAATATAGAGAATAATAAATTAATTAATGGATATAATAATGAAAAAGAAAAATATATTACCGATTTGGAAAGAATTTTGGATGTTTTTGCACAAATGAAGCCTTTCTTTTTATTTTAAAATCTTTCAATTTTTCTATATCTTTCTATATCTTTGTAAATAATTTTAAAATTTTAATTTTTCCCCGTGAATTGTAAATGTGTAGATGTATATTTTTTAAATAATAATTTTAGATAAAAATATTTTAATAATTTAAATTATTTTCAAAAAATCGGCATTTTTGAAGATGAGAACAAATTCGACATTTTTGGACTTTCTAAATGGTATCGATGACAAGTTTATAAGAATTTTTATAGATTTATGGTATTCGAACATATGGGAAATTCCAATAGCTATTCCTTAAGTTTATCCACAATTGAATTTTTTTGGGGTTTTGAATTTTTAAGTAAAAAATTATTTTTAAAGGTTAAATATAATTGGGTATGCAATATACCAATTATGTACACTATGTCAGAAAATTATAAGCACCCCCTAGTTTTAAGTAAAAAACATAATTAAATTTAAAATAAATAAAATTAAAAAAAGTTTAATTTATATGCAAATACAATTAATATTAAAAATTATTTTAATTTAAATACAAATCTGTCGGCAATGGTGAAACATCTGGAGAATTTGGTTGATTAGAAAAAGATGAGGAAGAGGAGGAAGAAGAAGATGAATTTATTGAAAGTCCAGATTGTATTAATGGAGGTGTTGATATAAAAAAATTTGGATTTTTATTAATTAGAATTTTAGATATTTGTGGGTTTTGTTGTTGTTGTTGTTGATTATCACAATTAATTGTATCTGTCTGAAATATAAATATTTTTAAGTTAAAATACACTTTCTTGTTTTATTTCAACTAGTTCGAAATGTTTTTTAAGGATTATATGATAAATAGGGATAGGATTTGTAGGTTGGACATTTTTTGTTTATTAAGTACGAGGATGTGCAAGGTATCGATACGAGATACAAGGCCAAAAATAATGCTGCTAGTACAAGGTACGTGTACGTGTAAAACAGAAATTTCGAAGTACTGGTTTTAACTTAAAAATCCGATGCCTATTCTAGACAAAATATATATTTTTCATTTATATTTTGAATTACCTCAGATAAACATCTATTTCTTAAATTAATTAATAATTCTTTTCCTCTTTCACCACTATTTATTTTAACATCATTATTAATCTTTATTGCTGATGTCTTTTCTTTATAACAACAACAATAATTAATATTTTTATTTTCATCATTAGATATAGAACGGTTATTTATTTGTTGTTCCGTTGGTTTTTTAAATAAATTAGGGAATGTTAAAGAATTATTTGAATTTCTTATATTTGCTGATAAATCTGCCCAGATTGGTGAATCTTTTAAAGAAAAATATTTAAAAATAAATATTTATTTCTTACGATTTAATAATAAACTTGAAGTACTAAAACAATTATTATTATTTTTTATTCTTCTTCTTCTTATTGGAGAAATACTGCTAGATTCATCATCTTCTTTATTATTAATTCCTTCAAAACCTTCAACAGAATTTCTTCTAAATTTTTCTTTATTTTTCTTTAATAAAGAATAACTTATTCTATATAAAGAAGTATTTGTTTGTTGGGGTAATAAAAATAATTTAACTTTTTTTGAACATAAAGTACGTGGTCCTCCACTTAAATCTGACAGACGAATTTGGATTTGTGTGTTTTTAGGTCTGATAACCTGCAGAAATTAGAGAGAATATTTTGAAAAAAAATTTAGAATATATAGTTATTTTCTGAGATTTTTTGTTAGAAAAGAATCGAATCTAAACAAGATATGAACAAGGCAGATTAAAAATGGATTAATCCGGTGTCGGTTTCTTTTATCTTTTATTTCTTCTCATTTCCCCAAGCATCACTCATTTAAATTTGGATTCCCTCCGCCCTGGACCTAAATTTCTGAAAAATCTTCCTGTTTATCAAAATTCATTAACTAGGCTTGTTATATATATCCAGAAATTATTTAGTAGCCTTTTAAAAAATTACTTGGTCTGTATAGCTAACAGTCAAAGTAAGTGTTAACGGCAATTTTTTATATTGTTGATCACGGCTAATTTGTGCCCATTCTAAATAACCAAAAGGCGGGCAAATACATTGAATTGGACCAAGAAATATCGAACGGTCAGCAGAATACATTAAAATTTTAACTTCTTTAATAAATGTAGCTGATTCTTGATTATTTAATAAATTATTTGTTGTTGTAGGTGGCTGTATTTCCCAATCACTATCCAAAAAAATCTTTAATAAAAAATAAAATTAGAAAAAAATACAAAAAATATATGTATGTAAATTAATTTCAAAATTAATTTTAATTTTTAACATAGGTAGTTAAAAATTAAAAATTAAAGATTTTATTTTAATCAAATTTTCTAAATTTAGGACCCGAGACCCAAATTCGAAATTTACACTAATCGGCCCCAAAATATCAATCACAGGTGCGATTTTCTGAGGTAAAAAAGTTTATACAAATGTTAGCTCAAGCGAAAGATCTCCTCGAGCTGAGTCGAATGCTGTTTCAAATGCGCTATCATTAAAAAATCGAATTCTTCACCACAAAATTGAGATTACTGCCCAATATGGTTTTTCAATCGTTAGGCCCCACAAAATATACCAATTTAAAAAAAATAAAATTTAATTTTAAATATTTTTAAACTTCAATTACCTTAAATCTATAAATATCATTATTATTTCCTTTCCCAATAATTGTATTGTTTTTATTTGTTTTTGTCATTTCTAATGTTCTACTATACATACCAACATGTAAAAGTATAGAACATTCAATTTCTTCATTTTTATTTTTCCATTCAATATTTTTTGATGAAGTTTGTGGACTACATTGACAACAATTCTTGTTTTGTTCAGAATTATTTAAATTTAATTGTGGGGATTCTATTGAACAAGGATAATTACATAATTGAACATTCATTGCTCTTAATTCATCTAATTTTAATATAATATAACGTCTAACGGCTACGGGTTCAATGCCAAGACTTTCCAAATCCTTTGAAATAAAATATTTTAATTGTTTTTGAAGGTAGTTATTTAGTTAATTAAAAAATAATAATAATAAAAATTTAAATTAATATTAAAGGTATCTTTTTGTTAAATTGTTCTACGAATTATTAAAAATAAGTTATTAAAAATAATTTTGAATTAAAAATATTTTCTATTAAATTTAAATAAATTTAAATTTAAAATAAACTTTTTCAGTTATTTCCATCAATCTAGGTCCATTAATTCCATATTGGAGAACAGATGAAATTATTTTATCAACAGTAGATTCCGGAAAATCGGAAGAAGCTGCTGCAGCAATATTCTGTACCCATTCACATACACAATCTTCATTCCATTCACAAACATTTTCTACATTCTAATTAATTTAATTTTTAATTCTAACACTCATATACCACTCAAGATGCTCTCCCTCCCCTTCATATATTCCCAAAATGTCCCCCACCCCCTCACCGTACCCCCTTCTGCACCTCGAATACCCTTCTCCCCCTCCCTCCCCCATATACAAATTTAGATACCAAAATATCAACCATATGTAAAAAATTTCGATGGCTATTTTCCCTTTTACGTAATGCCTGTTCTCTTCTTTTCAAATCCTCCATTTGCCTAGCTAAATCTAACTTTAATTTATCCAATTCATTTAATTGTTCTTGTATTCTTTCATTCCATTCTCCATTTCCTTGATCTATTAATTGAGCACATTCTGCACGTAAATCTTTATCTTGACTTAATCTTTCCAAGACACCAAGAACTTTAAAAATATATGTGTAAATATTTGTTTATATAACACAATCCTCCTAAAAACTCTCTACCAAAATTTAACCTCCCAATTTAACCAAATGTTTCCGAACTTTTAATTATTTTATTTAATAGTTCTTGAATATAAAGATGAATTATTGGTGTTTACATTTTATTTTTTTTAATTTTGTAAAACAAACCATAACGCATTTCAGGTCTATCTTTGGATGATTGTCTCCAACATCTTTCAAGTAAATCAGCTAAAGGTTCTGGACAAGTATCAGGAATACAAAGTCTAACACCGTGTTGAGAAATTATTGAATAAATTCTTTTTTAAATATTTTATTTATTTTTATTTTAAATTTTAATTTACTTAAATTCAGTCAATCCATTATATGGAACTTGTCTAGAAAAAAGTTCCCACAAAACAACAGCAAAAGACCAAACATCTGTTGCTGTAGTAATTCCCTCTCTTTGTGATATAATTTCTGGGGACATCCAAGCAGCTGTTCCACCCCAACTCGGCGCTGTCCACGAACTTGTTAAATCTTTTGACGTTCCAAAATCACAAATTTTACATTGAGGAGAATTTTTATTTCCCAAACAGCCAATAACCACATTTTTTGATTTTAAATCACGATGAATAACCGTTATTGGGGCATCATAATGTAAATAAGCTACTCCACGTGCTATCTGTTTTGCCCATTTAATTCTTCTCTCAACACTTAAATGTTCGTTTGTGTTGTGCAAATGTTCATATAAACTGCCCATTCTTTAATAATTATTATTATTAAATTATAAACCAGTAGTCCTTTTGAGGAGCATCCAATATAGATAAATTATTTATCCATATTTAAATTATTTTAAGGGTCTTAACATTCAATGTTTCAATTTAAGATTAAAAACACTTCTGCACTACTTAACCAACTTCCGTCAGGTATCTTTACCAACTTCCGTCAGGTATCGAACCTGAGTCTCCCCTTAAGTGCAAGGCGGGTGTTCAAATATTTATTGGGTTTTAGTAAATATTTAAATATTTTTAAAATTTATTTACTCACTCAGCATATTCTGTAACAATATAAAAATCTGGATTTGCTTGACTAACGCCATAAAGTTGAATAATATTTCTATGTCTAATTTGTGAAAGTATTTCTACCTTGAAAAGGAAATACTTAAATTTATTCAATTTATTTTACTTCTTTTTCAAGCATAAATACTTTTTTCATTGCAACAGATAAAGTACGCCCATCTGGACGTTCCCAAAGACCTTTAAAGACTGCACCTGAAAAGATAAAATTTAAATTTAAAAAATTATTTTCTATATAAAAAATAAACAAGCAACAATTGATGTAATCTGACCGAGGCCGGGTATTCAAAAAATCTAGCTTTATCAAAAACACCAAGTTCAGAGCTATTGAACTCTAATTATAAGATATCTTACATATTTTCATTAATTATTCAGATATTCTTAGCTAATTATTGAACGGAAACTGGATGTTTTAAAAGAAATTTCCTAAGAAATCACAGCAGTTTTTAATTCTGTGAATTTCTAAAGAGAAAGTCTAAATCACAGAGAGTCGGTTTAGATCTTCCCTGTCCATTATATATAAAGAGTCAATCCATTATTTAGTTAACCTTATTTAAAAATCTCAAAAAATAACCATAGGTTCCAATCCCCAATTGTTCTTTAACAATTAATTGTTCTCTTGGAATTAAGGAATAATTATCAAATAAAGTATTAAGTCCATCTATTGTTGAGGGAGAAGATGAATCTGAGACGGGAGAAGAAATACTAATTTTATTTTCATTATTTTCATTATTAAAATTAATTTTTGATGAAATTTTTGTAGGTATTTTTTGACAGGTTTTTGGAGAAGAAGAAGACATTGACGAAGTTGAACACATTTAAATAAAAAAATTATTAAACTGATTTAAAATAATTGCAAAATTTTGAAAGATTTGGAGATTTTTCGAGATTCTGGATATCTATTTCAGAAAAGATTTCAGAAATTTTTGCAGTAAGGTATTTGCAGACATATTGGTCGCGAGCTGGACATTTGCCGAAAACAGTTTTTAATTAGGAGTTAACCACAAGAATTTCATTTATAAGTGAATTTCTTCAATTAATAACAACATTCGGTAATCAATTTAATTTAAGAATTTTGTGGCCAGGAAATTAAAGGGAGTAAATGTTAGATTGACTTTTAAAAAATATTTTTGTATATTTTGTAAGAAAAGTAGAAAAATAAATTTCGGAGAGAGAAAAGTAAAAAAGTGATGTACTATGTACATAATATTAATTAACAAAAAATTAAAAGATAAAAATGATAAATATTTATTTAATTAAATATATTCAATAATAAAGATAAAAAGAAAATAAATATTAAAATAAATTTAAAAAAAATCGAGAGTGAGAGAGAGACAAGCACAGACTGGTTGTGTATATTTAGTCACGAGAGTTGATCAAAAATAAAATAAAAATTATTTAAAAAAATGTCATTTAGGTATATATTTATTTATTTAAAATCATCAATTTTTGTATTAAAAAATTAAAGATTTTTGCAAGTTATTTAAAATCAAAGATCTTTTGTTTATTTTGATATTCTAAATGTATTTTCTTTTAATAAAAAAATATTTTTAAAATTTTATAACAAAAATTTATTTTTTTTCTCAAAAAATAAATATTAAATATAAATTTAAAAGTTTCAAGGCTTTAATAAGAGAAAAGAAATTAAAAAATATCTGATGATATTAACGTGAACAGTTGGATGGATATATTCTTAAAGCTTTTAATTTGTTGCAAGAATATATTTATTTTAGGTTTATAATAGATTAAAGAACAAAAAAATAAATAAAATTAATTTATATTTTATAAAGCAAAACACAATTTAAATTTAAAAATCTTTAATCAATTATTTTAATGTTTAAAATAAATTAAATAATTTTAAAAATTAACAAAAAATTGTTAAAAAATGTTTATTTTTTATTAAATAAAATTATGTAAATATTTATATCAGGGCTGGGCGAATTTCGTATTTAGAGTAAAAAGTTTCGCATTTCGCATTTCAAATTTTATTTTTAGATTTCGCCCAGCCCTGATTTATTTATAATTTAAATTATGGCACAACGTTTTTGTTTAGAAGAAGAATTTATTAAATTATTAATTCCTCCTCCTTCTCCTCCTTTTTCATTTATTAAATCAGTTGCATTTAATGTTAAATTTCTTCTTTTTTCCAATGAAAGTAAACGTTGAAATAATCTTTTTTTTAATTTATTTTTTATTAGAAATAATTCCACAAATATATTTAAATCCCTTTTCTTTCATTCCCCTCCCCCCTCCACCTCCTCCTTCTCTCTCTCACCCTCCCCCCCTCTAAAAATTTATTCAAAATATATTTAAATATATTTACTCAGTTATATTTTGCCCCAATTTTGCACTTGTTTCAACAAATCCACACCCCCATCTTTGTGCCAATGCTTCGCCTGTTTCAAAACTAACTTCTCTTTTTGTTGATTCGTCTATTTTATTTCCAACCTTTGAAAAATTTTTGTTTTTAATTTTTAATAACTAAATAACCAAAACAATCGGTACTTCCATTATTGCCTCATCTCCTCTTATCTATAAATTATTAAATTAATCCCCTTTAAATCTGTTTCTCAATATCATGATGAATAAATATAACCCAAGAGAATATATAATTTACATTAAGTACTCCCTCCCCCCCCTCCAAGTTGTAATTAACCACCTCTTTAATTGTTCTAACAATAGGTCCAAGTTCTTCTAAACTTTGTTTTGAAGTAATTGAATAAACAAGAATAAAAGCATTCCCCTTGTAAAATTTATCTTTTTTATTAAATTTATTTTTAAATAAAAACTCTCTGCATTGCAAGTCTTTGCATTGCTGGGAATTGATGAGAACCAGTTGTATCAACTAAATGAAGGGTACAAACAGCTAATCTACCTTGATCACTACAATTAATTACCTAGAAAAAATATTTTTTTCTTAAATTTCTCCAAAAATCACTTGTTGGTATGTATCTTCAATTGTTGGGGAATAAACATCGGTAAATGTATTTTTAATAAATCTTTGAACTAATGAAGATTTCCCAACACCTCCAGCACCTTTTTATTTTTAATTATTTTGAGCTTTTACTAAAAAATTACCAAAAAGAGCAACCCAATAATCCTTTTGTTGGTCTTCAGAACTTGAAGAAGATGAAGGGGCAGTAGCAACAACTGGAGAAGCATTCTCAATTGTTGGTGTCCCAATTTTTTCCAAAGAGGAAGAATACATTGGTGGTGTGGGTGTATTAGGTAATGATGTATTAACTTTAAAATAAAATCTCTCCAAAAAACTTCACCTATTCCCTACCTCCACTCGCAACAGACTCCCCTCCTCCTCCACTTTGTGGACGGGAATTTTGTTGTAAAATTGGTGGAGGTGTAGAATTACCCAAAGCTTTGGCCAATAAAGAATTTTGTTGTTTGATATGGTCGCGTTTACCGGCACTTCCACTCCTTCTTTTTGTTGGAGTGCCACTACCACTTCCAATAATGGAAGCAGCATGGGGGCCACTCCCCACTGAAGCCCCCTTACGTTCAGCAACAATCTTTTCCTTTTGAGAAGAAATAATGGAAAAAACTATAAATAAAAAAATTTTGGATAAATTCTTTTTTTGAATTTAATAGCTAGCAGCTGTGGCCTAGCACAGAAATAATTGGATTGGAATAATAAAATTTAAAAGATTTTTTTGAAAATAATTTTTAATATTTTTTTAATTTTAAATAAATTTTTAACAGATCTTAAGAATTAGGAAAAACATTATAGAGATTGTTTTAAAAAATAAAGAAAGGAAGTATTTAATTAAAACATTTTTGTAATTAAAAAATAAAAAGTTTCTCTGTGTTAATTATTTAAAAAAATTTTTTTAATAAAATTATGGTCAAAAATATTTTTTCTTCTAAATATCTTTAAAAAAGAAAGAAATAAATACTGGAGATATAAAAAGAAAAGCTCTCCTTTTTTGTTATATTTTTCTTCCCTTTCCATTTAATTTTTTTTGCCAATTTTTACACGCTGATGCCAAACAAAAATGGCCAGCGCAGCTGCATATATTCATTTTCTCCTTTTTTCATTAAAGAATGAAAGGAAAATCATGTAGTCGTGGAATTTTGTGATAGAGAAAAAAACGGAAAACGTGGGAGGAATGGAAGGGAAGGAAGGTTTTTAAGAAAGAGAAAAGAGAATTCCAAACAGAAACCATTGTTAATTCCCCTCAACATTTTTCCCTTTTTTCTGTATCAATTATTCATTTCTTATTCCTTTATTTTTTCTCTCATTTTATATTTTTTAAAAATTAGAAGAAATTTATTTTAACACCAATCTCCTATTTAATTAAAAAAATTATTCAATTGCAAATTAATTACTACTATTAGGGTTCCATGGAATGTTGTGACTTTAGGGGGTTTTGTTGGCTTGACAGATTTGGCCGAATGAGGTGTCATTCGAGAGAGCTCGGTGAACTGAGTTTAATGACACCAAAATCAGCTCAAATGAACAAGTTTGGACAAAGTTGTGACAAAGAAAAACAATGTAAACTTATGGGCGTTGGCGAGACGCTTGCCCCTATAATTCACAATACCCCGTTCATGTGTTAACAAATCCGAAAATCATTTTTCAAAATATTCTTTTAAATTACCAGCAAAATAAACTTAATTTTAAATATACTATTTAATTTTTTAGACGTAAATATCTTTAAAAATTTTGGAAATTTCAATTAAAATTTTGTGAAAAATATTTAAAAATTAATAATAAAATTATTGATTTCTTGACGCGTGACAGCTTTTTAAGCAGAAAAAAAATAAGGGAAAAGGGCATATCCCTAAAAAATGTTTTTGTTAAAAGCCTCCAAGCCTTTTTTAAATGGCAATTCTTTCTCTCTCAAAAAAATATATTTTTATTAAAAAAAGTTATAAACTAAAAATACCTTCAGAAAAACAACAAAAAAAAATCGTCAGTCATCAAAAAAAAATATTTTCTGTAAAAACCTCTTTGTATATATCACCACCAATCATTTATTGATAAGAGTAAAATGCAATCCCTCCACTACTTTCTGCCCCATATTGTTGGTTAAACGATGAAGATGAGGTTTTTGTTTCATCTGTTGCTGCCTTACTATCTAATCTTTTATTATACATTTCCCAATCTGTTCTATAAAAAGAAAAAAAATTTGTTTAAAATAAATTTGGAGAAGGAAATTATTTTTTTAAATTTTCTATGAGGAGGATCCATAGCCCGCAAGAAAAGCAAAAATGTTCATTATTATTTTGACACTTTTTTAGTTTTGTTTACTTTCCAAAAAAACCCCTTTTATGAATTTATTTATTAAATTAAAATTTCTCTCACGTGATGTTCCATTCTCTCAATTGATCCTCTGTCCAACCAATGTTTCGTACAAATTCATTTAATGTTGCCTCCCCCAATACCAGTTTTAGACAATACAAAGTTCCGGGGAACTTTCCTGGGTTAGCCTCACATTGTGCAATTAATTCAATGTATTTAGAAGGATTCACGTCTTTCAATGGATTTTGACGTCGTTGTTTTTCCTAAAAAATTTATTTAACAAAATATTTTGTAAAAAACAAACCCGAAGTTGCTCCAGATTAGAAGAATTAAATTGTTTATTTCTGTCCAAGTAAACGTCCAAACTTATGAATGTATCGGTCACTTCGATACATTGTCTTGCAATGTCAACAATACCTTCGGGGCTCATAACCTTCGAAAACAATTTTTTATTTTAATTTTTTATTTATTTTCTTACCCGCGGTTCCCATTTTTCAAGTTCTGATTTGTTTTCCGGAACTAGAGGTCTACTGGGTTTTCGGTAAGTCTGGTCACGTCCTTCTTCTCTCCGGTAGAAACATTGTCCATATACTTGTTGAACTTCTCTAGAGGGTGCTCTGCAGATTAGACGCCCACGTCCCCGGCCAAATTTACTTGTATTCACCATTTAAAGTAAATAAGCAATACTAAATTTTAAAGAAGGCGAAACAAAAACTGTACAAAAAACAAAAGTATTTTCCAAAATCTTCAATCAAAAACTTTGGAAAGCTCTCAAAATACTGAACGACATACCCAAACCCAACCAAGATCAACCACTTAAAGCTAAAATTCAGCCCAAAGCAACCTTTATACTTGTTTTCCTGAATTCTCCTTTTTTCAGGGTAGGGGACCTTTCAGAGTAGCCGTTTCAGAGTAGCCGATTCAGAGTAGCCGTTTCAGAGTAGCCGGTTCAGAGTACGGGCAAAGGGGGACGTTTCAGAGTACATAAATTTTTGGGTTTGGAAAATATTTTTTCTTGAAAATTTTTTTGTTTTTCCTACTTGTTTCGATCTAAAAAACATTTAGAAGGCAGCCGAGTCTTGACTCTAGCTTTCCTTGAACTTTTTCAGTCCTCGGATGAAGTCTTGGTTTCTGTTTTTTTCCGTGGGAACAAAATTTTAAATAAAAACGAGTATGATTCAGTTGGTCATAACTTTATCAGAAATAATTCAATCGAGCTGATTCTGTTGTCATTAGACTCAGCTCGATGAGCCCTTTCGAATGAGCTATCATTTGCATATTCCATTTTTTGGTCAGCTTGGTCTCCCTATGGTTGTTGACCATTTTGAGCACTATATATCCGCCAAAGTTGTTTCCACGGACTACCTAATTTTCTAAACAGATCTAAAAACGTTGGGTTACTGCAGTCTTGCCGAAATGAAAAAAAAATTTTATTTCAAATTTTTATGAAAAAATTATTTTTCGTTGAATAGTTGTGTTATTTATTGTGGTTTTGGTCCCTAGAACAACATAAAAGAAGTAAAAAGTAAAAAACAAAAAAATAAACTAATTGTTTTAAGAAAATTTCTATTTTAAGGGTAATTCATTCTACGTACTCTGAAACGTCCCCCTTTGCCCGTACTCTGAACCGGCTACTCTGAATCGGCCTACTCTGAAACGGCCCACTCTGAAACGTCCTACTCTGAAACGGCTACTCTGAATCGGCTACTCTGAAACGGCGACTCTGAAACGGGCTTTACCGTTTTTTCAAGATTTTTTCAAATTAAAAATGTCACTTGAGTCTTATCAATTTTGTGGCAGGACGTTTCAGCACGCGTTTCGATGAATTTTAAATTTAGATGATACTGTAATCTAATTTTAAGATAACAAATTAAAAAAATTTAATTTCACATTAAAAACGAAAATAAATGCAAATATATTTAAATATTTATTTGTCTTTAATAAAATCTTTATTTCCCATCGTTCTTTGAATTTCTGTATTTTTTTGTTTATTTTTAACTAAAAATTAAATAATAATAAAATAAATAATTATTTTTCTAAAAACCGTTAGAATTCGAATTAATATCAAAAATATTTCGAGAACTACAGCCAGATAGAGAACTTGGAGCAGATGAAAGACAAGAAGAGGAAAGTGTTGAAAATCTTGAAGAATTTTGTTGTTTTTCTTCTTTTGAATTAATTAAAGGGGGTGCAGGGGAGGGGTGTTCTGATGCAGATGAATGGCCAGAATCGATTTCTGTTGTGGCTAATGTTGATTCAATAAAGTCTTTAATTATTTCTTTTGGCGATATTTGAGGGGAGGGAAATTTTTGTTGTTGGTGGCTAATAATTTTTGTTGATGTTTGATTAGTAGAAGTAGATGGTAGTAAATTTTGCTTGAAAAAAAGATTTAATAAATATTTAATGAAGCCGATAAGGGAGTGGGGATTTTGATATTAATTTAAGATATGATCAAAATAGAACTGATTTTAAAAATTATAAAATTCATTACCTTTGTTCTGGAGGCAAACGCTCGATTGCTTGACCTTGGAGGAATGGGTATTCTCAATACCTATAAAAATTAAAAAGAAAATTAAAAAAATAAAAGTTACAGAATTTTTCCGAGAAAAATATTGAATATTTGGATGTTCTCCTCCTTCTTCTTCATTTTTAATTTTATTTCCCTCCTCTTCTTCTTCTTCAACATAAACTCTAGTTATTCCTTCACCAAATTCTGGCGGTATTGGATAGCGTTTTTGTTGTTTTCGTTGTTTTACATTAAAAAATAATATTTTTTGTTTTATATTTTCTTCATTTAAAGGTTTAAATTCATCTTTACTTTCATCAACAAAATCTTCATTATTTTCTTCTAATTTTATCGACAAATTATTAAAAGATGAAGTTGGGGGAATATTATTATTATTATATTTTTGTTGTTGTTGTTGATATTGTCTAAGTTCATTTAAAGTATCTCCAAGGCTTTAATATATTTAATTATTTATTTAAAATTTTAATACTTTTACCTTAATAATTTAGCCAAAAGTACAATATCATTTTCAACTAACATCATCTACATAAATTTAAATATTTTATACAAAAATTAATTTAATTTACCATTTTTTCCTTCAAATCTTCAAATTGCTGTTCATCTTTATTAAATTGATCGTTTTGATTAGAATTTATATAAATATTGTTGTTGTCAATACTTTTATTTAAAATAGTAATGTTTATATCCTCACAATTTTTATTCTTTCCTTCATTCAACTGAAAAAATAATATTTAAAAATATATTTAAATTTTACATAATATTTTCTAAATCAACTACATACAATTAATTTAAAAATATTTTGTATATTTAATCTATTTTTCAACACTATAACCAGAAATCATTGTATTAGGATGCCATTGTAATACAGTTTTACGGTATTTTTAGAAGTTTGTAAATTAAGTAGTGTACTAGTGGTAAAAGTTCGGGACGAGACATATGTCATTCGATTCGTCTCATCGAGCTGAGTCGAAAGGTACCACTAATGCTTCTGGACCGAGTTGTAGGTTCCGGCAAATTGACCATGGGGGGGGGGGGGGGGGAATAAGATCGACCTCTTTTAATGCAATCTTAATTTAAACAATTACTTTTTGTTGGCTTTCTAAATTAATTTTTGAGGAAGAAGATGAAGAAAAATAATTTAATTGTTGTTTATAATTATTTAAATTATTTCCACTATTTGTACTACTACTACTTTCGTCAGAAATAGAGCAAAAAGATCTAGCCTTTCTATAACGTTCTAATCGTCGAATATGCCTATAAATATTTTTATATTAATTTAAAATTTAAATTGAAAGATTAAAAAGATTTTTTTAGGTTAATAGTATATAAATTGGAAATAATAAGAATTTTAAAAATTTATAAATAATTTTATTTTCAATTTTAAATAATTAATTAGCCTTTCATAATGCCTCCAAATTGCAGAAAAATTTTCTTGTTGTTGATTATTTATATTAATTTGATTATTATCATTCCAGGACTTTTTTAACGGAAATTGTGGTGAGGAGGGTGATTTAATTGACATTTTTTAATTAAAAAAACCTTTAAAAATTAAAAAATGGTATAGTGTAAAGGATATATTTAATTAGCTGTGCCAGGTAAATCCCCCTTTTCCTTAAAGTACGGTTAACTATCCAATAACCAAAATCTTGGAAACTTTTCATAAAATTTTAGACTGAAAAAGAAATTTCAATTAACCCCGAACTTCGACCCGATATCTTTATTTTTCACGACTCGTCCGTACGCTGGTTTATAAGTACCAGAGATAAGCAAAAGACCCAAGACCCAACGCTGATATAGAAATTTAATTTAAATGAAAATAAAAAGAAAATAAAAAAATTAATTTTTAGTTTAGTTAAACAGGTTTGTAAATTTACAAAGAAAAAACACTTTAATTAGATATATTTTCAAAGTTTTTGACAAAAAAAACATTTGAAGTAAAAATAGGAAAGGTATTTTTGTAAAAAAATTTTAAATAAAATATTTTTTGGGTAATTTATTTAAATAAAAAGAAAATTTTAAAAAGAAATATTTAAAATTTAATTTTTTTATATTTTAATCAAAACTTTTATTTATTATCATCATAAAATTGTGATATGTATTTGATAAAAAAAACCAAAAATTAAATCAATTAAAATAAAAAAAGATTTTATTTTTAAAATTCTTTTGTAAATATATTTAAATAAATAAATTGAAATAAAAATTTTGAATAAAAATTTTTTATTTTCCTAAATAATCTATAAATAGAAAAATATACATAAAAAAATTTTTTAATGATTTTTTAAAATTTATTTTTATATTAGTTTTAAAATTTCCAAAAATGATTCAGAATTCTAAATAAAGAAAAAAGGAAAATAATTATCAGAATTATTTTTTCAAGAATATTTTTAAATATTTTTATTTTTTTATTTTCTAATTAATTATTTAAATAGACTGGTACAACTAAATACAAAAAAAATATTTTTTATTTTATTGCAAGACGAGAAAATGTTTTTTATTTGTTTGTGTAGAGAGGAAAAATAAATTTGTTGGGCAATAATAAAAAGAAAATTGGTTGTTTTAGATTTCTTTTGTATTTTTTTAAAAAAAATAAAAATAAATAAATATATTGTTGTTGTATTTAATATGTTCTTATTTTTTAATTTATTTTTTGTTAAAAAGAAAAAAATCAAATTTATTATGTTGTTAGAAATGTGAAATTAAATATATAGGTAATTCACCGAATCTCGATATAAAGAACTCGAAGGGATCGAAGAAATGTTCATTATAAAAATAGAGTTTTTATTGACAGCATTTTATTTTATTGTAAATATTTTAAAATAAATTTTGTGCTAAATGGAAAATAAAAAATAAAAAAATAAGTTCCTTCCAAGAGATAAAAAGGTGAGATTTCCGGCGGTTTATAAAAATTATAAAAATTAATTTACACATTAATTATAGTTTATGGGATGACCGACAAGAATTGGAGGGAACGATGAATAAAATGTAGATATTTGAATAAATTATTTAAAATATAATTAAACGTTAAATATGTAATTATATTAATGAAATTAATATTTATTTAAAAAAATATTAAAATTTACTTGAAATTTAAGTAAAAATTAATTAATTAATTAAAGAAGATATTTTTGAAAGATTCTTTAAAAAAATATTTTTATTATTAAAGAAAAGCCGGAAAGGAATAAATGATTAATTATTGTTTATATATTTAAAATAAAAAAGAAAAGAATTATTGCGAGAATGCGGAAAATAAAAAATAAAATAATTGACAGTCACTAAATTATTTATTTATTTTCCCCTCTTCGACCTTCAATCTAGTCCAAATATTTTTTAAGAATATAATTTATATTTTGTTTTTGTCAAACTTTAATGACAGAAAGGGAATATTTTCTTCCATCAAGGACATCCAGAAAATAAAATAAAAATAAATATTTGAAAGAGAAGAAATATAAATATGTATTATTTTGAGAATTTTATTAAAATATTAAAAATTTTTATTTTTAATTTTAAGGAAAATTGTCATCAAATTTAACAAAAAAAATAAACAATATAAACTCTATACAAAATAAACAAATTAAATAGAAAAAACTCCCATAAAATTTAAACTTTAAAATTTAAATTAGCCTACCTAACTTCCCCATCCAAATTCCTATTCACAGGTGTGTTTTATAATATTTGGACGAAAAAGAATGATCGAAAAAGGGGGAAGATTTTTTGTAAGTTTCTAGGAATTCTTTTTGGGAATAAAATTAGCTAGTAAAGGAAAATAGTTAATTTATATTTATTTGTGGTAATATATAAATAAAAACAGGTTTTTTAATATTTTTGCGGTTTTTTGGAAGAATTTTTGTTAAAGTTTTTTTATTAGAAAAGAGGGAAGATGGAAGTAAAGAAAGGTTTTTCCCAAAAATAAAAAAAATATATTCTTCTTCTTTTTTTATTCCCAACTTCCTTATTCACAACAACAAAAACCGCTTTTTAACAAAAATTTGTTTTTAGGAATTTTTTAAATAAATCAATCAAAAATTTAAAAAAATAATTAAATTTTAATTTTGTTAAGACAAAGGATTATCAGAGGTAAAGAATAATGAAAAATAATCTCTCACATATGTAAAAACAATTTTAAACAAAATTTTTGAGTAATATTTAAAAACAGATTAAGCCAAACAAAAAAAGACAAAAAGAATTTATTTTTATTTTTTATTTTTCTTATCAGTTTCTGATAAGAAAAATAAATATTTTTATTTATTTTTAATCTTTTTTTCCTTTTATCTTTCTTCTTCTTTAAAAAATACCTTCTCTAATCAGTTCCAGAGCATTAAAGATATTTTTATTTTAATGTTGATTAGCTCAACAAAAAATTTTTTTTAGAATTTTGATAAAAAAAGAAATAAATAAGGAAAAAAAAACAAGTAAAATAGTTGAAGAAGAAGAAATGTACAAAATAGTTTTTTTTTAATTATAATCATTGAAGCAAAAATTATTTGGTAAGGAAATAATGGAAGGAAAAAATATATAAAATTTTAGAAATAAATATATTTATTTATTTTAGTAGAACCTTTAAAAAAAAATTTTTTTTAATTGAAAAATTAAAAATTTAAAAATTAATTAAATGCCCGGATTCTCAAAATTTTCCTCGAGTTTGTGTATTTAAACTTGTAAATTTTTGATTCGATCAACGGTTCCTTGGAATTAATTTAATTCCAAGGAACCAATTGCTAAAGAAATTTCAAAAATTTAAATATTTTATAATAAAATATTAATTAATTTAAATTTAAAATTCAATATTTCTCTTGGGGAAGCCATTTAAAACCAAACGGCAGATGTTGAACATAAAGTCGAGAAAAGGAGGAAAGAGGAATGGCATTAAATTGTACATAGTATATTATTTTTGGAAGATAAAAATCGAAATTGGAAAGGGGGGAGTTGGGGATGTGCAAATAATTTAAAATAATTGAAGAAATGTTGAAAATAAATATTTTAAATTTAAAATATTAAGAATTAATTGTTAAAATAAATTTAAATTTTTGGTTAAATAATGAATGGCAAAAGAAATTTAATTCAAAATAAAATAATTAATATTTTAAATAATTATTTATTAGATATTTATTTTCTTCTCCAATAAATCCTTAACCTCTTTTTATTTTTGAATGAATATATGGATGGAGTGTGTGGCGATTTTAAATAAATAAAAATAATTTTAAAAGAAGTGTGCGGATATGAAAGAAGTCTTTTAAAAATAGAGAAAAGAAATATCTGCGTAACTATTTGGTAATACATAAATTGTAATAGGGAAAGGATTTATTTATTTATTTATTTATTTTAATCCAATTTAAATTAAAATAAAAAATAAATAAATAAATATGTACTATAATACTTTCAAATATTTTTTTATTTTGTTTAATTTAGTAGGTCAAGATGTGAAAAAGAAATAACAGGAAATAGTTCAAAATTACAATTACGTTCAAGATTACATCAAAAGATTTTGTCTTCTTTTAAAGTTCATTTATGTATTCTTTGGGATATTTAAATCGGGTCTTGGGAAGGAGGGGAAAAAGGCCCTTTGAGAGAGAGGCTCTCTCACCTTCGTTTTGCTGATCTCCAAATTGCCTTTTACTTTAAATATTTGAGAGCAAAATGATTGACAGATAAAAAGGAAGTGGGGGTGTGATATTAAATAAGTACTGGATATTAAATTTAAAAAAAATTTATCTAACAATAAGTAGATTATTAAAAATATATTTATTTATTTATTTTTATTTTTTTAAAGTGGAATGGCCGAATAAATAATTATTATATTGAGAGAGCGGTCATTGTGAGGGTAAAAGATTGGTCCGATGAATAATAATGTAGAAAGAGGAGGGAGGAAAGGGGATTGGATTGCACGACCGGCAAGCGCGCGACTATTATGGCGACGATAATGGCCGGTCATTTTTGTGAGTAAAAAAGAAAAGAGAAGAATTATTTTATTAATTGTTTAAAAATAAATATATTTATTTATATATGGCTGTCACTCTTCTTTCTCTTCCTGGCACAAACAAGGACCTCCCTCCCTCCTCCTCTCTTTTCTAAATAACAATTGAAAAAATGTGACCGATAGAAAATAAATAATTTTAAAAAGAAATATTTAAAAACAATATTTAATTAAATATATATATTTTAAATAAAAAAATATTTATTTATTTATGAACAACTACAAGGTCTAAAAAACACATAAAAGTTGGAGAAAAATAATTGTTTAATAATAAATTGAAATTATTGAGTGAGTGTTCCTTTTCCTTAAATTTCGTTAAATTTTTCCATTTGTTATTAATTAAAAAATTTATTTTAATTTCTTAAAAATAAAATAATTTTTCGACCTTCAATTTTTAAATACTAATCCTCAATTAATTGAAAATAAAATATATTTATTTATAAAAGATTGAGGACAATCAAAAAAAATAATTTTAGTTTCTTTTTTCTTCAAATAAAAAAAAACAATTTTTGTTAAAATTAAAAAAAAGGAAGAAAATTATTTAAAAAAAAATTATTTTATTAAACTCAAAATAAACAAAAAAAAATTTTCTTTCTAAAATTTTTTATTTAATCCCGTATTTTTATTAAAATAAATTTACTACATATTACATAATTTTTTTGTAATATTTGTTAATTCTGTTTTAAAGAAAGGTCCATTTTTTTCTTTTTTATTTGTTGTTTTTGTTGAAGTTGTAGCTATGGAAGAAGTAGTAAGAGTATTTGAAGTAATCGAAGATGATTGCCTTTTAAGGCCGGGCATTGAATTCCTTCTTTAAATTAAAATAAATAAATTTATCTGAAAAATAAAGGGATAAAGCAAATTCTTTCATTATTTGATTGAATAAAGTTACTTTTATTATATATTTTTTCTTCTAGCTCTTAGAAAATAAAGAGGGATAAGAGAAAAAGGTTTCCTGTATGAAAGCATCGGAAAACTGATCACCATTTTTGCCTTATCCAACAAATTAATTTTTAAAAATTAAATTTAGCCCTTATTTTCAATTAAAGCCAATTTTAAAAATTTTACTTTAAAAATTTAGATTCAAAGGGTGCCAAAGCCATTTCAACAGTTGGAGGGCCAACAACCCCAGCAGCATCTCCACAATTTCCCAATAATGCATTTGTTGTTCTTTTTCTTCTTTTTAATCTTAATTCTGTTTCAAATCCATCACGGATATAATCAATTATATGGGCAATTAATGTACGCCAAACCTGATAAAAAATATTTAAGAAATTTTCCTATACTATATTAAAAAAGTTTGGAAACTAAGCCCCTTACTTTTGTAGTTTCTTTGCTTTGCCTTATTCCATCCAATTTAAAAAATTGTTCAGCCAAAGCTTCCCCTAATTGTTCTAATTGTGTAACACTTAAATTAAAATATTCATAACAAGGAACATGACGAGCACCAATTAATCGAAGTTCGCATTCAATTCCCTTTTTTTAAAAAAATAATGAAGTAAATTAAGTGTCGGTTTGGTTCCCTCCCTACCTGTCTACTAGGGTTGTACCCCATCCCTGAAGGTCGGGGAATTTGCGAGTTTTTTGAATATTCCCCGCCCCCCCCCCTCGTGGCAGAATTTCCCCGAGATCTCCTTCGAAATTTTTATACAGAACTAAAAATATTTTCTTTCACTTTAACCAAAAAAAATAAATTTATTTATTTACTTCATTATCTCCTTCAATAATTCTATCAATCAAAGAAAGAAAAAATCTTTAAAAAATATAAATTAAAAGTTTTTTAAATTAATTTTCTAGCCTTGTATGTTCCATAACCCCACATTTAGATATTCCCCCAATATTTTTTTGTTGTTGATTATCCAAATAATTATTTTTAAATGCAGAACGAACATTTGGGGCAGAACTTTCCAACTTTTTTATTAAAAAGGGATTTTTAAATTTTAAAGAAAATAAAAACTTTTGAAAAGGCACGCCTAATTACATCATAAAGTCCTTTTGTGTTTATATGCTTCCATGAACGACGTAAATCTTTTTAAAATAATTAATTTAAAAAAATATTTATTTAAATTTAATTTATTTACTAGAAACTTGTTGTGGAGTAAGTTCTGGTATAAAATTTAAATTTGTATTTCCATTACGACTACTCAAAACTGAATTTGAACGTTCCAATCGACCTTTTTAAAGAAAAAATTAATTTTTTTAATTAAAATTAATTTAATATTTTTTTAAATATAAATTTATAACAAAAAGTTTAGTTAGGGGACAGAAATTGTACAACCAATTTAACAGCAATTATGCTAGGAATTTCCTCCTTAGGTTCAAATACTCAATCGAAGTAATAACTTCTTTATTTCTTAAATATATTAAATTCCTGCTTTAAAATGCTAACCAAAATAAATTTACTTTTTTTACTTACTCGATTGTTTTGGTATACTTAAATGGCGAATCATTTCTTATTAAAATAAATAATTTTTTTAAATTTCAAAAATTATTTAATTAATTAATTGAAAAAAATAAAAGAGAAAGAAGTTTGTTTAATTAATTTTGTTTAGAAAAGAAAAAACGTTAATCGGATTAGTTCTTCTGCGCTTATAAAAAATATATTTTTATTTATAAGAAACCTCTCAAAAATAATTTTTTTAATTAAATATATAAAGGAGAAAAAAAAGAATTTAAAAATAAAAATAAATAATTTTTTTAATTTAAAATAAATATTTATTTATTTTATTCTTTTTTTTAACTTTCTCACAGTAAAAAAGGTAATAATTTATTCAAAAAAGAAAAATATTGGCTTCTTCTTATTTTTTGTTAAAAATATAACAATTTTGAGTGAAATGAGGCATTGAAAAATAAAATAAAAAATAAATAATTTGAAGTAAATATTTTTATATTTAAAAATACCCCCTCCCTCCCTCATTCCCCCCCCCCTCCTCCTCCTCCTCCCTTACCTTTAACCCTACCCCCCCCTTCCCCCCTCCCCCCCCCTTACCTTTAATTATTCCATTATTATTTTCATTAACTAAACGTTCAGATAACCTCCTTCCTTTATTAATTGTTGTTGTTGTAAGTCCAATAGAAAAATTTCCACTAACCGAAGGTGAACGAGTATTTTGTTGAATTTGTTGTTTTCGATTTTGTAAATAATAATTATGTTCCATCTGTTTTATTTTTAATTTTTTATTAAAAAAATTAAACAAACAATTGTTTGTTCAGCTTGTGTCAAAGCATTTATTAATGAAGGCATTGAATTTATATTTGGACGATCTTTTAGATTATTTAAAAGAATATTTGAAGAATTTTGTGAATTTATTAGATTATTTCCAAAACAAAATTGAACTGTTGGACACGTTAATTCTTTCATCTTTAAAAATGATTTTTTTAATTCTGATTTTATTTTTTCAACTCCATTAAATACCTAGAAGACATAAAAAGTAAAGTGTCGATTTTAGGGGATCGAGATTCCTAACACAAAAAACTTCGGGAATTCCCGATTTATTTATGGGAGATTCCCTAATGACTGGAAGCAACTAAATTTTTCCCCGAAATACGTCCCAATCTCTGAACCTAATAACCATAGTTAACACCACAATTTTATTTTAATTTTTTAAATTACCACGTCTCGAATTGATTGTCCAATTTTTGAATTATTATTTTTATTATTAACATTCCAATTATCAAAAGAAGAAGAACAACAATTATTATTAAATAATTGTTTTTGTTGTTTTCTCTCGTTATTTGTAATCATTTCATAAACAGTAAATGATTGTCTTTTTCTAGTTAATGGATCTGTTCCAATTTTTGGAGTGGAGGAAATTGAAGGAGATAATAAATCCATTATTTTGTGTTTTTCAAATTGTTATTTGTTTTAAATTAATAATTAATTATTAAATTAAAATATGTATGGAAAGGTTTGTTTAAAAAATTTGGATAAAAATTATACAAGGTGACCAGAAAGTAACCGGGCGCCTTATTTATGTCATAACTTTTTAAATGATATGTAGAGAAATAAGGAACCGAGATTTTTTTATAACCGAGAATTTTTGAAGTCTTTTCGAACTTAGCTGCGATACAGAATTGATGGCGCTTGGAAAATTTGAGCAAAAGTTCGCAAATCAAGACTTTCAACAGAATTCATCCCCTGTTCAAAAGACTAACGTTGTGCAGGGTTGATGCGCAGCCAATTTACCCGGTTTTGACTCATCTAAGATATGGCCATCGTACTTACCGGATATGAAGCCGAGAATTAGTCTGGTCTATTTTGGAGGCAACAGTCTGCTTAATATCCCAAACTTTTGGAACGGTGAAGTTCGGGAATGGGTAAAAAGGTGTGAACTTTTTACACCTTTTTGAGCCCAAAATTTTCCCACACGCCTTCAATCCTATATCCAAGCAAAGCAAAAAATTCTCGATTATATTTATTCGTTATTTATTCCTCTATCATTTAAGATTTATTTAATCTCGTTATCTTTAATCTTAATAAAGTTGTCATAAATAAGGTAGTATCCGGTTATTTCCTGGTCACCATGTAAAACAGATGTGATATATAAAGTATTAAAAATAATTTAAACAAAATATTTTTAAAAAATCTCATTTAAAAACGTAAAACAAGAATATTTAGCCAATAAATGATGGCAGTCCTTCATTCGTTATATTCTAAAATAAATATGTATTTGTGTTAACAATTTAGCTGCTATTCTTTTTCAAGATAAATTCCCGCCTCCAATTGAATATTCTCGATTAAGCTTTAAAAGAAAATATTTCTTTTAATAAAATTTCTTTTTAAATCAAATTTTAGTAAAAGGGGGGGACTAGAATATTTACTAAAAGGTTTGTCTATAAAATTGAATTTTCAAGTGCTAATATAAATAGATATCCACATACTTCCACTCAAATTTTTTAGTTCTTCACTTCCTAGTTTGTCAAAAAATTTATTTTAGGGATAAATTTTTTTGATATTTTTGAGATAAAAAATAAAAACGCCTAAATCTTAATAGTAAAGATGTTAAATGTAATTTTTTATTGCCAATCGGTGTCTACCTATGACCTAAACAATATTTTATGTATAACTATAAAATTTTTTGATAATAAATTATTTTCTTTTAAATTTGATAAAAAAATATTTCTTTGTAAGATTCTCCAGGTTCTAAAAAAGTTAATAATCCACGGATGGACCAAACAAGAATAATTTATAATTAATCCTTCCATTATAATTTTATGTAACACATTTAAATATCTCAAAAAAACAATTTAATTTTATCCAAGTCGGTTTGTAAGTCTAAATATAACAAATCCGATATTTTTCAACAATTTCATCAGAACATCTCTTTTTTAACATATAATGAGGAACAACAAAATAAAAGAGAATAAAGGGGACGCTGTAGCACAACAAAAAAGTTGCTACTTTTTAATTAATAATTAAATAACCAACACAATATAAAAGTCAATTTTTAAAGAGAGCGTCTTTCCCGTTTGGATTGGTGGATTTTCTCTATTATTATTATTGAAACTTTTCGGTTAACAAATAAAAAAATAATCACATTTTAATCTCAAAACCCTTCCCAAATTTTTAAGTAAAAATAATTTTAAAAAACCGAAAAGTAACAAAAATATTTTTAGCGGCACTTTTTAAGCAAAACAATTTTTTAAATTCTTCTTCAACCGCTTATCAATTAATCTTCATCGTTTAATCACGATTTGGCATATTCTTCCAGCCAAGAACCACTTCTTCTCCACAAGCAGAGACAACAGTAACCTTAACGAAAAAATTAATATTTTTGTAAAAACTAAATTAACCGCAAATCTAATACTATAACCGTTAATATATTTAATGTTTTTCATACAATTGGCGACCCTGACCTTATAAATGTGTATTCTTATAACAAACAATTCAAAGACGGTCTAACCCCTAACCAAAAAATTAAAACAAAGAGAAAGAAGGCGGCTATAGAAGAACCTTCATTAACAGGGTTTAAGATTAAAATTGCGGATAAAAAACAAAATATATACAAGAATTCCATTTTCGTCCTTTTCGAATGCTTGCTTAATCTGTTCACCAAGTTCACCTTCCTAAATTAATTTAAAAAATCTAGTGAAAAGGATTTAATGAACCGGAATACGAAGATCGTCTTTAGTGTCACAAGTATCCAAATCCATCATGCTAACAAAACCGTCCTCATTGATTGCAAGAAGCTAAAGATATGATTTTGGTTAGTTAAAATATGTCAGATATGACAAAACGAATTTCCTATTTAAGAGATTTAAAAACCTGATATTCTTTACGCTTAACAACTGGCACTTCCATATTATGAGTAGATGGGCAAATATCTTCCAGTTTTTTATTGGTAAAAATATCAAGCGCAACAATATGAACCTTTGCATGTCCATGCTTGCCAGTCTTCGAAGTACTCATTTCAACGATCTGAAAGTTTATTAATGAATATTGCTAATCTTGAGAGATTAGGGCTATTGAATATTAAAAATAAGAAAACCTTGCACGGACGTCCCTTTATCATAACGAATTCGTTTTTGCGAAGAGCAGAGCACTGTTTTGGATAAGTTGCTGATGCACCAGCATCTCCGGTTGCGAAATCATGGTCTTGTTCGTGATCAGACATACGTGTAATTAAATAAATTTCCTCCAAAAACTAAAATTTTACCTAATTAAATAAGAGAACTTAAACAAAAAATAATCAGGCAATTGAATGAAATAATCACCAAATAGCGCGATAAAAAAAAAAGAAATAGTTATGGCGCAATAAATTCTAAAAAACGCCAAAAAGCAATAGTTCAAAACAACACACTATTTCTTGGACGTTGACGTTAAAATTTTGAAAAGATAATAAGAGAGACGGTTAAAGAAAAAAGTTTTTGTCATTTTTCATATAACCAAATTTATTGCATTTCAAAATGTTCAGAAGCAGCTTGTGTATATATCGTCACATTTAATGCAAATTTTTTGAATAATTTATTGGACATTTTGCTTCATTCTTCCCATTTATGTTTAAATTTTCTCATAAATTAGTCTTTATATTGCTTTGTTTTTTTGTAATTTTCTAATTTTATTCTTTTTTCAGGTAAGATTTTCTTTAAAATTTATTTATGTCTGACAAAAACTCTTCAACTTTTCGAGCAAGTATTCCTTCCCTCTTTGAAAGTACCATTTTCGATCAGAGTCAGGTTTGTTATTGTTTATATTTTTAATTTAATAGTTTTGATGTTTTTAAATTTGTAAATGAAAAATGATTAAATAATTTAAGATAATTAAGATTTTAAATAATTAATCTTTTGTCGTCTTGTTAGAATACCTATTTACGTATATATTCAATTTATATTTTAAAGAGTGGTGTTGATGCTCACAATCAATTACTTACACCTACAACCGCAGGGGATCATAAACTCAAACAAGAGGGCGGGATATCCAAAAAGTACCAAAAGTCGCCATTTGAACTTGCCAATAACAACGATGTTGGAGATAAAACATTAACAATGTCTGAAGCCAAAATTGATGATTCTTCTGAACGTCCACTATCTTTAACAAAAAAATCATCAAAACAAATAATTCCAGAAGAAATTGGCAATGAAGAAATAACAGAAAATGAAGGAAATTTAAATAGAATTTTAAATATTCGTTCAATTCGAGATTCAATGCCTATAACTGATTGTCCAACTTTTCGTGCTAATGTTCCTTCTTTGCTTTTTGAAAGCACAATTCATGATCAAACTTTGGTTAGTAATTTTTTGTTGGTTACCTTTTTTGATAAATTTTAGAATGAGGAAGATGAGCAAGATTACGCTTCTGAAGCTGTTAGTACACCAACAACAATTCCAAATAAATGTCCAACGTTTCGTGCTAATATTTCTTCACTTTTTGAAAGCACCATTAATACTTGCACTGATACATCAACTCCTTTTCAAAAAAATTGTCCAACTTTTCGTGCTAATATTCCTTCCTTACTTTTTGAAAGCACAATTCTTGATCAAAGTTTGGTTGGTAATTTTTTTGTTAATTTTTTTTAATTATAAATTTTTTTTCTTAGAATGAGGAAGCTAATAAAACACCTACACCTCCAAATAAATGTCCAACTTTTCGTGCTAGCATTCCTTCTTTTTTTGAGAGCACCATTTGTCAGGATTCGGTTAGGATTTTTATATTTTTAAATAAAAATTATTTGAAAAGCAGGTGGTGGATGATCGTGCACAAAGCCATGATTTTGAAACAGCTGGACCTAGTACATCAACAAATTTTCCAAAACCATGCTCCTCTTTAAATAAAAATCAATTTGTTTTGATTAAGGGAACTCCTTGCAAGGTTTTACTTAAATTTTGTTTTCTTTTAATTTTTGTTTTGATTCTAAAATGAGGGCAAAATACTATAGGAAAAATACCTATATAGTTTATAAACAATTCTCTTTACAAGAATAGATATTTCTAGCTAATTAATTTAATTATAGGTGCGTGAGTTGATCCGTCCATCAGCACAACAATCTTTTGAAACTGAAAATATTGAGAATAATCCTTCACCAAATTCTTCTTATAATTTCGATGATCGTCGAAGTATTAATATGCCTTCAATTCTTTCCAATTCTGAACAGACATTCTTTGAAAAATCTTCTACACCGGCGCAGGCAAAAATTTCATTGTTCCAGGCTGACCAAACACTTGTAAGTATTTTAACATGAAACACTCCAAAATAATACTTCATTTCAACTAGAGACCGGCAAAATCGTGTTTGCGGGATCCCGGATGCTGGATTTTTTTAAAAATCTTTGCGGGACGGGATCCCGCATCCCGCAAATCGAAAAAAGGGAGCGGGACCTCGCAAAATCCCGCGCGGGATCCTGTCCCGCGCCGGTCTCTGATTTCAACCTTTCGGAAACATTCGGCCTCTGTCTTTCTCTCAATTTAACCACTTTCCGGGAGAGCAAACTATAGAAATTCTCATTAAATTTTGATAATGTCTAATATAGAAAACATAAAATATTTTTATATTGAATTTCAGGATATTTATGACGACGAGACTGATGGAGGGAAAGTTGAAGAAGCGGAAGAAAAAGATTTATCTCAGAGTTCTAATTTCTATGCATCGCCTCCAAAACATTTTTTACACACTGTATGCATTAACAAGCCACCAAGATTGACATATCAACCAAAGATTAGTGAGTATTCTTTATTCAATATTAGAATTATATTTCCCTAAAGTTCGGCCTGATCCAGAATCTCCTTCTGTTGTGCAACTTGGTTTAAGACGTTCTAAACGAAATCGGTTACCTCCTCTTCAACATCATTTGGGACAGAAGGCAATCTACGAAATTGACATGGACGGAAGTATGTAATTAAAAATGCTAAAAATTTCTTGTTTCAAGAGGGGCTGGATTTTTATTATCGATATTATTGAAGATTGATCATGTCCTGGAAATCTTTAATTTTTAACGGTTTTAGATCGAGTTTTGGTTGGCGCTACAGAGGTTGAACCTAAAGACAATCTACGTAAGAAATACGGCGTCCTTAATATCGTTAAAGCTGCGGAAAAGGAAGATGAAGCAAAAAGTAAGATTTTTAGCTCTGAAATTAAATAATATTTCTTCATTTAGAGTTTAAACGGCGAACACAGTCTATAATGAAAAGACGTCGTCAGGAGCGTTTCAAACATGAACTGAGCAAAGTAAAGGAAGAAGATGAGTAAGATTTATTACTTACCGACTAGACTTACAATTAGACTTGATTACCTGATTTGATTTTCCCAATTGCTTCATTAACCCCAAACATTGAAATTACATTTTGCTTGTCTGTATTTTGGATTAAGGTACTTTTAATAAAAATTTGCAATTTTTAAATGTTTTTAGAACTAAATCTTTTGAACAAAATTTATTTTTTAAAATTTTCAACTGAAAACTTTTCCTTTAATTTCTTATAATACAAACGATCCTCGAATTTCACGGAGGGCGAAACTTTCTTTAACGCTTCCTCAAAGTTTTCACTGATTACAGAATTGATTGAGAGGTTTTTGCATTCAATCCTTTCCTTCAATGCTATCAATGTTGCCTCATGTACCAAAGCTACAAGATCAGCGCCTCTAAAATGAAAATTAGATATTTTTCTAGAGGGATCTCTGATGGGGAGATTCTGATTTACTTTAAAAATCTAATATTAAAATTACGTGAAAAATTCCATTGCTTGATTTTCTGCCATCTTTTCGAAAGAAACGGAAGGGCATATTCTTGGCCTTGTTTTATTCTAAAATAATAGAGTTTCACCGGAAGTTCCGGTTCCGGTTCCGGTTCCGGAAAGTTCCGGTGTTTTTTTGGTTCCGGTTCCGGGAACCGGAACTCAAATTGGTTCCGGTTCCGGCTCCGGTTTACAAATTGGTTCCGGGCAAACCGGAACTTTTTTACACCCCTAAGGATTGGTTTTTTTTTAAAATATGGGTTGGTCTTGCAATATTTTCCCCGGTTGGCCTTCCAAAATTCTTAAAATTTTCGCCTGCGGCGCAAGAAAATGAAGAAATATAGCTCCTTGTCCTCACAAATTCTCAAAATTTTCGCCTGCGGCGCTGAAAAAGGAAGAAATATGTATCCTTGGTTTAACAACAATCCCAAAATTTTCGCTTGTAGCGCTTGAAAAGGAAGATGGATGGTATATCGGAGGATTTGGATGGATGTGGATTTTGAGTTACATCATGTGATTTCAATGGGTCATAGTTATTATATTTAGAGGGATTTGGGTGTGATGTCGAGGGATACAGCTGTGCAAGGTCTTACTAAATTCTCACTTGGTCTTACTAAATTCGCAAAATTTTCGCCTGCGGCGCTAAAAAAGATGAATAAATATGGTATTATTTGAAATTCGCATGAATTAATGGAGATTTGGAGTGACATTTGGGGATTTCGATCTATCAATAGTTATGATGGCATATCGGTGATTCGATATCTAGGGATCTGGTGGGATTAAGGATAATTCGAAGAAATTCGGGGATCAAAAGATATCATGAAGTTGTTGAGGCATTGGGTATTGTATTTGGATTGTTCGGTTCGGTTTTTAGGTTCGTTTTCGGTTAACCGAAAGTTTCGGTTAGGTTATTCGGCTCGGTTTCGATTAACCGAAGAATTTGGCTGAATTTAATCGAAAAATTTGGCGAAACCGACACCACTACTTAAAATACAAATTTTTTAAAATTTGCAAGCAAAAAAATTTTTTAAAGTTCCGGTTCCGGTTCCGGCCCGGAACTTAGAAAAGTTCCGGTTCCGGTTCCGGAAACCGGAACTTAAATTGGATCCGGTTCCGGTCAAAATTTCGGTTCCGGTGAAACACTATAAAATAATTTATAATTTTCTAAAATTCAATTCAAAAGTTTGTAAGTAAATTACTCTTGTGATTGTATGAAGAATATCCGCCCTCTCCTTAACACTTGGAAAGTCTATAAAAATTACTTTATCGAAACGCCCTGGTCTCAAAATAGCTGGGTCGATTATATCTATTTAATAATAAATTTAGAAAGAGAATATTTTTAATAAAATTAAACCTGGTCTATTCGTAGCACCAATCAGAAAAACATCTTTTCTAGCTTCTAAACCATCCATTTCAGTTAATAATTGATTAACTAATCGAGCACTTCCAACAGTCTAAAAATTATTTTAATGTTTTTTTTAATTTTTACCTCTTTTTGTGAACGTTTGGGACATAAAGAATCAATTTCATCAAAAAATATAACACACGGAGCAGAATCTCTTGCACGTTGGAAGACAGTCCTGACAGCTCGTTCACTTTCCCCAACATACTAATTTTTAAATTTAAATAATTATTTAACTAAAATTTTTTTAAAATCTAACCATACTCATTAACTCTGGGCCTTTTATACTAATAAAACTCATTCCAGTTTCATTTGCTACTGCTTTTGCCAACATTGTTTTTCCACAGCCAGGAGGTCCACAAAAAAGAATACCCTCAAAAATAAAAATATTTTTAACATATTTTTCCATTTTTATTTACTTGTGGACGGGCATTTAGACCAAAATGTTCAAAATATTCTGGCTTTTGGATTGGATACTTTTACAAAAAAAAATTAAATTTAAAAAAGATTTTAAAATTTTTACCAATATTGACCAATTTAATTCTGATCTTATTTTCTCTAACGAACCAATATCTTCCCAAGTAACATCTGGAACTGTTGCAAACCCCTCTCTTTTTGCTGAAGGATGGACTGTTGAAAGAGCCCATTCAAAATTACTTGAAAAAATTTTTTTTTTAATTTTTAAAAAAGAATTACTTCATTGAAATAGTTAATTCATTGTTATTATTAGCAATTAAAGAATTTGTATTTAATGGCTCTTTGAACCAATTACAAGCTGAAATATAAACAAATAATTTTTAAATAAAATAAAAAATTACCTCTAAAAAGTTCTTCGCGAATTTCTTCCAAAGTTCTCTTCTTTGGAATATTACTTAAAATTAAATTTTGTTTTTTATCTTCTTCGCTTTTTGAAAAAGCAAAACTTAAAGCTCTTGTTGAAGCTTCACGAACAAGTGCAAATAAATCAGCACCAACATAACCTAATTAAATTATGTTGAAATATATTTCAAAAAAAAATTAAAACTAGCCAGGAGTTAAATGGGCCAAACGTTTTAAATCAACATTTTCTGCCAAATTCATTTTTCTTTGAAAAAAAGAATTGTGTAAAATTTAAAAAATTTTAAATAATTACCTAGTCGCAATTTTTAGAATTTCTAATCGGGCTCGACAATTTGGAATTCCAATCGAAATTTCTTTGTCAAAACGTCCAGCTCTACGTAAAGACGCGTCTAAAATTTCAGGTCTATTTGTCGTCCCAATAACAAAAACTTTTGAAAGAGTAGAATTGAGATCTTTAATTTTCTTTTTAAATTTAGAAAATAAAATATAAAATATTTCAAACCATCCAAAGAAGCAATTAATTGTGTCACAATTCTTCTTTCCATTTCACGTTGAGCATTTTCTCTTTTTGCTGCAATTACATCAATATCTTCAATTAAAATTAAAGTTTGGGTATTTCTAGCTTCAGCATCAACAAATAATTGTCTTATTCGACGTTCACTATCACCAGAAATTCCAGCAATTAATTCTGTCGAAGAAATTGATAAAATTGGAATTTGAAGTTCTCCTTAAAAATTAAAAATATTTTTTAATTAAATTTAAAATAAACCAGAAATTGCACGTGCAAATAAAGATTTTCCACATCCTGGAGGTCCATGTAAAAGTAACCCTTTTGGAGGATTAACTCCTAAATTTGTACAAAGTTCAGGCTGTTTTAAATGCATCAACATATAAATTGCTTCCTTTATTTAAAAATTAATTTTTAATATTTCCCCCCTATTTTATTTATTCACCAAAAATTGTGCCTCACACCCTCCCACATCTTCAAATTTAATATTAGATTTTTCAGGCAAATATTGTTCTTTTCCAAATATTTTATTTTGTTGATTATTTGAATTTTGTATTGAATTATTATTATCATTTTTTTGTATTTTTTCTTCTACACCAGTAATTCTGGTTGAAGTATGTTTTCTCCTTTTCATACCCATAAATAATTTAATTTTTTTCTAGATTCTTAATTAAAAATAAATTTAAAACTAAAAAATTAAAAAAAAAGTATTGGAAAACCCTTAATTATTTATTTTAATATATAAAAAAATTTTGTACGAATTTTCAAAAAAAAATACATAAACCTTTGGTGTCTATAAATTTGTATTTAATAGGGATATTTAAATATACACAAACGATTAAATACCGAATTTCTTTTTTAAAATTAAACTTTGAATTAAAAATTAAAAGAAAATTCGGTATATAAAAAAGAGAAGAATGCCATGTTTAATCAAAATATATTTAAATTGTAAAAAAGCCAAAAAGATACATAAACAAAATGGAGTTTAGACGATTTATACAAAAAATATTTTTTTAATCATAGAAAATATTTATTTCCTATTTTATAGAGTAAATTGTTGGAAAAAATTGAAATTCTAAATAATTATTTAAAAAATAAAAGAGATTTTGGATTTTAAAAAGGAAATTAGAAAAATTTAATTAAATTCTCCTTACAAAAAATTCCCTTTTAATACAAAAAATTCACTAAAATATTCCAAAAAATATAAAAAAAACTAATTTCTAATAATTAATATGCAAATATTTAAGCATCTATGTATATGTCACTTTTAAGGTTTTTTTTCTATTTAATTTAGCTCTTTTCAATATTTTTAAAAATCATTGCTGCTGAAATTGATGAGTTTGGGGGAATCCTTCCAATAGACCTGCTTTAATTTTGGAAATTTCATCACTCTAAAAAATTTTAAAAATTACTTCAAATTTAACAATTTAAAAAAACCTGATGATTCCCCACATGTCCAGCCATTTCTAATGCTTCAGAGATTGGTGGTTGTTGTTGGATTTTATTATTGCTACCACTTTGTTGAGAATGAACAGAACCAGGGCCACCAACACTACCTAAAGGGCCTCCTCCCCCCGTAGGTGTTCCACCATTTATGCCTGGTTGTTGACAACTTGTTCCTAATTTTTTAAAAAATTTTCATAAAAAAAATTAAAATTTTACCTGGTACACTTCCACTACCCGCAAAATGATGAACAGATGCAGGTGAATGTTTTATTTCCATAGACATATCTCCACTTGCCCCTCCTCCTGTCCCATTCAATAATGAATGTAATTGACTGCTTTGTTGTTGATTTCCACCTCCATTTAAATCTCCCCCTTCAGCAGCTTCTATTTGTTGTCTAATCGATGTAGCAGTTGGATTTCCACCATTTCCTCCATCATTATGATTTAAAAACTTTTTAAAATTAATAAAATATTTCTAATCAACAATAAAAAAACCTGTGATTGCATTCCACTAGGAGGACCACCACCAGCACTCATCATCATAAAATTAGGATCGGCAGAGCCAGGACCAACTCCCGTTACATCACCAGATGGTCCCTGCATTTGGCCGGGGACAGACCCTCCACCCATTAAAACACCATGAGGTATTTGTTGTTGAGAAGGAACACAGGCTGAAGGAGACATTAAAGAAGCGGAAGAAGAACACATAGCCGAAGCAGCTGCAGCAGAGACTGCGCCATTATGTGCTATAGAACCTGTGAATGGTGGAGTGCCAGATGGTGAATCCATATATTGTTGTGGTGGACAGAATTGTGGGCGAATTTGTTGCCTCCCTGGATGACCAGGAATGGGCATATTCTAAGAAAAAAAAATAAAAAGAAAATATTTGTTTCACAAACAAACCATAGGCATCCTTCCCGGTTGGACACCTTGTCTTTGCTGTTGAACGAAAGCCATCCGCATTTGTTCGGTCATTTGGAAGGAAGCAGCATTTATTTGATGAGGTGATTGAAAACTATTGGGAGTTGGTGCCCCACTTCGAGTTCCTTGTTGTTGAGGAAATCTGTTAGAAGGTCCACCTTTTAAAGAAAATATAAATTAAAAAAAGTAAAAATTTAAAATTACCTGGAATAGGTGAAGCTTGATTAGAAGATTGAGAAGGACCTGGCTGAGGACCACCACGTGTTCCATTAAAATAACCAACCGGAAACATACCATCAGGCATATTTTGAGATTGAGGTGGAGGAGGCAAACCGGGTGCTTGGCCCATATTTGGATTATGAAACTTAAAATAATTTTTCTTTAATATTAAAAATAAATAGAAACCCCAGGATGTCCATATATTCCTCCCCCATTAACCATTCCTTCAGGGAAACCACCAGCTGGGAAGATCTAAAATTTGAAATTAAAATTAATCAAAATTAAATCACAATTCACCATTTTATGATAAGTTTTTGCATCATTTGAAGGTTCAGCTTTGTCTTTTTTGTCAGCTTGAACAGAATAAAGGTCCCAAAAAACACTTAAAAATATTTTTTAAAATAATTTTAAAACAAATTCCCTACCTAAACCAATTTGAAAGAAAACCAGGTGGTGCAGAGACATCAATTTGAATATTTGGATTATGTGCAAGAACCTCATTTTTAAACATATCGGCAGTTTTAGATGCTCCCATATGAACAAGATACTCATAAACAAAATGGCTTAATCTTGGAAAAAAAAATAAATAAAAAAAATTTTAAAGAAAATATTTTTTACTTTTCTCTTGCTTGTGCCTCAGCTGAAATAAATTGTTGTGGTTCTTTTCTTTGCTGTAGTTGGGAATGCATTTGTGCTTGTTGTTGAGGATGTTGTGGAAACATTTTGATTATTTAATAGCCAAAATGTTGCAAATTTAAATAAAAAATATTTTACTAAAAATTAAAGTATATTTTACAAGATTTGGGAAGGCATTTAAGAGATTAGGAAGATTATCACATAAAAACAAATTGAGTCTCGGAAAGCTTTTTGCGATGCATTTAAAGGCTTTTTTGCGATGAATTTTGATAATTAGACTCAAATACTCGAAAAACTCGGACCTAATTACCGTACTTAAAAGTTCCTGTTAAGGCATAAAGCCAACAAATACAAGAACTTTAATAAGGGTCAAAAAAAGCATAAATGTAAAAGCTAAACAAATAACAATTGAAACACACTATTAAAAAAGATTATTTGGGCAAACATTAAAACTTAATTTTTTACAACTAACATGTGGACATAGGACTTGGTTTTAAGCTATAAATGAAACCGATAAATTGCGTATTATTTGGGAGACGGGCACTTGACAACATTAAGAAGACAGAGGAGCATTAACACAAGACGCGATGGTGGTTTTTCTGCCACCCATTTTTTCTTTTCTTTACATATTATTTGCTTTGTCTTGCATACGCTTTAAGCAAGCCACACTACTACAACAACTAACTACATGCCTACCCACACATATATTATAACCCCCGAGCGCTGACTTTGGAAATATTCCAATGAATCGATTCCCTCTCGTATACGATACTGAGAGGGAAGGGTAAGCAAAATTGTCTACCAGTGAACAATTCTACAAAATGTATTTTTATAAAATGTTAAAGACATAAAATGACACAAAGGAAAGAAAAAGGTAAGAGCACTAATTTTTGGGGGGATTTTTGGACGTTTGGAGAGACCAAAAGAAAAAACAGTAGAGAAATATCCAAAGTTTTTAACTTGTTAAAAAATGTCAACAACAATAAAAACAACAACAACAATTATTTAAAAATAAAAGAATTAAGCATTTCTTTCTCCAAAGGATGTAAATCAAAAGAAGGAATGATTAGACTGTGAAGAGGTAACCCCATATCCACTTCAAAGGCTAACTGTCGAAGAGTAGCATAGACAATCTATAAATTAAAAGAGTAAAAATTAATTGATTTTAAAAACCTTTAATTAAAAATGACTGGATTTTGGGAGATTTTTTTTGATGGGTTTATTTCAAATTGGGAGGGGGGACATTTGACATTGAAATTAAAGGAATTTTTAAATTTATTTTAAACCTCATTTTTGGGAAAATTATCCACAAAAATATTTTAATTCAAACAACCCCCCAAAAAATATACCCGTTAATTTTAGAAATACGTAAATTAATTTTCAATGTGCACAAAATTCACCAAAAAATTATAATAATTTTAATTTTATTTAATTAATATAAAACCTTTTGATCATCCCAACCAATTCTAGCAATTCCAACAACAAATATATCAGCATTTACAACTATTTTTATATAAAAATATTTTAATAATTAAAATTAAAAAAATACCCAGATTTCCTTTATTCCTCTCAATTATTTTAATTATTTGTTTAGCAGCTTGGGAACAAGTTAGAAAACATGGTTTCTCGTATTCATTTCTTTTTCTAAAATTTTTTAAAAAATATTTTAATAATTAATTTAAAAAAACTTCAAAATATTTTCCAAACTTTGTTCTTTTATTTTAATATCTATAAATATTTTTAAGAAATTTTAAAATTTATATAAATACCAAGTAAACATAATGTGTGCATTCCATTATTCAAGTTTATTATGATCCTTAAAATTAAATTGTATAACAAACAAAAATAGATTAAGACAAAAAATGGGGATTATTTTGTAGTTAAAGCCTTTTCTAAAATAAATTTTGGTAATTCGTTATGCCTACACGGGTTTGTGATTGTAAGTTTCTACTTTTCTTTTATAGTACAATTATGTAAGTATAAGAAGACAGAAAAGATAATTCAAACATAACTCGGCAGAATAAAATTCAATTTTTATCTGTAGAAAAATATAAAATTACTCCTTTCTGTCTCCTTTTTTATGATTGTGCAATAAAGAAAATCTGTTATCCTAAATTTATGTTAACAAACCCGTGATTTTAAAAAAATTTCTGAGTTTTTCCTTTCCCATTATACAGGGTGACTAGAAAGTCTTTGCCCGCACCTTTTTTATCATAACTTTGTTAAACCTCACTCAAATAATGTCAAAATACAATCAAATAATAGAGAATTAAATGGGGAACAAAATAAATTAGGATTTTTCGAAATACCCCCCTTTGGCTTTAAAACAGAGGCGCAGACGCGAGCAAAAATTTTTGCAAGATTGCCGCACCTTCTCAGTTCCTCTTTTCAGATGGCAAAATTTTTATGAAAGAGACATGTCAGAATCGCATAAATGACAGATTTTGGGTCTCAAAATCTCCTCTTTCTTATCCAGTTGTAAAGGATTTCCAACTCCCTTCCTTTGAAATGTTATGGACTTTTATTTGCAAAACGATCAAAATTTCTTGATTTTCATGAATCCTTGGGTCAAACTTAATAAATACGCCGATCTACGCGAAATCTTTAAGTATGTTTTAGAGCCTTGGGTCTGTGGAAACTTTTTGCATAGGGATTGGATCTTTAAGCAGAATTCTTCCCCTGCTTATAGGGCTAAAGTGATGCAAGGTTGTCGCTCAGCCAATTTACACAGTTTTAGCGTATCTCAAAAATGGCTACCGTACACACCGGGTTTGAATCCGTGGATTTATTTTTTTGGTCAATTTTGGAGGCAAGGCTCCTTGCTTAAAACCCTAAAAGTTTCAAGTCACTCCGACAATCACTCGTTTGGAAATGGGGAAAAATCAAAGGATAATAGGTGCGGCAATCATGCAAAAATGATTGTCTTAAAGCCAGAGGGGGGATTGTCTTAAGCCTCTGTCTTAAAGCCAGAGGGGGGTATTTCGAAAAATCCTAATTTATTTTGTTCCTCATTTAATTCTCTATCATTTGATTGTATTTTGACATTATTTGATTGAGGTTTAACAAAGTTATGATAAAAAAGGTGCGGGCAAAGACTTTCTAGTCACCCTGTAAATTAAAACAAGGATTTTAAAAAACCCTTTCATTTTTAACAAACTTTTCAAAAAAAGAATCTGGTTCCCAATTATCAGTCCAAAAAGGAATTGAGACAGTTGAGCCAAAATTATAAAGCTAAAATATTTTTAAAAAATCCAAAAATTAAAAATACTTGAAGTCCTGTGCATCCAACAGCTGTTAAAATCGAAGCATTATGAATCTAAATTATTTATTTAGAAATATTTATCAAAATAAACTAACCACTTTAACAGAAACACCAATTTGTTTTGCTCTAATTAACAAATCTGAACTTGAAATTTAATTTAAAATAAAGACTACCAAAAAATTTTACTGTGTTGTAGCACCAAAAGGATCACCAACAATTAATAAAGCAATATCCTCATTTAAAGATTCTTCCAAAACTTTTTCTTTTTTTGAAAAGAAAATTAAAGAAAAAAATATTTAAATTTAAGCACCAATTTTTTGTTCAACAAATTCTCTATCTGCTTCAATTATTGGCCTTTCATAAAATTTTTCAATTTGTGTTTGATCAAAACCAAATGAAAGTAAACTTGTATAATTTTCAAAATAAACTTTTTTGCAACGGCGAATCTTTTGAAAATTTATATTTATTTTTAATAAATAAATATAAACTAACAATATTTAATCCTTTTACTGTTATATCTGTGACATCTCCTAACCCTAATCCAACAAGATAAAAAACCATCTTTCACTTGAAAAAAAAATAAAAATTTGTTAATTTTTGAAAATTTAATAAAAAAATATTTGAAGTCTCGCAATTTGGCGTTATAAAAATTTTTTTTTATTTTTTGGCATTCTGTCAAAACAAATTTTAGACAAATTTCGTCATTACAATTCGCCGTTTTTGTAATGACTCGGCCCTTAATTTGGTCCGATAATAATTTATTTATTTTAGCATTTCTTATTCGTTTATTTTTTATTTTATATGCTCGGATTCACGATTATTTATTTAATGTAATTTTTAATTTTTTTTTTTAATTTTACTTCTTTAATTTTCTAGTTAAATTTTACTGATGTTGATTACGAAGTTTTTACAGAGGCTGCACTTTTGGTTTTACAGGGATCCTCTCCATATAATCTTTCAACTTATAGATATTCACCAATTATTGCGTGGATTCTTGTTCCTAATTATTTTTTTGCTGATTTTGGTACAGAAAATTTTTTAATAGAAAAAAACTTTGTTTTTGAGGGAAAATAATTTTTTTGATTTTGGATGTTTTTGTTGGTTGGATACAATTACAATATTTTACCCAATATGACAAAAACTCTACAACAAGTAAAGAAATAATTTCAAACAAATTAATTTTATTTCGTCGTTCAATTTGTTTTCTTTGGTTATTTAATCTTTTCAATATAATTATTGCAACTCGCGGAAATTCTGATGCTTTAATTTGTTTTTTAAATTTGTTGACAATGATTGAATTATCCAAAGGAAATTATTTATTCTCAGCTGTTATTCATGGATTGGCAACACATTTGAGAATATTCCCTGTTTGTTTGTTTTTTATATCGAAAATACATAAATTATTTGAAGAATATTTTCTGATTAATTTATTAAATATTTTTATTAAAAAAATAATTCTTTCGTTTTATTTTTCAGTTAATTTATCTTCCTTCAATTTTTCTTCATTTATCCAATTATAAAAATAAAAATTTGGGAAATATTAAATTATTTATTTTAAATTGTTTACAAAACAAGAGGGGATTTTTATTTATTTTTGTAAGTTTTTCTTTTAATTAAAAAAATTTCTTTTTTAAAGGCAAGTATTTTCTCTTTTTTACTTTCAACTTTTATTTTTTATTTATTTTATGGACAATCATTTATTTATTCTTCTTTTTTGTATCATTTAACAAGAGTTGATGTTTCTCATAATTTTTCTCCATATTTTTTACCTTTATATTTGTCAATGAATAATAAAGAATGGACTAAATTTATTGGAATTTTTTCATTTTTTCCACAAATTATTTGCAATGCTTTTTTTGCTTTAAAGTTTGTTAAATAATTTTTTAATTAAAAAAATATTTTTTTTCTAGATTTTCAGATGATTTGCCGTTTTGTTGGTTTTTGACAACATTTGCATTTGTCTCTTTTAATAAAGTTTTTTTAAATAAGTTCAAAAATATTTTTTTTTATTTTTAAAGGTTAGTACTTCACAATATTTTATTTGGTATTTTTGTTTTCTTCCTTTAATTATTCATAAAATTAAAGTATTCTTTTTTTTAAATATTAAAATAAATTTATATTTTTTAGTTAAATTTAAATAAATTATTTTCACTTTTGGCTATTTGGTTATTTGCTCAAGGTAATTGGTTATTACCTGCTTATTTACTTGAATTTTGTGGATATAATACATTTGTATGGATTTGGTTAGGATCTTTAATTTTTTTAATTACAAATTGCTATATAATGATACAATTTATTAATTATTATTTATTTGAAGAGAAAAAATTAATTGAAAAGAAAATTGAATAATCTTTGAAATTTTATTTTTCTTTTTTCTTTCAATTTTTTTAATATTTATTGTAAAAAATTTGATTTTAATTTTTTTTATAAAATTACATATTTATTTAAATTATTTTTATTTAATGTTTACAAACTTTAAATATTTTCTTAATTTTGATTTTATTTTTTAATTTTTTAGAAGAAAATATGGGCAAAAAAAGAAAGGCTTTTGAAGATATTAACAAAAAAGCGACAGGTTTATAATTTTTTAAAATTTAATTTAAATATATTTTTAGGTGTTCGATTTGACAAACTTAAAGGGCAACACATTCTAAAAAATCCTGGAGTTGTCCACGCAATTATTGAAAAGGTTTAAATATTTAAAATTAAAAATAAATTTAAAAAATTTAAGTCGGCAATAAAAGGCACTGACACGGTAATGGAAGTGGGATCTGGTACTGGAAATATGTCACTAAAAATTATGCAAAGAGCAAAAAAATTGATAGCTTTTGAAATAGACCCAAAAATGGTTTCAGAATTACAAAAAAGAGTTATTGGAACGTAAAATTTTATTTTTCTTTTTAAAAAAATAAATTTAAATTTTTAGTCAAAATCAGTATAAATTAAAAATAATTACTGGAGATGTAATTAAAATAAAAGAATGGCCCCAATTTGATATTTGTGTCTCCAATTTGCCTTATAAAATATCTTCGCCTTTTGTTTTTCGATTATTGTTGCAAAGACCTTTGCCAAGGTTTTGTTTTAATTATTTTAAACATTTTAATTAAAAAAAAAGATATGCTGTTTTAATGTTCCAAAAAGAATTTGCTGATCGTCTTACAGCCTCTCCTGGTAGTAAATGTTATTGCCGTTTATCTGTTAGTGTACAATTATTAGCAAAAGTTGAACATTTAATGAAAGTTAAACGTTCAGAATTTGTACCTCCTCCAAAAGTTGATTCTGCTGTTGTACGCATAGAACCTAGATCTCCCCCACCAGCAATTTGTTATAAGGTTTTTTATTAGAAATTTAAAAATAAAAAAATTTATTAAAGGAATGGGATGGAATGTTAAGGATTGCATTTATGAGAAAAAATAAAACTATTCTTTCTTTATTTAAACAAAAGAATGTTGTTAACATTTTGGAGCGTAATTATAAAATTGTTTGTAAATCAAAAGGAAAGGAAATTTCTGATGATTTTTCTATGGAAGAATTAATTGAGCGAACACTTGTTGATGGACAATTTGCTAACCGGAGAGCAAGAACAATGTCTATAGAAGATTTTCTTGCTCTTTTAATAAATTTTAACAAGGAAGATATTCATTTTTCTTAATTTTTGTTATTGTTTTTAATATTATCAGTTAAAGATTATAATATCGACCCATATCCTCGTTAATTTATTATCATTTTTATTTTACATATTTATAGATTTCATACAATGTTTCTTTTCTGACTTTAAAATATATCTTTATTATCTTCAGAATTACTGCTATCATAATCTTCACAATTATATATCGAAATTCCAGGTAGAAAAGATGATTGTTCACCATTACTTGTTTCTTCTTTTTCATCTATGCATTCTATGTCCACTTCGTCTTCTTTTAATATTTCTTCATCACTAAATTTTAAGTTTATCAAAGTTTACTTTTTTAAGCAATTTATTACTTGTTACTGTTTTTTGTTTTTCTAGTTTTATTGTTTCCCTTTTGATTGGTTTTAACACCTAAAAGTATTCTTCTTTTAATCTTTCCTCCAACAGAACCTCCTCCATCGCCTTTCCACTTACAATTTTCTAATGCATTTTTAACTGATTGTTGATGTAATTTTTCAGCTAAAAGTTTACTTGAGCTTTTTGTAAATGAACATTTTGATGTTGATGGAGAAGAAGAAACAATGCTAGAATTTTGTTCAAAATGTATTGGTTGCTTCATAAGTTTTTCTTTGCTTAATGTTTCATCTCTTTCTTTGTAAACTAAAAAGATAACAAGTATTCTTAATTAAAAGCAAAATTAAAAAAAATTAATTTACCATCCAATTGTTTGCTTAGCACCAATCTTTTTGCAGCTATTGCATCTTCTTTATTTTCTGGTAAAAGAGAAACTTCTGTTGAAAGTCTTTGTTGTATATCAGCATCTTTCACTCTACGTTCTGTTAATGCTTTTCTTTCTGTTCGAAAAACACTCCGTAATGCGGAATTCGCCCCAAAATCATCATAAAGCCTTGACTGGATCCATTCAAGTTTGTCAATTCTTTGATCATCCCCTGCTAATTTTTGTTTATCCTCAACTGTATGTTCTGTCTATAATTAAATTAAAAACTAAAATTATTTTGTTAATTTTTTAAAATTAAAGACCTTAAACATAGCATCAGAGGCTAATTTTAAACTCATCGTTCGATCTACTGGTGCCAAACTAAAAATTGAGGATTTATAGATTCAGTATTTCTAAACAAACTTATCGATAGTAGATGGATCAAAACGGATTTCCTGCCGCCTAACTCCTTCAACCAATTCATAATCAAAATTTTTTGGATCTGTGCGTATGATGAAATAATTATCACAAAGATGGCACTTCATACGAAACTCGTAAATTGGTGCTAAAATTTATAAAATAAAAAAATCGTGTTTTAACAATTTTTGGGAGATCTAAATGGAGTGCTACTACAACTGATCAGAAACTTAAAATAAAGCCCAATAACCCAAATTATGACTTAAAAACAAGAAAAAACCCTTTTTAAAAAACATACTTGTGTAATACATTCCAACCTTCTTCTTTTCCGCATTATAACGTACACTCATACCAATATGATTATTACATCCCAAACACCAAACATTAAAGGGCATTTCAAATCTAATTGTTAAAATTCCAACATTTGCTTTCTTTCCACGCTCCCGTAATGCATGAACACCATGATAACTATTTAATGTTTTGTGAGTACGCCAATTAAAATCTGGCGGATAATATTTATTTTGGCCTTTACGTTCACCCATTATTTCTAAAAAATTAGTTAAAAAAATAAAAAAAATAAGAAATAAATAAATTGATATAACAAATAAAAATAGATTAAATTTAATCTTAACTTTTTATTGAGCAAATGAACATTAAAATTAAGTAATAATTTAGACGGTCATCACAATCTCTGACTACTCCAAGAGCCCGCTCCACCATTAAAAAAGATTATAGCATGTCAGTCAATACAATTTTAGATTTTGACATCCCGGTCTTTTAGCGACAATGTTAATCATAAAATAGATATAAATATGTATGGCGTCAGAGATTGAAATGAGATAAAATAGGTGTACTGTAAAAAGAGATCTAACACTCAAAAATTTTAAATAATTTAAAGTCCAAAAGAGAAAGTCATTTAAAATATTGCATCTTCTTCAACCATAGAAAGACTTGAGGAAATATTTATTGCCATAATATATTTTTGGAATTCATCAGCCATTAAAGCAGATTTCTGTGTGCGAGTATGCCAAACAAAAACTTTAGTACAATGCATAGCTAAAGGTTCAAGATCTTCTCTTTTAATGTCCAAAGATTGCAAAAAATGTGATTCCTACAAAAATGTAAAGCAAAAAATAATCAAAAAAAATTAAAAAAATACCATAAAACCACGCGGAGATTTATAACTAAATAAACTTGTAGAGTGTTCATGAATTAAAGAAATATTTATAGCAAAGCCAGCCATATCCATAGGGAAAGGACGTTCAGGCTTCCAACGAGAATTAAAACCATTAACTGTATCTAAAAATAATAAATATTAAAAATATTTAGAAAAATTTTAAACAATTTGTTAAAGTTCTTTCCAAAAGAGGAGTCTCAACAAGCATTCCACCAACAATTCCAACAGGCCAAACACCAATTTTTTGGTTTATTTTGCGCATTTCATCAAAAAGTCTCCAATCATAAGTATTGTCGTCATCACCAAAATAAACAATTCCTCTCTTCCAAGAATTTAAATTATTTCTGAAAAAATAAAAATGTTTTTATTTTGTTAAAGTGAATTTACCTTATCCAAAAAAGAGCAGAATTTCGTTGTTCTACTCCACGAGGAAATTTCCATCTTGGATCAGAAAACTTCAATTTTTTATCAGCAGGTGTTTCTTTTACAAGATGAACACCTTTAATTTTCAATCTATCAAATAAATCGTCAATAAATTTTGAAGGAAATTGAGCATCCTTACAAAAAGAAAATTAGATTTTTTAAAAATTTAAATAAAAACCTCAACAATAATCCAAAATAAATTACAAATATTTCCAAGTGTTTGTCCAAGTCTTGTAAGGTCAGCTTTTTGTTCTGGTCTGTAAGATGTCGGTGTAACAAAAATAATTGGATCTTCATTTAAACATTTATTGTCATTATCAACTTTATTACATGTCAAATTAAGTAAAAGAATATTTGTTCGTAATTTTGAATTTTCAAAAGTTAAATCAATAATTGTCTTCAAGTTGTAAAGACTTGTCATAATAAGAATAAAAAAAGCAAATAAAATGAAAAATAAAGAATTCGTTTGTTGATTAAGCATTTTTTATTTTAGAATAAAATAACTAAAAAATTAAAAATCTGAAAAAAATAATAAACAAACAATTGAAAATAAATCTAAATTGAAGAAAATTCCGAGACTCAAATAGTATAAAATTCTAAAAATAAAAATGGACGTTTCAGTCTTAAAAAAAACTGCAAAACTGTTCAGAATTGACATAGACTGAATCGTCCCCAATCTTTAAACAAAAGAAATTTTTAATAAAGTCTCCTTTCAATAGTTTTATTTATTACTTAATTTCATCTTATTTAATTTTTTTAGTTTTACAAAGCAACAACAACAAAATATGGTTGTAATTATACCAAAATCAGAAAAAGAATTTACAGATCTTTCTTATTGGAAAAAATTTTTTAAGCATAATTCTTCATTTGAATGGTTTATTTTTTTTATGAATTTTATAAATATTTAAATTTAAAAGGTATGGAGATTATTCAAAACTTGGACAAATTTTTGAGAAATATATTAAATCTACAGATTTTATTTTACAAATTGGTTGTGGAAATTCTTCTTTGGCTGATGATGTTTATTTTTAAATTTTATTTTTAATTTTCTCTTTTTTTAGCTTTATGATAATGGTTATAGAAATATTTTGAGTATAGATACTGATCAAAATGTTTGTTTTAAAAATATATTTTTTCAATTTAAATTTTTAGGTAATCGATAAACAAAATAAAAAGAATTTGGAAAATAGGCCTACATTAAAATTCAAAAATTGTTCTGCTTCAAATGTTTGTATCAAAATTAAAATATTTATTTGGATTATTTCTTTGACAATCCCGGAGAATTGGGGTTTCTGCGAAAAAAAGTTTAAAAATAAGAAAAAGTATTCTAGGGTAAAAATATGCTGCTTACGAATCTGAGCTCAGATTTTGAAAAAGTCGAATCCCGAACCCTCGTTCCGAATTCGGGATTCAGCTTTCTCAAATCTGAGCTCGTATTCGTAATCAGCATATTTTTTTACCCTAGAAACATCATTTCTCCTATTATTAATCTTTTTTCGCAGGGACCCCAATTCTCCGGGATTGCCATTTCTTTTAAATTATTTTAATTTTTAGATTGATTTACAAAATTCTTCAGTAAATGTAATAATTGATAAAGGAACATTAGATGCTCTACTTCCCTCAAAATATTCTGAAAAAGAATATATTTTAGTTGATTCAATTTTTAATGAAATTGAAAGATGTTTAGCTCCATTTGGACGTTATTTAATTTTAAGTTGTTTTCTTTTAATTTTTAAAATTATTTTTTTATTTTTTAGGTAACTTTAGCACAAGAGCATATTATTCAGAAATTGTTAAATTATTTTGATAAAAATCAATTTATTATTCGGTTTCAAAAATGTTTTCAATCTGGAAAAGAATTTGTAATGCCTGTTTTTGCTGTTATTATTACTAAATTAAAAATTCCTTTACCTCAAAAACGGGTAAGAATTTTTTGGTACTAGGCGTTTATGTATATCCTCATATTTTTCTTTTTTTTCGAATTTGATCGGCTATAACTCTTCTATCATTGATCCAATCTGAATGAATATTATATCATTCGAAAGCCCTTGATAAGCACGTCTTTTTTTCCAACTAGATGGATCAAGCTTGATAGCAGATTAAAAAATTACAACTCGTTAAGTGTGAAAAACAACGATATCTTGCACTTATCGAGTTGTAACTTTCTAATTGACGATTTTCACTTTAAGAATTAATTAAAATTTAAGGAGGCCCTGTTATTTTATAAATTTTTTTAGAAAATTGAATATTTAAATGGACTAGATATACAACCAGAATTAATTGAAACTTCAGAAAAGTTAATAGAGAGAATAAAAGCAGAACAACAATTGAGTTGGTTTAAACATTATATATCAAAGTAATATTTTAAAATTTTAACAAAAAAAAATAATATTTTTTAAGAGGGCCAATTGAAGAGGCTTCTCTTAAAATTTATTTTTCTAATGGAAAAGAAAGATATGAACTTTATATAGTAGATGAGTATAATATAAAGAAATTAACTAAATATGGAGTTTTTATTGTACCGCTGGGAAGGTTTTTTTGTAATTTTTTTAAATTAAAAAAAAATATTTTTTAAGAGAAAATGATTGGATTTTTGTAACGGCAAAAGGACGTCAAAATCTTCGAATGAATTGTCAGTTGCATAGGTAAAATTGTTTTTAGAAATTTTATTGACGTTTAGGGTTTGACCTTTGGGGAGTACAGGGTTTAGGGTTTGTTAAGGTTGTTGGTGCTTTCATTAACAATTTTTTGTTTTTTTAATTATTTAATGTTTACAGATTAATTATGGTTCGATTATTTCGTGACCAAGATTACCAATCACTTGATGCAATACAAAATGAATTAAATAATATAATTCTTGATTTTATGCCAAAAGATTGTATTAACCAAAAAGTATTTTTTATTTTAATTAAAAAATTCTTTTTTCTAGATAAATTATTTATCGTTGGGGTCAACAGATGTTAGCGAAACTATTGAAACTGGAAATTCTAAAATAAATGGGAAATGGACTGTAGAACATGTTATTGCTAATGAATTGACATATCGACGTTTAATTTTTTTAGATAGTTCAAATTTAGTTCAATCAGAAGTTGAAGTAAATAAAATAAAAAATAAAACAAAAGAAGGTTTTTTTAAAAAAAATATTAAAAAAATTTTTAATTTAAAAAAAAAGATGAAAAAGAATGGAAAATTAATTGGTCAAATCCTTTTAGCTGTGAACATCACAAAAATATGACTTTGGCTCTTAATTTTCTTTTTGATAAAGAAGGAAGAAATATTTTATTAGAAAATGTCTTAAATGAAAAGTTGAGAATTGCGTTGCTGGGAGTGGGTGGAGGGATTATTTTAAAAGCTTTTCATGATATTTTAATAAATGTAAAAAATTAAATATTTTATTTAAAAATTTTTATTTTTACATTTAGTCAATTTTTGTTGGTGTTGAATTGGATGAGGAAGTTGTAGAAATTGCTTCCAAACATTTTGAATTCCCCAAAAATTCAGAACGTATAAAAATTGTTATTTGTGATGCAATTAATTTTATAAAAGAATCTGCTGAACAAGGTAAAATTAATTTAAATAATTTTAAAAATATTTAATTTGTTTAAATTTAAAAATTAAATATTAAGTTGATAAATTCGATATAATTTTTGTTGACTTGTCCGGACAAGTAAATCCAGAAGGTTTGTATTGCCCTCCGTCCCAATTTGTTACAAAAGGAGCTTTGACATTTATGAAGAAAATGATTAAAAATGGAGGTTTTCTTTTAAATATTTTCTTCTAAATAAAAATAATTAAGGAGTTTTGGCGTTAAATTTAGTTACTAGAGATGAACAAACTTCTGTAGATGTAAAGAAAACAATAAAATCTGTTTTTAGTTCTGTCTATTGCGTTAGAGGAGATGAGGTTAAATTTAATATTTGGGTACTAAATTTAAATTTTAAAAATAGGATGTTAATGAAATTGTTTTTTGTTCACTTTCACCTAAAAATGAAATTGATGAGATGATTAAAGAGACAAAAAGTCGACAACTTCCTACAAATATATGTAACTGGTTAAAAGAATACACAGATAGGATAGAAAAGATTGTTGAATTTACAATTTAATTTTGTAAATTTTTTGTTTTACTTCAGTAAATATTCATAAAATTATTGGGGAAAGTGGTTAAGATAATACAAAAAATTATATTTAAATTTAGTTAATTTATTTAAATAATTTACAAAATAAAGTTGGGGACCTCAATCGACCCTTATAATGAAAAAATATAGCTAAAGTTTGGGTGTAAGTAAAATCGAGGTCTCTATAACTCTGTAAAAATTTATTTCCTCAAAAGGGACCTTATTTTTACCTTCCTATTTAATTAATAGGAAAAAAAATTTATTATTCACAAAAATACAACTAACACAAACAAAATCTTTATCTTCAATAAAAACGAATATTCACACAGAATATTATAAAATGAATATCAAAAAAAGATATTGAAAAAGTGAAGTTTTTGCCCACTTTTTATAGGCAAAATTAACTATGATAAAAATGATGCAATGTAAGTACATTGCAAAATTTACACAAAAATATTGTCAAAAATAGAAAGTAAATGAATCACAAAATATCAAAAAATTTTATTAAAAATTAAATTTCGTCAACGACAAACTCACAAATTTCTATTAATTATTTTTTATTGTTTCGTCCAATTTGTGTACTAGACGATTCAAAATCCTCATCAATTGTACTTAAAATAAACAAAAAATTATTAATTTTGAAAGTTTTTACCCACAATGTGCCAATATCAACTCCTTTAGATTCTTCAGTATTTTCATAAGTATCAATATATTCATCATCATAATCATCACCAAAAATCTTTAAAAAATATTAAAATTCTTTAAAAATTCAAAACCTCATTAGGACAAGAATTTTTTTCTTCAATCATTTCAGCTAATTTAATACTTGCTGTTGCCAATGCAATACGCTCATCTTCTGATAAATCCTTAAATTTAAATTTATTTAAAAAATTAAATTTATTTTTACTTTTTGTGAAGATTTTGGTGCAAAAAGTTTTCCATCAATATTAATTGTTGCTTCATCTGATTTAATTAATTCATTTAAATCTTCAATTTCTTTGAGAATTTTTTTGAAATTATTTTCGTCAAAATAAATTATATCAGAAATATTTCCTAAATTAATAATTTATTGTTAAATATTATTTATTAGCTGAATGTATTTTCTAATTTAATCCAAAAATTTGATTAATTGTAGATGCTTACTAATTTGTAAGTACCTAGTTTTACATGATTCCCTCTATTAAAATATCTTCCCATTCAAAAAATTTTTAAACTGTTTTTAATTTAAAATAACAAATATTCCCAAAAGAAATAAAATTTTCAAAATAACTTAAGTTACAAAAAAACCCAAAAAAATTCCCTATAAACCTAAATTTTCATCAGAAACCAAAGCTTGTTTTGGACAGCAATTATCTTCCTCCAAATTATCTTTTACTCTCAATAAAATTTTTAAATTTAATGGAAGTTGTTCTCTTTGACACAAAGCTTCTGTTGTTTTTTCAATATCATAACCAAAATGTCGAAGACAAAGCTTTTTTTTAAATTTAATTTTAATTTAAATTTAACAAAAAATACATGTATTTGTTGATTAGATAAATCAGACATAATTTCACTTAATTCTTGAATTTGATCAGAAATATATTTTTCTTTTGGAAATCCAATAAACTAAAAAATAATTTAAAAAAAAATATTTATTTTTAAATAAAAACCTTTAATATTCTTTGCCTTAAAAGTAAATTTTTAATTAATTTTCTTTTTTCTTCATAAGCATTTTTAATTGCTTTTATCGAAATTTCTAATTGATTTTCTGTACAAACACCATTTGAAATAAATTTTGAAAATTCTCTTTCCAAATTAATTTCATTGTCAAGACGAACAATAAATCTTGAAAAAAATTTTTAAAAATTCAATTAAATATTTTGGAAAAACTTTTTAAAAATTACAAAAATTATTTATAATATTTATTTTAATTAAAAATAAATACTTACTCCTTTTTATCAATATTTTCAATAATTAATTGTAAACGTCTTTTATTATTAACAAATTCACAATTGTAATAAATACAAAAAACATTTAAAGAAGATTGAAGTAATTTTGAACGAGAGATTAAAATTGATCTAAAAAATAAAATTAGGTATTTAAATAAAAAAATAAACTCTTCATAAATATTCTTCACATTTATCAATTTATCATCCTCCAAATAATTCCAAATTTCCTCAATAAAATTCGGTAATATTTGTATTATATTTAAAATAATTGAATGATTTTCATTATTTAAATAATTTAAACAAATATATGAAATTGAATGAAATAAATTACAAATTAATGCTGATAATTGACTAAAATGTTGGATTTTTTGAGAAAAAAATATATTTTCTTTATCATTAAATAAAGATAATGAACAAATTAAATCTTTAGTTTTTTGTAAAATCTAAAAAAATATATGTAGATTTTTTTGAAAAAAAATTGCAAAGAATTTACCTGTGGTATATTTCTGAAATTTGTTATAAATGTATTCATTCTTTAATAAAATAAAATTCAGGAAAAGCTAAAAAAATAAAGAATTTGGCAAATTACTATTTGGGATAAACTGTCATACTAAATTATTTAAATTAATTTTATATAAAATTTATTATAAAGAAACAAAAACACATTTTTTATTTCCGTCAAGACCGTTTAGATTACATTTATTCCGTGAAGACAAATTATAATATTTTTGGTGCTTAAAAAACGCCCACAAATTTTTTTAAATTTTCATCCCTCTTATAAGAGAAAATGATGCACATATGCCAATTAGGGAATAAATTTTTTGATCGGGTTTCGGGTCGGAAAAAGTCCGGGTTTAGGATAGGGTTCCGGGTGGGGTCAGTAAGGCTCATCTGAAATAGCTCTTTGAGATTAAATGTCACCTTTTATCAGATGTGGGCGTATAAAGAATAATTACAATATTTTTTAAATAAAATAATTAAAAGTAAACTCTAATCAAAAGTTGAAAGGAATTCTTCGTAAAATTTTGCGTTCTTCTGTTTCTTCTTGACTTGTTGAATTTTCACACGCGACTAAAAATAAACAATTTAAAAATGGACAAGACGATCGTGAGCCAGTTTGAAAAAACCACGAGGGAATTATTTATAAAAATGAAGTTCACGGTCTAACTATAAGGCAGGCTCAAAAAACTAAAATAAACAAACAAAAATAATATTCTGCTCCAATTCTTCTATACGTTTCCAAATATCATCCTCATCATCTGGCACATCTTCATGAATCTCATCCATAATTCGAAGATTTTTCGGTACGTGAAAAATAAATTTGTTGGCATGTTTCTTTAAATAAAAATTAAAAAAATAAATATAAATAAAAAAACCTGCGCCTTGTGGAAAATTAGATCAAACTTCCCATTCTGAACGAAAATTGAATTTAAAAATAATTAAAATGTTACTTGGAGTAAACGATCAAAGAGAGCCTGTTTAAGAGATTCAATCGGTTTATTCATTCTCATCTCTGTCAAATTTAAATGTTGTCTAAGCAAATGAATTGTCGTCCCTTGGATAACAATAGACCAAGAATCGGTAAAAATAGTCCGAACTAAAAATAATAAAGACGTAATAGGTACTTATTTATTTGTTATTCTTACTTCTCTCTTCCCCCCTCCCCTCCACCCCCAGTTAATTTTTTTTGTTAAATATGTATAAAATAGTCAGTCGGTTTAAAGAATACACAACTCATCAAGCTGTGTCGAATGACACCAAAATAAGGCCATGTCCTTAATTTTGAATCGAGATACACCCCCTTTTATTTTTCAACTTTCAGGGGTCTGTATCTCGGCCCAAAATTAAGAACACGGGCTGATTTTAGTGTCCTTCGTCACAGCTCGACGAGTTCTATATTATTTAGACCGACTGAACATTTTTGCACATCTTTAAAAAATAAATTGACGGGGGGGGGGTGTTTAAACTTATAAAACACGAATTGCTTATATATTGTACAAATTACTAAACAAAAATTACTTTAATAAAACAAAACGAAAAATCAAAAAAGTGCGAAAATTTAGCCGTAACTAAATATAAATGTTATTACCGTGATAGAAAAATTTTAAAGAAAATTTAAATTAAATAAAAAATGCTTACATGTCTCCAAAACCTGTGAACTCGAAAATTGGAAGAAATTAAACTGGCGAACAAGATGTGTATTGTTATTATATGAAGAACATTCAGTTTCGTCAATATTAAAAGAATAATAGTCCATTTTAAAAACTAAAATAAAGAAAAAAGAAATTAAATAACAAACAAAAAAGTCTAAAATTTGTAAAAAAAATGTAGCCTTTTGTTTCAAAGTTTGAATGAAATTTTTGAATTTAAAATCATTCGTTGTAAAACATTTTTAATTGAACATTTGAGTCCAAGATTTATTAAAGTCTTTGGACTCTTAAGTACGCACACCCAACTAAAATTTTATTCTTTTGTTTAATCATCCCAATTGCTTCAAAAAATCTTAGATTCTCCTACTTTCCCAAAACATTTCAAATTTTTACGTTGCAAAAATTGAATTTATTTTATATTTATTTAAATATTTTCTTAAAAATATTTCTAGACAAAAATGTTCGGTAATCGTATTTTAATTCCAATTCGATTTATTCGTACAAGTGCGTATCGCTGTAAGGAAGTTGATCTTCTTACTGAGGCTTATCTTAAGCAAATCCGCGATTTGGCTGCTAAACAAAAGTATTTATTTTTTGTAAGAATTTTTTAAAATTTAATTTTTCAGAGCTTCGGGCCCCGATTTTTGGGAAAGTTCTGCAGAATTCAAAAAAACTTTACAAGACCAACTTAACCGTCTGGCTACTAAATATCAATTGCCAAATGCTGATGCTGTGACTAAATTGGATTTAAAATTTGAAAAGCCGAAGCTTGAAAGTTCTGTGGCGGCATTGTCTGAAGGAAAGCCTGCCGAGTCTTTATTGGAGGAATTGAATATGACGTTAATTTTTAAATAAAATTTTTGAGATAAAATTCTTTTTCTTTAGAAAGAAACAATACGATGAAGAACAGGCAGAGGAACGTCGAAAAGTAAAAGAAATGACTGCTAAATTGGGTCAACAAGAAGAATTTATGCCTTTTCCGATGCCGCTTAAAGAAGAAGCTAAAAAGTTTGCTTAATTTTAAATGGATAAATAAATGTGGGTAGACTTTTTTAGGAAAATTAATTGAAAATTTTTTGTTTTATGTTAAAATTAAAGTAAAAATTAAATAAAAAATTTTTAAAGAAAGTTTAATAATTTGTAATAATCCCCTAAAAGACAACATTTGAATTCTTTGCTACTAAATACAAAGGTTTTAATATCATTATAAATTTAAAATATCAAATTACTTTTTTAAACATCCCCTTTACTTAATTTCCTTTAATGACAATTTCCAATTCCACCTAAAATTTTCAAAAAAATTTTTAATTCAAAAATTTGTAAACCTTTTAATGCAATTTCTTTTATTTTTGTAATTAAAGAATCTAGAAAAAATAATTTAAAAAATAATTTTTCAAAAAAATACCGGAAAGTTTATATTCTTTTTGTAAAATATTTAATAAATTAAAATCTTCTTTTGAATTTCCACCTAAATAACCATTTATTTTTGTTGCCAAAGTTGAATTAATTAATTGAGAATTTGTTAAATTTAACTTTAAAAAATAAAAAATAATTTTAAATAAAAAAATATTTCAAAACTTCTTTAAAAATATCATTTTCACACCGAAGCCAATATTTTTGGTGATAATCCTCTGCTTGATAAAATTTGTCAAATTTTTGTAAAAAAGTATAAAAAATTGTATTTTTGTTGGTATATTTTTCCTTTAAAATTTAAAAAAAAATATTTTTTTTCTAATTAAAAATTACTTTAGCTTTTTCCATTTCTTCTAAAGCTATTTTCTTTTGTTCTTCATCAACATAAAGTATAACAGATTTGTATTGAGTTTTTTGGGGTAAAGTAAAATTGTGTTTTGAATAAAATAAATTGATAATTTCTTTAAATTTTGTTAATTCTGGATTAAATTGAATTTCAACAATTTCTTTTAAAAAATAAATAATATTAAATATACATTAACACTCCTCTTTCTCCATCCCTCCATTCCCCCCTCCCCCCTCCTCTTACCAGTATGATCACCAATATTTTGATATGTTGGAGATGGAGCAGTGCCTCCAGAATACCCAACTCTTGTTTTTAAAACGCCTGGTAATAAAGCAAATGTTGATTCCGATCCCCAAAAACACTGCATCCCCAAATAAGCTAATGAAAACTTTGACATTTTTAAATATGTATTCTCTATAAAAATTTTTAAGAAAATTTTATTAAATTTAAAAATGAAATAATTAGAGATAAACAAATCTGTAAATCAATAAATATTTTTACAATCAATCAAACTAACTATAAATATCGCTAATATGTAGGTTATAAAATAATGGAATGTTTATTTATATTGGACAACAGATTTGCGTCGTTATCGAAAATTTTTTTTCGTAATCGTAATTTATAAAAAAATATTAAAATTAATTTAAAAATCAAATAGTATCTATTTAATAAAATTAGAAAGCGTAATACTGTGATGAAACATCCAATAGACGTTACAAATTTTCAACAGTAAATAATGTTCTTGATTAAGTAATTTTCCTTTTAATCTATTGATATCCCTCTTAATCTTAAATCCCTTTTCTGCATTGCAACCGAAAATTTTGAGAATTTTGGAAGGCTAAGAGCCAGATTTCTTCCCTTTTTTACCGCCGAAGGCGAAAATTTTAAGAATTTTTGAATAGATTAATTTTTTAGCGATTTTCAAGATGATAATAATTTTTAAAAAATAAATTTACAATTTTAAAATCAAAATAGAAGTTTAAAAACATTTATGTTTGGAAGAAAAAGTTGTAAACTCTCATCTCCCAATCATGGATTCGAACCCAGCCCCAAGAATATCAAAGTGAGAGAAGCCAGTCTTCTAAACCACTCAACCACCGATCAACAAGGCGAATAAAGGAAGAGAATAACATTATTTCTTTCACTTTTCCTTCGAAAATTTAATAACAAATTACTAAGGTTTGAATATTTTAGTAATTCGTTATTTTTCCCGATATTTTAGTAATCGTAATTCCTAACTCAAAAACGTCGTAATTCGTAATTGTGGACAAGAGGCAGCTTTTAATTTTTAGAAAGATGATTAAATTTCCTACAAATAAACTTATACAATTTTTCTCGAATTTTGACCCTGTGATAATAAAAAAACACAAGAACTTTCTTCTTACATTAAAATTATTTTTCTTTATTTTTAATATTGATTTGCTTAAATTAAATCGAAAAATTAATTAGTAAGAGTAAAATTAATTTTAATTTCTAGTTTTTAATTACATTTTTCCCCTTTTTTTCAATTCTTTACAATTGCTTGCATAACCCTCTCGCTCTTTTAAATTTTTATATTTATTCCCCCCCCCCCTTCTTACTATTCATTCCCATGCGAATCTTCTCTTACTTATAGAAAAAAAAGGGGGAAGGGGAAGATCAATAATTCTTTCCTCGCAAGTCCCCCCTAATTTTTCTCTATTTTACTGCTGGACACAAACAAAAGCTCGGGCAGCTTATAAAAACATTTTATTTCTTTTTTTATTTTTCTCTCTATTTATTTATTTATAACTCGATTTTCTATATTTGTGTATTTTTAGTAAATTACTTTTTTTTAATTTTAAAGGGATTAAAAAAATTTTTTTGTTTATTTTTAATTAAAAAATTGTTTTTTAATGTGTAGGTTGATTGAATTAAAATTTTTTAATTTAAAATTTATTTTTTAAAAATTTTATTTGATGATTAATTCATAAATTAATCATAATCCAAAAGATTGATTTTTTAGGACCCTTTTAAACTTTAATTAAAAGAAGTTGAGGAAATAGGGGGTTGACCTTGGTTTAGCCGAACCCTATTTTGATTGGTTCTCCCTAATCCAAATATGTACTTTTAAAAATCATATATTTTATAAAAAAATTATATAAAAGATCATAGATAAAATGTTATATTTGACAAAATCTGGTGTCAGATTCGTGCTCAGCATTGTCGATTATCTCTATAAATTGATTTTTAGAAGAAAAAATAACAATCTTTAGAGGGTCTCACAGATTCTTCAGGATTGCCCGAAAGAGCTCTTCGAGATGGGTCGAATGGTACTAAAATCAACGAAATCTGACTTAAATGAACAAAGTTAAGACCGTTTGTTTTAGTCCTTGCAGCAGATTTATAAATATGCATGGTTAGATGATGATTTTTTAAAGAATTTCGGAATGGCAGGTGGGGAACTTTCGGTTAGACGAACAGATAAATCGAAACTAAACTTTCGGTTAACTGAGACCGACCCGACAAACCGGACCAAACTCTTCGGGTTTTTCGTTTCTTTGAAACTGACAACCCTAATTATTACACAAATGTCATAATTTTGTCTACTCAATTCAGATTCAATAATTTTAGTTTTATTCAATTCAGCTCAACTGATGAGTTGAATATACATATTAGAATATGTATAGCGTGTCGGCCGATATTTTTCGATTAAAATCGACATTTAAAATCGGAAAAAATATTTCTATAAATTACCGATATTGTTTCCAATTTACATAAATTAATTAATATTATGTATTTTTTTCCAACAATTCTAAAAAAAGTACTTTTATTTTTATTTTAAATTTAATTTTATTTTTATTACCATGGAAATGTGATGCTTATTTGTAAAAATATTTTGAATTGTTTTGGTAGACACAATTATTTCGTATTTTTAATAAATAATGCAAATTAAAAATAAAAAAAAGTATATTTATTTATTAAATCCCAAAGCTCTAATTAATTATTTTTAGATAAAAAAAACAAGAAAAATAGTTTATAATACATAATATGTACATTTAAATTATTCCATTTTTGGCTGATATAATTATTTAGGTGTCCGGAAAATTGGGCTCTGGAAAATTGGGCTCCAAGATTTTTCGGAAAATTGGGCTCCAGCGGAAATTTGGGCTCTACGTGAAAAAAACGGAAAATTGGGCTCCAATTTTTTAGGCGCGGGAAATTGTGGGCGTCAGAGTGAATTTTTGGATTTTAACGAAAAATATCACAAAATTCTCTGGAATAACTATTTTTGTACTGTTACTTAGTGGGTAGGTCGGCATTTCAAAGATGAAAATCAGTCAAAATGAATAGGTTTATGTTACTGTTGTAGAACCCAGCGACCGTTGACTCCCGCGAGGCGCGTGCCGCAAAATCCCGCGCGAAGCGCGGGATTTTGCACAAGCGCCTTGCCGACGCCCATAGGTTTACGTTGTTTGATTTTGTATCATTTTTCGTTAAAATCCAAAAATTCACTCTGACGCCCACAATTCCCCGCGCCTAAAAAATTGGAGCCCAATTTTCCGTTTTTTCACGTAGAGACCAAATTTCCGCTGAAGCCCAATTTTCCGAAAAGTTGGAGCCCAATTTTCTGAAAAATCTTGGAGCCCATTTTTCCAGAGCCCAATTTTCCGGCACTCAATTATTTATTAATTAAAAATTGAATGGAATTTTGAAAAGTTTATGTATTTTGGAGTTTATGTATCTATCCAATACAACTCTTTCGCTATCAGATTTTTTTCTTTTTTTGCGACGCAGACGAAAATTTGTGAATTTTGGAAGATCCTTAAGTCAATCTTTCCTTTTCTGCGCCCCTCGGCGGTACATTAGGCTCGCGGTACACTGGCCTGCTCCCCTATTTTAATGCATATTTTATGTAGATATTTGCACATATTCGCGATTTTTTGTGCATATTTTTCCAGCTTATATGTATGTACTTAAATTTATTTTCTTCAATCTTCTCTCCTTTTATGCATTGATTTTTTTGAATTAATAATTTAATCGATAGATTTTTTATTTTAATTTATTTAAATTCTACATTTTTCAAATCAAAAATTTATTACAGTAAAATTATCCCCCCCCCATACAAGCAATACCAACAATTTATATTTTAAATTTTATTATGTAAATTTCTCGTACATACATATGTATTTCTGAATTGAATCAATTTTTTGAAGGATCTATTTTCTAAAATATTATTTTGATGACATCTTTTATTACAACTCAAATTTATATTTTAAATGAGAGTATGGTACTTTAAGTCGACTTTCTTACTTTAAAAATTGAAATTATATTTTAATTAAAGTACTTTGAAATACAAATTTCTGATTATCTGTAAATTCTGGCTTTTTTGGATGTATGAAAATCCAAAAAAAAACATATTTTGAAATTAATAGTTCTTTTTACTTTAACTTTGCAATCCAAGCCCCCAAATTTGTTAATAAATTTTCAAAATTTTATTTTTAGATATCTCTCTCTCCCTTTTTAATTAGTCAATCGTTATCGGCGCCTCAATATATTTTTGGGGCCTTCCTTTTTTTATATTTTTATACTTCTTTCCTAAAAGTCACGTCATTAAAAACTTTTAATAGAAAAAAATTAAATAACTAAAATAAATGTTTTTAGTATTGATTGAAACAAACTAACATATTTTTTTGTTATAATTTTAAAAAAAATAAAAAGAGTGTGTAGTATTTATTAAAATGTTGCGCTTTCCTGTTTTTCTGTCTGAAAATTATTTTATTTTTATTGTAATAATTTTGAATTACTTTTTTTTCTTTAAATTTATTTTAAGAAAATATTTTTTTAATAAAATGAAAATAAAATAAAATGAGCAATCAACAAATTAATCAATCTGTTAGTATTCCTTCAACAACTTTTCCGATGACTACAACAACATATAGTCCAATTAAACAAGAATTAAGCAACAATTCTAATTTATCATTTGCTTTACAGCAACAACAACTTGATCGGTGCGGAATTTTTAGGCAATTAAATAATTTAAAGAGACTGTGCTTTTTTTTTTAGATATTTATAGTTTTTATTAAAAAGATTAGGTTAGCCTTTTGTGTGGTGTAGTTGGTAAATGTTAGGTTTTGGTGTTTAAGTTGAGGTTCGAATCTTTGTGTGGTTATTTATTTTCTTTTAATTTTTTGGTACTTATGAAGATGGAGGTGCCCTTTCTGCGGACTTTTTTTGCGGACTTTTCTTCCCTTATTTAAATGTTTTACTTGTAGCAACTAACTGTCAACGATCCTCCCCCATTATTTTTCTTGCCTAAGATTGTACATAATGGTCAGACTTTCTTCTTCCCTCTCCTTCCTCTATTTGCCCTGTGGCATATTCAAACAAGAGACATTGATAGAGAGAAGATTAATTTTATAGTCATACACTTATTTTTTGCCTCCTTAAACAAGGTTAAACAAAAAAAGAATTAAATAAAATTGATTTGGTGTATAACATTATGAATTTGTGTAAAACTTTTACACTCTTATTTATTTTTAAAAATATTGAACAACTGAAATATTGAACTCAATATTGAACAAATCAATTTAAATTAATCTTCTCTTTATCAATGTCTCTTGATTGAATATGCAACAGGTCAAATAGAGAGAGGAGAGGAGTACAATCCTAGGTAAGAAAAAATGGGGGGACAAGGTTTGAAATTACCTGCATTTCTGTTCTACAATCAAATTTTCTTTTCTATGAAGCATTCCGAGATCAGTGATCCATTGTTGAAATTCAACATCGGGTAATTGAATTTTTATCATACAATTTAGTTGAAGTAAAATTTTTTATTGATTGTAACATTTTACGTTTATAATGTTTAAATTAATGGTGAACACATACATTTTTTTCAAATTGACATAAAAATTAATCCTTTGACAGTTAGTTGCTACAAGCAAAAGTTGCTGCAAGCAAAACAACCAAAACATTTAAAAAGAAACATTTAAAAGGAAAGGAAAAGTCCGCAGAAAGGACACCTCCATCTTCATAAGTACCAATTTTTTAAAGTATTTAATTCTTTATTTAGGAATGTGCCTCCTAATCCTTTGCTTGATAGACGCAGAAGTAGTGGCAGTATTCCAGTGTTTTCTAACAATGAAGGACAACATAATTTATTCAAAGGGGAAGAATCAGCTCGGCATCAATCATTTGGTGCTCAACCAAAAAATATTTCAAATATAAGATTCTCACAAGAAATTCCGTCTTATACAATGCAAAATAATCCAATTGGAAATACTTTTAATGTTCCCCAACAAAGTGTGATGTTAATGCCTGATAAAGAACATCAGAAGCAAAAGAAGAAAGAAAGTGCTGGATTTGGAATTGAAGAAAAACCTATTCATGAGTAAATTTAAAAGTTTAATTGATTTTTAAAAAATATTTTTAAAGATGTGATGCTTGTGGAAAACGTCTTTGTTCGTCTCGAAGTCTTAAACGTCACAAAAGTACATGTAAAAGAGTTAAAGCTGTAACTGAACAATTACAAGGCGATTTTGGTTCGCCCCCTCCACCGAAACCTGAAAATATTTTAGAAAATAAAGTAAAGGACCAACAAAATGTTCAAAAACAAATGTTTTTATATTTTGAAAATTTTTCTAAAATTTTATTTTTTAGACGTAAAATTAGCGGTGCAAATCAAATCTCCAATGACAATAAAAATAATGAAAAAGTTAATTTAACTCAACCTGTTCTTCGTCAATCTTCATCAGAATCTATTAATTCACAATCTTTTGTTTTATCTCAACCTTCTTTAGCTTCAAATAATTCTTCGCCAATAAAATTTTGTACTAATTCTGATTCTCAAAATTGTGGAGGACTTTCTTCTCCTCCTTTGGTTATTCAACAACAACAACAATTTTATTCAAGACAACCTTCTTATTCTTCTGCTCAAATTCAGGTGCTAAAACAAGAAAATGATTCGAAAAAAGATATGGAAATACCTTTTAAATTAACGCCAGTTACGGCTGTGGACGAGCCAAACAAGGTTTTTAATTTTTAAAATATTTTTTGTGAGAATACAGCTTTGTGGGAAAAAAGATGAACTCTTTTTTTTAAAATCATTAAGAGTAAATCAATAAAGATAGATCTGTTATTAAGTCTCGTTTACATGAAAAGCGTCGTGCGACTAAAAATAACATTCGAAAAATTACAAAAAGTGCTTTTTAAATGAATCATTATTTTAGTATTTTTTGCTAATTTAATAAAATGCCCACCCGACATAGTAAAATATTTTTGAATAATTAAAAGTTTTAGCTTAACAAATGATTATTTTTTATTAAAAAAGGTTTCGGATGTTGTCGATTCTGTTGTTGCAAAATTACGTTCACAAAATAGTGGAATCTCTGGCCGTATACCAACAAATTGCAATACAAATACTTGCAATATTTCAACAAATAATTCTCAACAGCAACAATTTTTGCCTCCTCCACAGCATTTTAATGTTCCAATTGAATGGAATGAAACAAATATGCCTATACAACAATTTTGTGAATCACAACAATTAGCAGCACCTACTATGCTTTATTATACCCCTGTTTCTCATCAACAACAACAACAGCATTTACAACAAAGACAGCAACAATTTAGTGGTGATATAAACAATCAACATGGAATTGTGGTATGTTTTTTAAAGATTTTTTGAGCAAAAAATAATCGGAAATTGGGGAAATACAAATTAAATTTCCTTTTCTTTTTAAAGCCAAATCAAATCGAACAAACAAAATGTCCACAATCAAAACCTTTAATGCCACCAATTCAACAACAACATTCTTGGCAACCAATGAATCCTCCAAATCTTCAAATATCACAACAACCTCAACCTATTCTTGCAGCACAAAGAAATAATAGTACTGAAAATACTAATTTATTGCCAACAATGTTAAATGAAAGTTCAACTACTAATACAATGAATGAAAGAGCAGAGTATTTTTTGAATTTTTTAAATAATTTTAAATAAAAAAATTTTTTAAAGAAAATTTCCTTGTCAATATAATAATAATGAACAAATAAAAAAGCAGCAAGAGGGACAGAATAATTCTGGAAATGTTAAAAATGTTTTGACAGAATGCCAAACAGAAAAACTTCCAAACTCGATGGGAATTAAATCAACAATTTTATCTTCTCCAACTCAACAACAACCTCCCCAACGTGCGGATATTGGGAATACTTCTAAAAATGTTTATCGATATTTATGCCCAGAATGTGATAAACCGTTAGTTTTTGTTAAATAAATTTATTTAGATTTCATTTCTTTTTTAAAGATATTCTTGCCGTAAAAATGTTAAACGTCATCGAATCTCTCAGCATAAAGTTCCAGCCCAAGAAGCTCAGGATGGGCAAATTAAAAGAATTCGTTTAACTGAAGCAGATTTACAAAAAGATGGAAATAAATCAAAACAAGCAAATAACAAACCAAAAGAGATAAAAAAGGAAGAAATTGGAAAAGAACAACAAAATAAATTAAAAGAGAAGGAATTGTCTAGGTATTGTTTTAATTTATTTTTTTTTGGAATTTGTTAAATTTGAGGTTGAATTAAGGCTTTGGGGTTTGTTTTTATTTGTCATTATTTAAAGGGATTAATGTCTGATTCGGTAATATGTATTTGCATTCCTAGAGGGTTACATAATTTGGAATTTTTAGTTGATAAGCTTTTAGATTTTTAGCTGTATAAACAAATTCATAATATACAATTAAAATTTTGTAATATTATTTTTATGTTAATTTTTTAATTTAAGTGATGGAATGTCTCGTCAAAATAGCACTACTTCATTAACTTCCCCTACTCGTCCACATATATTACAATCACCTGAACATCAACAAAATCAGCAACAACCTTTTGTAGCACCATTACAAAAACAACAACAAATATTTCAAAAACAACCTCCAATGCAAATTATTCGAGACGAAAAACAATATCAAACACAACAAAGACATCCTTATTATTTGCCATATCCTCCAATAAATCAATCTCAACAAGAACAACGTTTTGTAGGTCAACAACTTTTAGATGAACAACAACAACAAACATTTTATGAAATTCCCCAACATCAACAACAATATATTCAACACCAACATCAATATAATTATCAACAACAACAACAAAATTTATTATATTTAGATTCTCAACAACAAAATAAAAAATATCAACAACAACAACAATATTATAGTTCACAAATGATTAGTTATCCACCACCTCCTCCACCACCACCACAAGCATTTCAACAACAGCAACCACAACAAAAAATTATTATGGTTCAACAACAACAGCAACCTGGCCCTTCACATTCCAATAATAATAATCGTTTAAATACTTTTTATTCACAAAATAATTATCCACAACAATATACAACAATAATTAATAATCAAAATAATGAATATCCAATAACATATCAAGAAGGTTATTATCAACAACAACAACAAATTGAACAACAACGTCAATTTGTTACATATAACAATAATTCTTTTGCAGAGACTTTAGATTGTTGGGAACAAATTAAATCAGATGTTGATACTGGGCCTGCAGCTGTTGTTGATGCTGATGCGGTTGAAATGGCCCGAATAGTAGAAGATTTAAAACGGACGGAAGAAGTTACAGAGAAACGTCAACAAGTAAGAATTGTTCAACAACAACAAACAATTAAAAGACAACAAAAACAACAAAATTTACAATTTCGCCAGTTAGACACTGGAATGATTGTTGGTTCTGAAAGTGTTATAAATGCTGATAATTCTTCAGAAATGTTCCAACAAAATCCGAATATTCAAAGAAAAGCTGTTGAATTAGCCGAAGCTGTAAAATAATTTTTTAATATAATTCAAAACAAAAATTTTTCAGGATACAACTTTTTCTCCACCTTCTCAACCAGATGATTCTTTAAGTAGACAAATTTCACATCAATCTCATCAGGATGTTGGCACTCAACAATACCAACAAAAAATGTAATTAATGTTTAGTATTCCTTTCAAATACCTTTCTTTCCCCCTTTCCAAGTCGGCCTTGACTACCCAAAATTTATATTTAACGGCTGACCTAAAATTAGTTAAGTCCAAAGTCAATTATCCAATTTTTGGTTAAATTCTTCAAAATTCTAATTTTTATCTAAAAAAGGATTCCACTTAATCATCATCATCAAATACAACAATCTTCAACTACTTATCATCCTCAACCTTTACTAAGCGCTTCACACTCTACTGGACAACAACAAATTTTTCGTTTTGACGTTGCAAGTGTTAATAGAGCACCTAAAGAATTAAATTCTGTTGAACATGAAAAATTTCAACAAATTGAGTGGAATTATCAAGGCGGAATAAATGTTATACCTTCACAAAATAAATACCTCCCCCAACCACCACCAACACAACAACAACAAACAATTCAACAAACACCTTCATTTTCAACAAATATTTCTCAAGAAAATAATTTAATAATAAATAAATTGCCAACAACAACACAAAAATTAACAAAAGGAGAATCTCTTCCAAAAAATAAAACAACAAAAGCAACACAACAATCAACTGGAACTTTTGTATGTCCAGCATGCACAAAAGCTTATTCTACCGATTATTCACTTAAACGACACAGAAATGTTTGTCCAGTATTAAATGTTGGAAAAGAATTGGGAAAAGGAAGGGGAAATTCAACACGTAAAAGGTGTTTAAAAAAATAAATTTTTATTTTTTCAATTTAATTTTTAGAAAAAATACTAATTCAAATAATATACCAACTAGTTCAACAAATAATATGGAAACAGTTAAATCTTTGGAAAAAGTTGTTGGTGAAACAAGAATGGATGAACCTCATCAGATTGATCCGGACAGCACAATGTAAGGATGGTGTGCGGACATATCGGGATTGTGGTGACAAAAATAATCATTTGCGTGTTTACGTTTATTCTAAAACATAAAAACTCTATTCCGGACATATACTATCCAAGACACAGTGGGTAGATCCCGAAATCAGTAGGGTAATTGTTCGTACATTGAAATATCCCGATATGCCGCGTGCCGTAAGGATAAGTTGAAAAAATTGAGGAGTAGGAAGCTTAAAAAGAATAAAATTTAAATTCTGGTTAGACAATTGTAAAATATTAAATTTCCTTTTTTAAGGAATGAAAGTCCTCCAGACAATGCTGGTGGCAGTAATTCGTCGATGAATAGACGTACAAGTGTTAGCGGTGCTAGTACACTTTCTGCGCCACCAAATAACGGTGGAAACGCTGAGGAACAAAATAAACATGTTCAAATGCAAATGGCTACTGTGATTCAACTTTAAAATTTAAAAAATAATATCAATGATTAAAAGAGTAGGAAACTTTTATTTAATTTTGGGTTGCCATTTTTTAAATTTTTTAAAATACTTTTTAAGAAACCCTTTGCCCAAAGAACTCTTAAAATAAATTAAACTTTACTTTATTTCAGAAAAAGTTAATACATTCTGATTTCACTAATAAGATATACCTAAGATATCAAAAGGAGAACCTAAATAATAACAAGATCTGACTTATTTTAATTAATTAATGGAAACCCTATTTAAATATAAATAATGATTTTTAATATTCATTGATAATTATTATAGTTAGTGATTTTTCTATTAAAATATATTATTTTATATATTCTTATTATTTTTTAAACTCCTCCTCCCTCACTAATCGAACATAATCTTAAAATTATTTTCATAAAAAATACTCGTTTTTATATTTTGTTATTTAAATCAACGATTAATTAAACACTTACTATATTAAATATTTAAATAAATATGTACACAGCCTTTAAATTTATATATTTATTTTTTAATAAAATATTATTTTTATAAGGCAAGAAGTACCTCTTTTTTTATATTAGCGCTATTTTTGTAAACGCTTTTTAAATTGATAAATAATTAGTAGTTTGCTTTGTCTTTTTTTAAATTAATTTTTAAAATTAATCCTGAATTTCCCTTTTTGTACAGTTACTAATTTAATACTACATAAATACCCGAAATACTTAATTTTTAACGTAAAAGTTTTTACATAATTTTATTTAAAATTTTTTATTCCTTTCAATTTGAATTACAATTTTTATCGTTTTCTGTACAGTAAATACTTTTTTCCAAAGATTCTGATTGTTTAAGTAATTTCCCAACAGTCTCGAAAGAATGTTCAATTTCAAAAGTTTGTGTTTCCATCAATTCTACTTGTTTAGCCAATTTATCCAAATTTTGTGCTGAATTTTGGGCAATTCCGTCAACCGCCACAAAATTACGTATTGAAGTCTGTAGAACGTCAGAAAGGCCAGAAGTCTGTTGAATATTGCCGATTACTGTACCCATTTCAATTATTATGTCTTGAACTCGATTTGGAAGACGAGTTTTGCCTTCGAGTGTTATAATATTTGTTGGTTTTTTATTAGCCATTTTAGTAAATTGCTGGAAATAAATAAGAAATAAAATGAAGGAATGAAATAAATATTCAACAATTTGATTGTCTAATTGTCATAACAAAATATATAAAAAATAAATTTAAAATATTTAAAAAACAAACTAAAAAACAATTGGTACTTTATTAATATCCCGCCCCCCACCCCTATTTGAGTCTCAGATTATTTTCCCTTTTTTGCTGTCAATCATTTATTCCCCTCTTTTTTTAATACCAATCATTTTCTTCCCTCGAATATTATAAGTAAAAGGCAAGTTAGAAACTTAAGATATTTGAGGAGTACAGCCCAAAAAGGCGCGCAGCCATAACGGCGCAAAGCCATAACTTTTTGTAATATTTTTGGCCCTTGTCATTTTTGTTATCAATCTCTTTAGCTCGATGAAAGGAATAGTTTAATATTAATTTTTGTAAGGTTCGAAAACCTTGAAGCAATTTATGGCTTTGCGCCTTTGTGGCCGCGCACCCTTTTGGGTGTCTTTGAGGGAAGAAAATGATTGACATTAAAAAAGAAGGAAAAATAAATGATTGGCAGGTAAAAAGGAAAATTAATCTGAGACTCAAATAGGGGTGGGGGCGGGATATTAATAAAGAACCAAACAATTCTCTAATTTAATTTAAATTCTTTCAATAGGCTCTATACCAATTAACTTCATTCCTTCTCCCAAAACTTTTTTAGCTGCAGTAAAAAGTAACATTCTAGGTAAAGCATTAATTAAAGGTTCTCCTAAAATCCTTAGAGAGGGCAATGTTTGTCCAATTTTATTTGAAAGACGAACCTAAAAAATAATTATTTTTAAAAAATATTATTCAAACCAAATGAATTGCAATTGGACTTGGTTCCATTTTTTGTAAACTATTATTTAATACAGTATCAAATTCAAGAATCATTCTTGCCAATTTTCGTCCATTTTCCCCAATTTCCGGTTGCATTTTCATTAAATCAATTTCACTTAAATTTTTTAATTTTTCCAAATGTTCTAAATTAGCCTTTTCAAGAGAATTTAAACGAGAATATTTTTCCTTTAAAAAATTTTTTATTAAAAAATAGGCCTTTAAAATTACCAATAAAATTAAAGAATTTGTCCCTTCTGGAAGAAAAGCTCCTTTAAAAGAAAAATTAAAATCCGAATGTTTTGCTCTACAAATAATTGAAAATGCTAATTGATTTTGAGTAAGTAATTGACACAAAACTTCTTTTTCTTCTTCAGTACTTTTTCTTGTATAAGATTTTTTAATATAAGCATCAGATTCTGAATTACCTTCAGAAATTAAATAATCAACAGAATCATTTTTTCCTTCTCTTGTAGATAAACCAATTACTTTACCTTTTAATATATTTTTTAAAGAAATAATAATTTTTATAAAAAAACCATAAGAATGATGAATAATTTTTTCAGCCAAATCAGAATCTCCTCTCATTTTTAAAAGAGCTCTTAAATGGGCAAAATGATTTGCTTGTGATTTGTCTACAACATAAATATATTTATCTGCATTATATTTATTTTGTCTATCATAAATTGAAGCCAATTCTCTTAAAATTTTTAATAATTATTTGTTAGGTTGTAAACTAAGTTTTAGCCCCCTTTGAGTTAAACGGATTAACAACGATCTAACATTCTTGTTAATAAAATAAAAAAAATTATGTAAATCGGTCAATGAGTAACAAAAAAGTTATGAGCATTTAACTCAAGGGGGGAGCTCAAAACTTAGTTTACAACCTAATGTAAGGAAATTTTTAAATAATCAAAAACTAGCTTGAACTCAATGAGAATTGAGTATCATATCTACAAGTTTCAAAGAACTAATTCTTTTTTATACCAAAAAATTAACCTATTTAAATATAAATTTGCTCCATCAATTCTTCTTAAAGGAATTCTTGACAATCCAGGATCGATATTAACAATTCCCCAACATTCATCTTCTGCAGGAAAACGTACACACTTTCCTTCCAAAATCATTTCATCAACCAATTTAGCTCCTTTCAAAATGTAATTAGATTCTCCATCCCAAACATCAAAATTTACTCCAAAACGTGAATATAAATCTTTTAAATAAATACAAGAAATTTCACGCCATTCTTTTAAAAGATTTAATGCTTCAAAAGCTTGTGAAGACGAAGTATTCTTTTTTAAAAATTTAAAATATTTTTTTAATTTAAACAAAAAAACTTGTTCATTGCCTCCTTCATTAATTTTTATTTTTTCCATTTCAAGAAATAATTGACGGGACCTTGAACTAAATGATGCATTTAATTTAGACATTCTATGAGCAGCCGCATACGAACTAAAGAAATAATTTTCCCTTTCTTCAATTATTTAAAAGAAAAACCTCGTTAACAATTCAACTTTCTTTTTTTCATTCATTTCAATCCATTCTTCAGTTTCAGGCCTTTTTATTCTTCCCTCTTTTCCATCCATAACAGCCAGCCAATAAAATGCAAGCATAGAAAATTGAGGTCCCCAATCACCCAAATAATTAATTGAAACAACCTCGTGTCCAGCCAAACGACAAATTTTTTGTATAAAATTTCCATAAAGTGTTGATCTTAAATTTCCCATATGAAAGGTTTTTGCAATGTTTGGAGAAGAAAAATCAATTACAAGTTTTTTACTTTTTGTACCAAATTTTGCTAACATTTCAGGAATTAAATTACTACTGAAAGCGACACGGTGAAGACTTTGGGCTAACATCTCTCTAATTTAAAAAAATTTTAAAATAAAAAAATTGTTTTAAAATTATTTATGTAATAAAACATTTTAAAAAAAAGAAAAATAATTTTTATATTTTATGATAATCAAAAAAATTTATTGAGGAGAACAAAACTGTCCAATTAAAAATATTAAATGAAAGAACAAAAAAGCAGCAATTACTAACCAAAAATGGCAAATTAAAAAATTGTCCAAAACGTTTAGGTATTCAAAAATTGTGTAGTCATTCTTCCTCTTCTATTCGTTCAAATCTTTCTCGATTATAACGATTATTGTCACTCTCATTCAATCCCCCCAATCCACAAAATGAAGCAAGACATAAAGCTACTCTTTCATTATGAATTCTTGGAAGAATTTCCCTTCGAAACCAAGGGCCAAAAAGTAAATCATTGTAAACAAACATTCCAAGCGTTAATAAAGCAAAACCAATTAACTTTGAATTAATTTTAATTAAAAATTAAAAGATTTTTTAAAAAACCTGTACAGGAATAAAATTTTCTCCAAAAAGTGGAATAGAAAAAGCCCAAATTACAAAAGTTCTAACACTATCCAAAACCTTAAAAATTTTATTTTTATATTTTTAAATAAAATTTAAAACCATTCGAGTGGTAGCAGAAAGATGTTTAGTTACAGTGACTCCAGCAAAATTAAAAAATGCAATACTTTAAACAACAATATTTAAATATATAATTATTTTTTGTAAATTTTACCTAATAATTACAAAAAATAAGGCTAACAAAACTATTGGTTTTTCATGTATTTGTTTAAATGCATAAAATATATCTTCAAGTCGATGCTCGGGATTTTTTGAAAAAGTAGCAGGCACGTGAATAAAGTACATTGGCAAAGAAAGGAAAGAAAGAATTATCATCCCGAAAAAACCTTAAAAATAAATTTTAAAAATATTTCGTCTGAAAAAAAAAATAATTTAGAAAAAAGACTTTTAAAAACCTTCTAAACCAACTGCCAAAAGTGGAGGGACGTCATATTCAAGAACAAATTTTTGTTCTGAAACCATTTGAATTGCGACACTGTCAAAGAAAAATTTATTTAAAAAAATATTCAAAAAATAAAATAAACTAACACAATTTGGGCAATTACAATCAATAAATTCCCTAAAAAATTAAATAGAAAAAATATTTAATTTAAAAAAACCAGTTATAATTGCATTTAAATCATCATTTGGATTTGTGTCAAATTCAATATCAGACAAACCAACAACTAAAAGACCTAAAGCAACCAAGCCCATTCCTAGCCATTTAAATCCTCTCAAACGTGCACGTAAAAAAGCTGTCGAAAGTAGTCCAGTAAAGATAATCACAGATCCTTTAAAAGCAAAAATTCATTGATTGACCTTAAGAAAAATATAAACCTCGAAGCATCTGAAAGCTAGATGCTGTTGTCTTTAATTTAAAAAATAAGAATATTTTTTATTTAAAACTAAAAATTAATTCAAAACCAACCAAATTAAGCCCAACATACATCTTTAAAAAGATAAATTTATTATTTTACTTAAAAAAATAATTTATACTATAGATGTGCCCAACATATCACAACATGCAGGAGGAAGAAAAATAAAAGGATTAAATCTAAAAAGAAAAATCAATTTTGAAAATACTAAAAATAGACCTCGGCAATTTAGGCTCGTCTTCCAGGTCCAAATCGAAAACAGCGCCACTCTCATGAAATTGACTTAAAAAATAAAATTCTGGTACGTTTGTAGTTTATCTCTCTCCCTCCCTATTAGTAGTAGTATCGGGGTGGTCTGTATTTCTGTTGTCAAAATTGAATGGGTGTAACGAATAACAACTAGATAGTTTTGGTATTTTTAATTTTTGAAGAGGACAGAGAAGGGGGGAGGATAAACAATTTAAAAGTCCAAATTTCCTACTAATTTTCGTCAAAAAATAAAAATAAACTTTCTCATTTTCCATTGCCGTTTTCGAATAAAATGCATAATTAAATAAACAATCAGACAGCAAAATTCGCCAAAAAACATACAAATTGTTTGAAAAACTGGATGATCAAAAGCTAATTGATCTACCCATTTTGCAGAAAGTGTATTTAAACTTCCTTAATGAAGAATAACGTGATTTTTTAAATTAGAAAAAAGGAAATTACCTGTAGCAACCATAAAAATGGCAACAATTAATAAAAATATGTAATCAGAACCTTCTTCATTTCGTGCCATATTTAAACTAAAAGAAAAAGAATAAAAACAAAAAAATTTTTTGTTTGTAAGAAATTACAAAGAATTAAAAAAATTACAATAAATTGCGGATTCAAATTTGCGACACGTTTTTGCGGACAAGAAACTTGCGGACTGACACTTGAGTAAAAAATACAATTTAAAATAATTTTTAAGTAATTGATATCAGGAATATCAGGGAATTTGAAGGGATATTGTAAGGATTTGGGAGGGTTAATGGAGGGTTGAAAGATAACGGGAATTAATGGAGATATCGACAGATATCCCTTTTTTAGTTAAACCCTCCCTATACTCGTTTTGATTTTAGTTTTTTGTCATTTAATTTTTTAATTTTAAGGATTATCAAATGTCAATTTTTCGTCATATTATTCAAAATTGTTTTCAGAATCTTCGTTATTTTGGAACACCTGAATTAAATTTTTGTAGACACAAATCTTTTTGGTGTAATAATCGAGGAAAGGAGTTTGTTTTTAATTTAATCTACTAATTAATTTTTAATTAAAGGACACCCAAATTTTTTGATGGTTTTGAACTTGAAAAATTATTTGTTGATGAAAATGTTCAAAAATTGTTAAAATCACTTTGTGGGTTTGATTTAAATAGATTATATAGCTGGAGGCTTATAAATAGTCCAAGCCGTAGACATTATGCTTTAATGACTGATAATATGTATAAAGAGGTTTTTAGCTGTTAAAAATTATTTTTTAAATTATTTTTTTCAGTTTCTCTCCAAAATGGCCTCTAAAGCTCAATATTTTTTACAATTTGTACCTTTAAAAGAACCAAGGCCTAATAAGGCTGAAACTTTGTCGGTAGATTCAGATATTGCTGGTCATGATCCTAGCAAAATAATTTTTGTTGATATTTCCCACGACTCTACTGAAAGGGTATTTTCTTTTAAATTATTTTGTTTATTTTAAAATAAAATTTTGAGGATCGTGCAATTGTGGTTCGAGAGCCGAATGGCAGACTTCGTACTGCATTACCAGAAGAGCATTTTCGGATGAACAGAATATTTTTTGATAAACCTGACAGACCTGTTAGAGAACCCCCTCTTTTTCATTTGCATTCGGACAGTGATGGACAAATTGTTTGTGGCGACATTCTTTTGGTTTTAAAATATTTTTATAGAAAAATATATTTAAATTAATTTAAAGCAAACATTGGCTAGAGACGAACATGAATTTGTTTTGGATTGGGCCTGTCAGTTTTATGAACCTGATGATCACAAATTTGTTGAGGTTAATTTTTTATTATTTTTTTGTATTTTATTTTTTTTAAAGTTGTGTAAATGTATTTTTGAAAATACAATTAAAGAACAAAAATTATCTGTTTTACATTCTACTCGACATTTTGGAACACTTGCTTTTTATATGCTAATAAATAATTATTATTTTGAATTAATTGAATTTTTTGCACAAAATCAAAAGTTTGTTTTTATTTAAAAAATTTAATTAATTTTTTTAAAAGTATTTCTGGGGTTGCAAATACAATTCGTTTATTGAGAATAGTTTATCCAAATTGGACAACAACAATTCCTTCAAATTTTTCTGATTTGGATGTTTTAAAAGTTTTTTTTTGATTGAATAAAATAATTAAATTTTGAAATTTTCAGGAATATTTAAATCAAATAGAGCAACAAATAAATGATAATAAAGAGTTAAAACAACATTCTTCTTCTAATATTCATTTAAAAGGTGATGAATATGAAAAAACAAAAATTTTGATTTCTTTGCTAAATAACCTTTTGAAAAGTGGAGAAAAGAAAAGAAGGCAAACAGCAGTTTAGTTTGATTTTTATTTAAAATTATTTGTTTTTTTTTGTTTTAATTTAAATAAAATTTTAATTTTGGAATTTTTATATTACTCAATTAAAATTTAAAAAGATTTTATAAATATATTTTACTTTAATTTTATCAAAAAAATTAACTTAAGACGGAAAAAATAAATGGGGAAGTTGCCCAAAAATTTTGCACTTCTTAAACGAAGCGGAAACCAACGAATTTCTAGACGCCGTTTACAGGAAAATTCGTCATTTTCTTCTAATGTGTCTTCTGGTGAAGATGACAAGAAGGAATTGTTGGATGATATTGTTACAGATTGGAAAGATTCTGATTGGGCGCCTTCAATTTCAGCTGTTTTTAAAGTAAATTTTTATTTAAAGTTGAGAAAGACAAAGGTTTAAGGTTAGTTTTTACATAATTTGGGTTTTTTAGACTCCCTTAATAACCAAATTCTTTTTATTTGACATGTTTTTATCTTCAGAATAATCCTAAACAAAAATAATTTTTTAGATTCTTTTTTCAATACGTCTTTCAGCATCACTTTGGAGTATAATTTCTGATTGTGACGAAGTATATAATTATTGGGAACCTTTACATCTTGTTTTGTTTAAACGTGGATTTCAAACCTGGGAATATTCTCCTGTTTATGGAATTCGGTTTTTTAATTTATATTTTTCTAAATTTCTTTTTTAAAGTTCTTGGTTATATATTCTTTTATATGCTGGTCCAGCCAAATTTTTAATAAAAATTTTTCCAGAATCTAAGGTTGCACTTTTCTTTTCTCTTCGTTTTCTTATTAGGTTTTTTCAATTTTTTAAATATTAAACAATTAATTAAAGCTTTTTTACTTTATTTTCTGAATTATTTTTATATCGAGCTATTTGTAAAAGAATTTCAAATTCAATTGGAAGAACATTTATTTTATTCAGTACATTTTCTAGTGCAATGTTTGGAGCTAGTTGTGCTTTTTTACCTTCTTCATTTAGCATGGTATAAATTTTAAAAATTAAAAAATATTTTTTTTCTAGTCTTTAAATGCTTTTGCCTCTGCTTTTTATTTATTTGAATATTGGTAATTAAAGAAATAATTAAATTAAAAAAATTAATTTTTAGGTCACTTTCAATTTTTTGTACGGCCATTAGTGCTTTAATTGGTTGGCCATTTTCTGCAATTCTTGGATTGCCTATTGCAATAGAAATGTTGATAATTAGAAAAAGAAAATTAGCTTTAAAATTTTTATTTTATTCAATTCTTTTTGGATTATCAATTTGTTTATTACTTTTTATTGTCGATACACATTTCTTTGGAAGGCCTGTTCTGGCACCTTTAAATATTATTTTTTACAATATATTTTCGAGTAATGGGCCAAATCTTTATGGGTTTGTTTTTTTTTATTTATTTAAAATTTTTATTTTTTTAAAGAAAAGAACCAATTTCTTTTTATTTAAAAAATTTGGCTTTAAATTTTAATATTGCTGTTATTTTGGCTATTTTTGCAATTCCATTTTGTTTATCATTTTTAATTATTAAAAAAATAAATGAAGAAAAATACAAAAAAGAAGACAAAACAATATTTTTTAAAAATTATTTTGAAAGTAAAATTAATTTATTTATTTATTAAAAATATTTTTATTTTACAAGATAATCCTTTAAAACAATGGGAAAGATTTAGACCTTTAATTTTTCTTTCAATGTCAGCAATTGTTTGGATGTTAGTTTTTATGTTACAGCCACATAAAGAGGTATATTAATTAAAATATTAAATATGTTGTCGAAACATCTAAAAATTTTTTTTGAATTTTGACCAGTTTAAAGCTGAATATATTTTCCATTTATTAATTTTTAGTTCCAGTTAAATATATTTTTATAATCTTTATTAAAATTTTCAATTTTAGGAACGTTTTCTCTTTCCAATTTATCCACATATTTGTTTATTGGCAGCTATTTGTTTGGATTGTTTGTATAGATTATTAAATAAAACAAAATTTGCAACAACATTTTGTATTGCTATTTTAATTATTTTTGTTGTTGCAAGTTTTTCACGGATTGCTGCTTTACATAGAAATTACTCTGGATTGTTGGATATTTACAAAGATTTTAATAATAAAATATCTTCTGATAGAATTTTAATAGAAAATGTAAGTTTATAAATTTGTTTTTTTTTATTTAAAATATTTAAAGACAACAAAAAATTCAACAATAAGAGTTTGCATTGGAAAAGAATGGCATCGTTTTCCTTCTTCTTTCTTTTTGCCAGAAAATGGAAAACATTTTAATGAAGTAGAAATGCGTTTTATTCGCAGCGAATTTCGAGCTCTTTTACCAGATATTTTCCCAAAAGAGTCAACATTATCAGAAATTACAAGGCAAATACCAATTCATCAAAATGATGAAAATCGTGAACAACTAGAGAGATATGTGCCTTTAGAATCCTGCAACTTTCTGTTTGATTTGGTTGGAATGGAACCGACAGAACTGGAACCAGACTATTCAAAAATGGTGGGTAAAATAATAATTCAAATTTAAGGGATTATGAATTTTATTTAAAATTTGGGAAATTGAAAAAATGAAAAAGCCAACATGTAAAACCCGAAATAATAATTTAAAAAATATACTTATTTATTCTTCTTTTAAACTAGTTATCTTCATCACATGATTCACATTCTAAATGTCGATCACCCAAAAATTCATATCTAGTTATTCTCACTAATTTATAAGGCATTTCATCCCACCATTTCTTCCAAACAAAAACTTGCACGTTTCCATTATTTTCATCTTTTTCTTCTTTCGTTTTTGGATCTTTTTTCGAATCTTCTTCTTTTCTATCACCATCATTTTCTATTGAAGATACAGAGGCTATACAACTAGGTGCTTTTGTTTTTTCATTAAAGACGAGTTTTTGCTAAACAAAATATTTTTTATTATCAAATTAAAAAAATAAACAAACCCAGTTTTTTACATCTTTTCCTCTTACAAGTTTTTCGTTTACCTAAATTCAAAATAATATTTCATAAATATTAATTAAAAGCTCACTCTAAGTTCAGCATTTTCTTCTAATAATTTTATTAAAATACAAGCAATATTTAAAGTATCATCCATTCCACAATGTTCTCTTCCAGTAAATTGTATATTTAAATGTTTTAACATTATATTTAAAGATATTCCATTTGGAAATAATTTTTCTTTTGTTGTTGTTTCCTCCACTACATGGACTAAAAATATTTTTAAAAATATTTCTGAAAAAAAATATTACCAGAATTTCCATCACAATGGTATCGTTGAGGCTGTGACTGCATAGTATAAAAATTTACAAATGAACGCCGGATATTCAAAAAACACCGAAAATCGTGTGGAATCGATTGGTTTGAACGTAAACACTCCATTTGGAAAAACTTTCCAATATCCCAGGGTCCGTCTGTAACATAACAAAACCGTCTTGCATTTCCCATATTTCTTTTACCATCTAGTCCATGTTTTGCCATCCAACCACGAAATAGTTGCAATGCTATAGGGAATGTTGGTGCTTTATCGACATCTTCTTGTGTTATTCCTTCAAATGAGAATTTAATATGGAAATCCTGACAGCATCTGACCAGTTAAATCTTTGCAAAATTCTGTCAATCTCGGATTAATAGATGGCTTGACAAATGTATGAAATTTATCAATCTGAAGAGATTTTTATTTTGAAAAGAAAAAAATATAAATTCATACAATTTTACAAGATTGCACGCTAATCAGGACAGCAGGGAATTCAATTATTTCATGTTCAAAATCATAATTATTTTCTTCACAGCTACATTCAAAATCAATAACAATAAAATAATTATAAAATTTTTTTGTAGAATATTTTCTTCTTAATTCAATTAATTCATCTCGATAATGATCTTTTAATGTTGAAATCATTTTTCCCCTTTTTAGTTTACTAAAATTTAAATTTTCTTTTAAAATTTTTAAATTGAAAAAACCTTGAATCTTTATCTATTCTTTTCATTTCTCTTTGTAATTCAATATCACTCATAGATTCTAAAAATTCAAAAAGATATTCTACACGTTCATTTATCATATTTTAAATTTTGCAGAAATTATTTACAAGTAGAAATAGACATTTCGATTATTTCTCAATTATTGACGTTATGAAAATATTTTATTTTTTACCAAAATGAAAAAAGAACAAATTGCCAAAATTTGTTTAACCAAAAATGGATTAAATAATCGAACTGCAAATTAATAAATGCGTGTTAATTTTTGATTATTCTTTTTTTGATTGTCAAAAGTGCATTTTTAATCTAATGATTGGCTAGAAATTTTTTGTGACGTGTCCTTTTTTTAAATTATATTATTTCAGGAGGAATTCCAGTCAATTATTCAAAGTCGCGTGCTTCTTTCTTCCAACTCTCATCCTCTTTTTAGAGCGTTTTACATTCCTTTTACACCCAATAAATTTCTTGAATTTGGATATATTCACGTATTTCAAAGAAAATTAAAATAATTTATTTTAGTTGAATATATTTTTTAGATAAATTTATTTTTGTTTATTTAAATTTATTAATTTGTTTAATCATTTTATCTTATTAAATTTTCAAATAATTTTAATTTTACAGACCAGATTTTTCTTGGTTTTTAGCTAATTTGTAAATTTTATTGTTAAATGGCACCAAAGCAGCGCATGAATGTTGCCAATCAAGCTTTCAGCAAAAATGTTGTATCCCGCGGGAATGTTGCCAAATCGATGAAGCCAGAACAAAACAAGTATGCAGCTGCCCCTTGGCTTATTGGCGTTTTTGTTAGTTTTTAATTATTTTTGCTCTTATTTAAATTTAATTGTATTCAGGTGTTTGTTGTTTGCGGTTCTGCCATCTTTGAGGTTTTTATAGTTAAAATTTTTTAATACTAGTCTCTAATATTTTCTAATTTTTGTTAAAGTCCCTTCAAAATTAAAGTTTAGTATTAATTTATTTTTGTTGAAAAAGGGGATACACCATGAAGATTTAATGAAATAAATTCTTTACGTTTATGAACTTTAAAGAAATAATTTTATAGGTTGTGCGATACATAAAAATGGGATTTTAAGTGACATTTCTTGGGAAGGAACGAAAGTTGCTGAAGTGATTTCATGACAAAGAACGGCAAATATTTTATCTTTTTGGTTGTTTTTTCTTTTTTGGTCGGACCATACTTTTTTTAAAAACATTTCTAATCTATTCTTTTTTATTTGACTATATATTCCCTAATTTCTATTTTTCGGACAGTTATATGTGTATTCTATTTGAACTTAACAAGAAATAAAAGTTCTATATATAATTTGAGTAAATAGCTGTTACTTTGGGGAATAACGTGTCTGGGACTGCCATAGGCCTGCACTTTTTAAAAATTTAATTTATTAAAAGTAAAACAAAAATATAGAATTTATTATGATTTTAAAATGTTATAATAACGAAATCCTTCAATTTATTTAATATCTATTTATTAAGCCACAGTAAACATTAAAATGTAGCCAACCTAAAAAACTTTTTATAATGAGTTAAAAAATAAAACAAACCAAAGGTAAATAAGGCTTGAGATATGAACCTAAACAAGGTGTACATCTATAAAATATTTTTTTAATTTTGAAAAAATAAAAATAACTAACAAAATATAATCAACAAGCCACCAATAAACTTTAAATTGAAAACGTCCCCAACTCAAACGGACAGGTCCTTTTCCAATATCAACTTCTCCCCTTTCCATTGCTTGTTGTGCTTTGTGTACTGCTTTTTTATTGCATGTACGGCCATTAGATTCTTAAAAAAAATTTTTAATTAATTAAAAATAGCCAGTAAAATAAAAAAAAATAACCAGTAAAATAAAAACCAAAACGAGCTAATTGTTGTAATTTACCTAATAAAGAAATATTTTTATTTTTTTAAATTTCTACTTACTTCTCCCATCTGTTTCACCTTAAATTTATTTTTTAAATTTAAAGAATTGTTTAAAAATATATACAATCAAGTTGCATAATATATGGGGGATTTTTCTGTTCTGTATACATCCATTCCCAAGAATTGGCAATTAAATGTGGAATATATTCACAATGGGGAGTTTTCCATGTATGACACTTGAAAATTGAAAATAAATTTTTATTCAGTCACAAACTTGATGAATCATTATTCCCATATCAGGTGTATACCAATGTGATAATTTATTAGCAATTCCTTCAAAAAATTCTTGTGTATACTTATTTGCTTTAACATAAAAGTTAGCCCCTCAAAAAAATATTTCTTTTAAATAAAAAATTATTTAAATTTACCATTAACCCATTCTGCCCTTTTACTATTTTCTTCATAACCAATTTGGTCAAATAATAAATCAAACCCTAATTTTTGTTCTAAATTTATATCAAATAAATTTTTACGCCAAAACTAAAAAATTTTTAAAAATTTAAATAAAATTAATTTATTTTTTACAGTATCTTGTTGTTGCATCCAAAAAGATTTTCCTTTTTTGATTAAAGCTAAAGCTAAATTAGCTCTTAATATATAAATTAATTGATAGGGACCTTCAGCAAAACTAAATTGTTTCTAAAAAAAGAAGAGGAAGTAAATAAACAAATAAATATATTATATTAATTTACATATAATGAAGGTGTTGGCCAATAAAATTGTTTAATATTTGGCCAATATTTTTTAAGTTCTTGATGTGATTTTTCATCTAATGTAACAAAAATAAAACGTTCATGTACACCCGGAAAGATTGCTGTGTTACAGAGAAAATTACTAAAAAAGAATTTTAAATAATTATAAGAGACAAGACATTTGTCCCGTAAAAACAAGCTTTAATCAAATTTTGTTTGAAATGGGAACAGGCCAATGTACCGGCGATCTATAACTTCGTTCAAAATTTTCAAATTCGGGACGTCTTGGTATAGTTCGATGCGACTCGACGAGCTGAATTGAGCATATCACCGGATTTGACAATTTTGAACGAAGTTGAAATAATTTGACAGAAATTATTATCTAGTGCATAGTTTGAGCTTTTTCAATGCATATTATGCGAATATATTGCGCATAGACTATCTTGGACCGTCGTAGTAATAAACAAAGGGCGTCGAAAACTGGCGGCGCCGAAATATCCAAATAAAGCCTAAACCTTTAGAAGCCTAAACCTTTTGGATTACAAAGACAGTTTGGCGTCGGCAACGCGGCGCCAAAGTTATTTCTTCACTAATAACTTTTTTAAAACTGACGAACTCTATTAACTAATCTTATATCATTCGAGGGCTAAAGAAATAGGAATTATTTCTTAATGGATAAATTTTAAGAAAGAAAAAAAATTTATGGGAATAAAGATATTGGCGTCAAATAATCTGCGCCGAGTTGTCAACGACCGTTTCCCCTACAAAACCTATACCTTTTGGTTTCAAGTTTTAAGCAAAAAATTGAAGCCAAAAGGTATAGGTTTTATAAGGGAAAGTGTTTTAGACAATTCGGCGCAGATTTTTTTTTGGCGTGACAAATTTTATATGCCCGCGGTTACAGGTCATTTGTGCCGTAATTTTACAGCTGCTTTTCTCGAAATTTCTGTTAAAATTATAAAAAAATTTTGTCTAACAATGTCATATTCAAAGCATATTGATTTAACATCAAAATTGATGGCGGTTTGTTATCCTTATCAATTTGTTTTAAAAGTGAAGCAAATTCTGTAGATTGCTCTATTGAATTGAGTGAAACACTTGATCCATAATTTTTTACATAAAACATTGCTGCTGTGGCTGTTCGGGTTTTGCGAAGAACAAGCCTTTTTAAAAACAATTAATACATAAATATTTAAATATAAACAAGAACAGTGCTTGGGGGAATTTCGATTTTGCTTATACTTTTATTTCGTGCCATCCCTACTTTTGGCCTCATACCCGTGATCGAAGTTAGCATAGGTAATCTTATTTAGTTCAACTTTTGGTACGAGTATCTTTCCAATTACTAATCAAAATTTAAGGTTTTTGCATTTTTATGCCCGCGTTTTCCTTTTCTTTCTCCTTTCTCATAATTATTGAAGGCGGTAAGTGGTTAAAAATTATAAATAGGTATATTTTTGAAAAATCACGCACAGCCCTGTTTCAACGAGTACCAAATTCTGTATTTTAGACCAGTATTGAGCGTGTGTGCCTTGACTATTGGTGAATAAAGTTGTGTTTCCACTAAGATTTCATGGGCAACAGTGAACTATCACACGATCCTAATGGAGGTATCGGCTCTAATGCAAAAGTTGGTGCCTCACACACGTGAACTCACGGTTGAAAATAAAAATTTAGGAGAAAGGAGGGGAAAAGTAAAATGCTGGCAGCATATAACTGCATAGTGCCAAACTTACACTCCAACTGTAAACCAAAATAAATAAGAAATATAACAAAGAAATCTGTAAAGAGATGATGGAAAATAACATTTTGCATAAGTACTGGGAAGTATATAACCAAAACAATTTCTAATATCAAATTTAAATCTAAAATTGGATGATTTTATTTAAAAGATTTTTCCTTTTAATTTTCTACCTTAAATTCCTTTCCTTTTCACTATCCAATTTATTAAAATTATTATTATTTTCATCTTTTTGAGAATTAGCATTAATTAATAAAGGTTGTTGATGTTTATTGTCGTCAAATAACAAAATTTTTCTTTTCATAATTAAATTATTATCATTTTTATTTTTATTATTAAATATTTTTTTATTTGAAATATTTTCTTTGTTTTCTTCTTCTTTATTGTCTTCATGGTGGTAATTAAAAATATTAACTTCATTATTTATTTCTTTATTTCTATTATTATTAAGCAATTTATTGCGGAGTATTAATTGTTGATTATTTGAAAAAGAAGAAGAACGATGTTCGTTAATAAAACAATAACTTTTTGTTGCTGCTGCTGCTGGCATCTTTTTAAATCTTAAAAAATAATTCCAAAAAATTTAAAGGAAAAATGTATTTTAAACAAAAATTTAATTGAAAAATTGATTTTCTTAAAATATAAAGAAGACTTTGATAAAAACTTGTTTTTGATTATATACGCAATTAAATAAAGAAAAAAAGAAAATAATTTTAAATAAATAAATATACTTTTTGCAACAAAAAAAACTTTTTCGTTTTAATTTTAAATAAAAGTTTAGGAAAGGAAAACTTTAAATAAATATAGTAAAGAAAGAATGAAACCCTCAAATCATCGAAATTTGTTTAAAAGAAGATTTTCCACTTTCTTCGTTGTTGAATGAAAGAATAATACATATATCCCCCATACATATCCCCTCCCCTTCCCTTTATTGTACATGCAGACACGAAATATTTGTGTGAAACGTTCTTTTTTCTCCCCATTTTCCCCTACTTTTTTTTTGTAAAATTCAATTGAAATATTTAATCCACACACACATAAATGTGAAGAATAATTCAACCAGAGAAATAAATATATTAAAATCCAGAAAACGTTAGGTGGTGGAACTTTTAAATATTAAAAATTTAATAGTAAATCCTCTTTTTTTTTAAACCGGAAGGATTTTCCAATTTTTTTAACATTAATTTAAAAAAAAGTGAAAACAAAAACTTTTTAAAAACAAAACAAGTAAATATGTATATTTTAATTTTTTTATGTTAAGATGAAAAATACAAAAAAAGATAAAAGAAATTAGAAAAAAAATAAAAAAAACTAGGCTTTATAAACTAAAATTTTTTGCTTTAATCCTTTTTACGGAGGTCCAGTAGAAGTTGATTTTCTTTAACAAAAAGTACTTTTAGCTTTAAAAAACAAAGAAAAATCCATAGGAGTCTAAAATATTTTTTATAGTGACACCCAGTGCTTGGATTCGTATTTATTTTGGAAGTACAGTACTTACAAATCAACCCTCTTACTTACGAAATTGAAAATATACTTATTTGTAAACACGTACTTACAAATGGACTTTTTGTTTAAAAATGGAACTTAACCTTAAAATTTTCAGAATTTCCAGCCTACGGCAGAAAAAAGTTGTTTTTTTTTAAATTTTATTTGGTTTCTTTACCTCCAAAATTTTCTACTCATTTGGACGAGAAATATAAACGAGATATGCGACAATAAATTTTTTAAACTGCATTTTTGTAGCGTTTTAATTAAAAATTTTTAATTAATCCTATATACTAAGTAGTATGTATAATACAAAAATAAAAATATTTTTAAGCAAGGATTTGTTGTTTTTTATTTATTTTAAAAAATACATATTAAAATATTTCTTTATTTTTCTTTAAATTCCTTTTAATTCGTCAATTCGTTTTTCACCCGGATATTCTAATTGAACATTCCTATTTATTTTTTTAATTTTAAATTATTTAATTAAATTTACATTGTTCCCAAATTATAAAGACGGCGAGGGACTCGTCCAAGGGTTACATATTCTGAAGAAATAATTTAAAAATAATTTAAATTAAACATTAATTAACCTCTAGGATAACGTAAAGTTATTTGACGATAACCTTTCTTGAGAACAAATTTAAATTTAAATAATTATTCCCTCTTTTATTTTTTACCTTCCCTTCTTTATCATCACATTTATGATAAATTCTTAAAAAAGGGTCGATATTAGCTTTAAAAACAAAAATAATTTTCTTTTATTTTTAATTCAAAAAACCTTCAGTTCCCTGATAATTAGCTGTATTACCCTTTATATTTATTTATTTTTAAATTATTCTCTATTTAATTAATTACCGCAATTATATATTTCCCTCCATCAGTAGTTGTGGCTGTAGCTAATACATCTTTTAAATCTTTTTTTAATTAAAAATTATAATTTTTTAAATTAAATTTTTCTTTTTTTACCGTCAGAATTACTTTTAAAAAGACGAATATAAGCACCTTTTATTGGTAATTTTCCACAAAGTAAAATACCTTCGGCTCTGGTACTTCGAGTTGAAATACTTTTAAAATAAATTATTAAATTTTTTATTTTTTACTCCCCTTTCCTCTTCCCTCCCTTTTAATTTAAATTAATTATTTTATTTAAAAAATAATTTTTAAATAAAAGAAAACCTTTCTATTTGTTCAATTTCACTAGTGATTTGACTTAATATTAATAATAAATAAATTGAAAGAAAAATATTAAAATAAGAAGAGATTAAACAAAACATTTCTTGCTATTCCTAATTTAAAAATATAGGTAAATTAATTTAAAAAATAATTATTTTCCTCAATAATAAACAGTCGATGGTCATTAAAAGATGTGAAAATTTCAAAAATAAAGGAAAAGATAAAAATTATTATTTTGTTAAAAAAAGAGAGGGGGGGGAAGCTTTTAAATATTTTATTTTTAATTGATAAAAATAAATTGATAAAAATTACCGATAAATAAATAAAGAAAAATAAAAATTTATTTGAATCATCCTTTTATTTTGGGGAGGACAGGGAGAGAATAAAGGGAAATTAAAACATTTGTTTTTAGTCTACACATAAATGCCAGTTGTTTATTTAATTAATTAAAGCTTTTTGATTTTCTTTAATTAAAAATCTTTATAAAGAAATAAATAGGTATATATTTTTCTTTATTTTTTAAACATTAATCCCTCAAATTCCCTAAATCTTGCCTATATTCTCAGATTGCGTGCAGCGGATTTTAAAATTAATTTTTGCGGCTGCGGAAAATCTTCTTTTTTTGCGGCCAGCCCTGGTAAATATACTAGGGGTGAACTTATATTAGAGGGTGTGTTTTTATCGAAGAGTGATGTTCTATTAAATAATTATGTTGTATTGCTTATTGAAAAAATAAGGACATACATACTATTAATATATATATTTCAGTCAACAAATACAATTAAATTATTTACTTGTTATTAAATTAAAGAGAGTAAATACGTATTTAAGTTTACTTTAATTAGTAATTAAAATGTCATTATTTATTAAAAATATTTTAATTTTATTTACAACAATTTTATTTGCAATTATTTTGAATAATTCCAATGTATTTGGAATGAGAAAACAGGGGTTTGATAATTAATTTAGAGAATTGGGGAGAGGGGGAGGGGCTATTGCCCAATCGAAATGAAAATTTTTATGCATCCAAACTAAGTACCCGATTTATGGTTCGGTATTCCGTGTATGTAACATAGGGCACTAATTAGACGGATAAAATTTTGATTGAACGCTAATCAGTGTTTTTAAAAATTAAATTTTATTAAGTTATACATAAATTGAAGAAATGGAATTTAAAAATTTTTTTTAACCCCTCCCCCCATTATTTTAACAAAAATAATTTAAATTATTAATACAGAGTAGCAATTAGTGGAAGATTTATTTGTGGAAATACTTCGGCATTAAGTAATTCTACAAAAGTTAGAATTGTTGATATTGATACAGGTACTTAATTAGATTTTTTAAATTATTTTTAATTTTTAAAAAAAGGTCCCGATCCAGACGATACTTTGGATGAAAAATTTGTTGATGCAACTGGGGCATTTAAATTAAATGGATATACTAGAGAATTAACTGGTTGGGAAATTAAAAAAGAAAATATTTTTAATTTAATTTAGATATAGACCCCGTTCTTTATGTTTGGACACGATGTTATTCATTGGAAGCTGTAAATTATATTTAAATACTCTAAAAACTCTTTCTCCTATTTTTTTGTTTTTAGCCCTGCCATCGCAAAATTAAATTTTTAATTCCCAAAAAATTTATTATTGGAGAAGAACCAAAACTAAATGAATGGCTTGATATTGGAATAATTAATTTACAATCAACTTTTGAAGTTTTTTTTCTTTAAAAGAATAATTATTTTTAAATTTTTTTTAAATTTAAGGATGAAAAAAGAGAATGTATTTTTTAAAAGAATAAAAGAAATGAGAAAAACAAAACAAAAATAAATTTTAATTTTTTGTCATAAAAATATTTGTAAAAAATCCTTTTTTTAAATAAAATTTCTTCAACAAATTTTATATTCTCTTCCAAAAGGTAATTTCAAACAATCTTCTAATTCAGGTAAATTTTCACTTTCCAAATCTTCATTTTTTAATTTATAACGTTCCAAAAATTTATTTTCTTTTTCATTATCATCATTTAATTCAATAACTTCACAATTTAAATTTTCCAAATTTTTTGCCAAAATTTTTTCACACATTAAAATATTTTTTAAAACGGATTCTAAATGAAAATGTTTGTCTAAAAGTGCATGTTCAATTCCAAAAAAGCCTTGTCTTGTTCGCCGTAATTTTCTAGTACTTGCAACTGTTGACAGATTTAATCCAATTTCGTGTATAAAATCACTAGTAAAAATGTAAAAAAAATTTTTTCTTCAAAAATCACCATAAAAATTGATCAGTTTCACCATTTATTTGAATATTTAATTTAAAATAAGGAAGTTTAAAATAACATAAATCTAAACCAAAAATTAATGGACTTCCAAGAACTCCTAAAAAATTTTAATTAAAAAATTTTATTTTCAAAAAAGGTAGTACTTATTCAATATCCTACCCCCCCCCCCCTATTTGAGTCTCACTTTTATTCTTTTGTGCCTCAGAATTGTCAACTTTCCTTTCTTGTAAATGTTGATTTTCGCCATTTCCATCTATTCTTTCCTCACTAATTTTTGCTTAACTTATCTTTTACTAGAAATGGAAAATAAGGAGGAAAATAAATGATAAATAGACAGTAAAAATTAATCAGACTCAAATAGGGATAGGGGTAGAAAATTAAATAAGTACATCAAAAAATTACTTGGTCTGGGGGCTCCACGCCTAGCTAATTCAAAAGCTTGTTGACTTTGCATATTTAAATTTGCAAATTCAAAAGATGCCTTTTTGTATTGTAAACGCAGAAGAGAAAGTAAAGTATTTAATCGAGGTTGAGAAACATGATCTACAAAAAATTAATGAAAATAAAATTAAATTAAAAGAAAAACCATATTCCATTCTTGAATTAACTGTTCCTCTAATAGAATTTAGATGAGTACCTCGACCCAATTCTGCTTCAATAAAATATTCATTAACCCAGGCTAAACTTCGTATAGCCTCTAAACGGTCACAACCATCATTGAGGCCAAAAACTTTAAAAACAAAAGTAGAAGGTACTACTGAAGAAAAGGGTGCTTTTTCTGCGGACTTATTTTGCGGACTTTTCCTTTCCTTTACATGTTTTACTTGTAGCAACTAACTGTCAACGGCCCTCCCCCCATTATTTTTCTTACCTAAGATTGTACACAATGGTCAGATTTTCTTCTTTCTCTTTTCCTCTATTTGCCGTGTGGCATATTCAAACAAAAGACATTGATACAGAGAAGATTAATTTTATTTTTTTCATTTCTGTTTAAATGTTTTGCTTATAGCAACTAACAGTCAACGGATTATTTTTTATGCCGGTCTGAAAAATGTCGTTCACAAATAATTTAAACATTATAAACGAAAAAAATGTTACAATCAATAAAAAATTTTACTTTAACTAAATTGTATGATAAAATTAAATTACCCAATGATGAATTTCAACAATGGATCACTGATCTCGGAATGCTTCATAGAAAAAGAACATGTGATTGTGGAAAAGAAATGCGTAAAGAGAAGCGTGGACAAAATGGAAGATGGATATGTAAGAAATCAGTATGCAGAAAAACAAAGGGTGCTTTAGTTGGAACATTTTTCGAAAATTCAAAACTTTCTTTGACACAAATCATACAGGTACAATTTTTCAATTGTTTTTTATCAAATTATTATTAAGATAATGTATCTTTGGTCTAGGAGAATATTTGTGAAAATATTTGTGCGAATAAAAATTAATCCTTTGACAGTTAGTTTGCTACAAGCTAAAACATTATCTTTAAAAAAAAGGGAAAAAGAAGGAAAGGAAAAGTCCGCAAAATAAGTCCGCAGAAAAAGCACCCTTTTCTTCAGTAGTACCAAGTGGTAAGAAAATTATTTTAACTAAAAATTACCACAGACACCAGAACTGGATGGTTCTAAAGGATTTAATGGTTCAATTTGAAATTCTTCTGGTCTAAACATTTCACCAACAATTGAAGGGTGCAAACTTTTAAAATATTTATTTTTTAATTAAAAATAAAAGAAAAACCTGTAATCAATTTGTTGACGTTTTCCAACAATTAAAAGAGAACCACTTTCTTTATGTTCCTCAACTATTGGCATTTCAATTAATGGAAGTGGACGACATTGAGCAATCACATTTGCTTGATCACAAATTCCTTTTAAAAACAATCTTTGTAAAGCAGGTAAAGGAATATCTCTTGGTTTGAATAAACAAACAATTCCGTTTAATAAATTCTGTATTTCTCGACAATTAAAAGAATATTTAGGCATTTATCTTTTAAAAAAAATTCAGAATTTTTAAAACTAGAGCAAGGAAAAATAGTCTGAAGAATAGAGGAAGAGAAAAAGGAAAAAAGAAATAGTGGAGAGAGATAGATAGAAATAACAGGATTTAAATCATTTTGCCAAATTAATTATTAATTTCGAACATTTTTAAAAACAATAAATATTTTTAATTTTCGAGTCTTGTAATTTCAGTAAATGCTCAAAATCTTCTCAATTCTTTTATTACAAATCACCCCATCACACCATAAATATTTAATTTTCTTTTATTTTTTTAAATAAAAATTCATTTAGGATTTTTTTCAAAAATGGAAAAACAAATAATTTCAATAGAAATTTTTAACGCTAAATCGCCTCAGAAAGGAATTACAATTGACAATGTATGGATATTTTAATTATTTTTTTTGAAAAATTTTTCTTTTTAAGGTTTCTTTAAATGACGATATTTTGTCTTTAAAGAAAAAATTTTGTGTTTTAAAGAATTTGGCTGTGGAGCGTATTTCTTTTAAATTGGAACCAACAGGAAAGAATTTAGTTGATAATCAAATTATTTCTGAATTAAAATTACCAATATCAAATGCTCAATTATATTATCGTGATTTGGGTCCACAGATTGCCTGGAAAACTGTTTAAGAAATTAAAAAAAATTTTTTAAATAAAAATTATTTTTGAGGTATTTTTGGCAGAATATGCTGGACCTTTCTTTATTTATCCAATATTTTATTTTCAACCGACTTTAATTTATGGGGATATTTCAAAGAATTTGGTTACATCTTCCAAATGTGTGGCAACAATTGCTTTGATTTGTCATTGTTTGCATTATGCTAAACGACTTTATGAAACTCAATTTGTTCATCGATTTAGTAATGGGACAATGCCTAGACGAAATTTGTTTAAGGTTTTTTCTTGTTAAGAAATTTTTGAAAGAAGTAGATAAATTAATAAATAATATAATAAAATTTTTTAAATATTTTTACGGGAAGGGGCGGATTTGTAAACTTTGAATGGAGATAATTAAATTTAATTATTCCCAAGAAAATCTTTTTAATTGACTGAAATAAAATTTTCTTTAATTTTTCTCACAGAATTGTTCATATTATTGGGGATTTTCTGCCTTTATTGCCTATTTTGTTAATCATCCATTATATACTTCACCAGGCTTCACTCAAGTTTTTGTTTCCCTCTGCTGTTTTTTGGTCGCGGAAATTGGTTAAATATTTAAAAATTAAATTTTTTAATTTTTCCTCAGGTAATTATTCAATTCATATTTTGTTGCGTGATTTACGTCCAGCCGGTTCAAAGGAGCGTAAAATTCCCTATCCAAATAAAAATCCTTTAACTTTACTTTATAATTATGTTAGCTGTCCAAATTATACTTATGAAGTTATTTCTTGGATTTCTTTCTCTTTAATGACTCAATGTCTTCCCGGTAGGGTTTTTTAATAAATTTAAATAAAAAAATTTCTTTCTAGCTGGACTTTTTACGATTGCCGGTTTTTTGCAAATGAAGCAATGGGCAAATGGAAAACACAAAAATTATCGAAAAGAATTTCCAAATTATCCAAAAGGCCGAACTCCTATTGTGCCGTTTATTTGTTAATTTTGGAAATTATAATTTAGTTTATTTGAAATTATTTAGGGTTAATTAATTTAAATTTTATATTTATTTTATAAAAATACTTAAAAGAGAATTTTTGTATAAAATCTCTTTTTATTTAAATTATTCTTCTATTTTTCTAGTATTTTTTAAAATAAAAATATTTTTTGGATATTTCTGTTGCTTTCCTCATTTCAATTTTTGCATTTCCTTATGGAGATGAAAGGATTTGATGTTTCTCTTTAAAACAAAAAAAGGTCGAATATATAAGAGAATATCCTCAAAAGATAAATTTTCCCAAGAGAAAATTTTCTGCCTTTTTAGACACGCCAAAAGCAATACATACAAAGACTTTTTTCCTTAAATCCACAATTGAGAGAAAGGTACTAAATGGGTGTTATTGTCTGTAAGGAGGAATGAAAATTTGTGTGAAAAGAATGTAAATTTTGTTTGTTAAAACTTTTTTTTAAATCAACAGTGATTATTTTAAACAAAATTATTGTTAAAAGTTCCGAGAATGTTCCTCAATTTGGAAAATTAAATTTTCTATTTTGTTGCGTTGTAAATTTGTCATTTTCTTAACATTAAAAAAAGATTTCCGTACTTATTTTTAAAAGTATTTTAAATGAAATTATTTATTATTATTATTTACTTTTTATTAATTGAAAATGTATGTTTAAATAATTGTTGGGTAAAATTGAAGTTCGTATATCTCCTTTTTCCTTCCTCATTGTATTAAAATGGTCAGACTTTTATTAAAAATTGTCAGGTTTCTCGGTTCGGAATTGAAGAAGCGATTTTTTGGTCCAGCTCGTATGCAACAGGGAAATCGAGTGAAGTTGATGAGGAAGTGAGCAAAGTGACCATTTATTACTTTGATATATGAAAAAGGAGGGGGGATATGAACTTCAATTTTATCAATTGTTGCCAAAAATTAAATAAAAAAAAATTAAGGCTAAACTACAGTTTCCGTACCAGGCTCAGAATTGGACGATTTATATGTATTCGAAAGAGCTCGTCGAGCTGAGTCGAACGACACCAAAATTATTCAGCGGAAAAAACTCTGAGCCGAGTTACAGACCCCTAAATTTCAAAAAACCATAGGGGGGACCAAGCTGTTTTTTGGGGGTGAAAAATTCGAATATGCAAATTATAACTCATTCGAAAGAGCTCGTCGAGCTGAGTCGAATGACACCAAAATCAACGAAATCCGACTTGATTTGACAAAGTTATGACCGTTTGTTTTTACCCCTTCCACAAGGTTTTCGCGGAAAAAAGTTTTTGCCGCTGCGGAGGAAGCCGGGCATGTCGAGCGGAACGACGGCCGCCGCTTCGCTACGGTCGCCGCGAGCGAAGCGAGCACGACCGCAGCGAAGCACGGCCATCGTGTAGCGAAGACCATGCCCGGCCTACCCTCCGTAGCAGCACAAAAACAGTTTTTCCTGCGAAGATTCTGTTGGTCATAACTTTGTTCATAATCGTCCAATCGAGCTGATTTTGGTGTCATTCAACTCAGCTCGTCGAGCCCTTTCGAATGAGCTATTATTTGTATATTCGAATTTTTCACCCCAAAAATCCCCCCAGAAATTTGACCATTTCGAGCCCTATATCTCGGCTCAGAATTTTTTCCGCTAAATAATTTTGGTGTCGTTCGACTCAGCTCGACGAGCTCTTTCGAATGACATATAAATCGTCCAATTCTGAGCCTGGTACGGAAACTGTAGTTAGGCCAAAATTAATTTTAAAGATTAATTCTGTTAGTCATCATTTTCTTCGCCGAACAATGGCACAGCAAAGGCAAATTGATAAAGACACTGAAATTGAAGAAGAATTAGATTCTGATGTGGAAGAAGCTGTATGTCATATTTAATTAAAAATATATTCTTTTAATTAATTTAGATTCTTGTTGATAAAATTATTTCTTTAAATGGAGAAAATGATTTTAATGAAGAAAAGCAATTTATACAACAACAAACACAGCAACAATTTGGAAAGGATACTGTCTTTGAACAGGGGGAAACTCGCGATTTTTTACATTTTTTGCGAAGAATTAAATATGACCATAGACAATGTCCACAAAATGAAGGTAAAAAGGATTATTTAAAACAAATATTTTTATTTAGGTAAAGCTGTACAAATTTCTGTTTCTGTAGTTATTTCAAATATTAGGGCTGTTTCTGAAGTTACTATGGTAAATAAAATAAAAAAGATTTCCTAAAAATTTATTTTTTAAAGGATTATAGTTTAGAAATGTTTTATAGAGAAATTTGGATGGATAAAAGATTAAATTATGATATTAAACAATTTAGAAATAAAACAGAACTTGCTTTACACGAATCTTATGCAGTTAATTTTAAAAGATATTTTATATAAAAATTTTTTTAAAAGAATTTTTTGTGGCATCCTGATACATTTATGCCTAATGCTATTGCTTCAAAAAATCCAAGAAAACAGTCAATTTCACATCGTTCATTGTTAAGGTATTTTTTAATTAAATAAGTTTTTCTTTATTGTGGCAAAGAAAGATAAACACTTAAATTTTAATATCTAAATAATGAGTTTTTTAAATAAATTGGTGTACGTATTTAATTCTAGGAGTATTGCTTAAAAGAAGGAAAAGTGTATACATATTATAAATCTGGGTGTTGACTTTTATTAATTTTTGTTTATGTATATCTAAAATAATTTTACGTCAATTAAGGAGGGGGGGGGGGTGTAAAAACAATTTCTTAAAAAAATAAAAACTGTTTTTAGGCTTCAATCAGATGGACAAATTCTTTATTCACGTCGTCTTTCCGTTGTTGCTGAGTGAGTATTTATATATTTAAATATCTTATTTTTTGTTTTTTAGATGTCCAATGGATTTAACTTTGGTAAAATATTTTTAAGAAAAAAAAGTTTTTTAAATAATTTATTTTTTAAAGTTTCCATTTGATTCTCAAACGTGCAAATTGGGAATCGAAAGCTGTAATAAATATATATTTTTTAATTAAAAAAAGACTAAATTTTTTAGATGGTTATACTTCAGATCAAGTTATTTATGTTTGGTCACACGGACAAAGAGCAGCTTTAAAATTACATAAAATTCGTCTTCCAGATTTTCGAATTAAAGAAGCTTTTGTTACTTCACAAATAGAAAATTATGCTACTGGTAATTTTTAAATAAATATTTTATTTTCTCCTTTTTCTTTGAATTTTGTGAGGGTAATATTTACTAGGACAAGGCCGGTTAACCGCCCGGTTAATTTTTCCCTGTGGCGGGGCAAAAAGAACAGAGAATAGAAAGAGAAAAAAAACCCCGCCAAAGGGAAAAATTAATCGGGCGATTAACCGGCCTTGTCCTACCCTAATATTTACTGTTTTTTTTGTCTTGGTTCTACCCTTTCAGAATTCTTCTCTTTAACTACAAAACTTTCAATTAAATTTTAAAGGTAATTATAGCCGTTTATATGTTTGTTTTGTTTTCTCTCGTTCAGCTGGATTTTGTTTTTTACAATTAATTATTCCATCAACTGCTGTTGTAATAACTAGTTGGGTATCCCTTTGGATGGAAAATGAAACTAGTTTTCAAGTTTAAAAAAATTTAAATTTTTTTTCAAAATTTTTTTTTCTTTAAAGGATATGATTTCTATAATTTTAACAATTACTTTTTTACTTTTTTCTTATAATGAGGTAAAAAAATAAATTTTTAAAAATTAATTTTTAAAGGTAATGCCAAGAGTTAGTTATTTAAAAGCTTTGGATATTTGGTTAGCCGTTTGTTTTATGATTGTTTTTTTGTCTTTAATTAAATTGGCTATAATGAAATATATGAGACAACGTTTAAAAATTGAAAATAATTTTAATAATAATAAATTGTTTGTTTTTTTAAATTTAAATTTTAAATTATTTTTTTTTCAGAGATTTATTATTAAATGGACTTTTAATGCCTAAATTAATTAATTTAATAAATAAAAAAAGAAAAGAAAAAATAAAGAAAAATAAAAAACATTCGGCTTTAAATTTTGGATTTACTTCAAGTATTAATTCTTCTTCCTCAATTAATAATAATAAACAAAAAAAGTAATTTAAAAATTATTTTTTTAATTAATTTTATTTTTTATTTCAGTTATTGTAATCGTCAACGTCCACCTACACCCCCTCCACATTTAAAACAATTAAATATTAATTTAAATAAAAATATTCAACAATCATTTCCTCTTTCTACAAAAGAAAGAAGGTTAATTTTTAAATTAAAATTAATTAAAAATAAAATTTAATTCTTTCAGAAGATCTTCACATCTTTTAAATTTAAATAAAAATTTTGAATCTTTATTGGTTGAAAGTGCTTTTTCTAAACTTTTAATGAAACAAAAATTAAAAGAATTAAATAAAAATAATTGTTGTTGTTATTATTGTAATAATGAAGATAAAAGTGATTTTAAAAGAAGAAGAAAAATATTAGTTGATGAAAATAAAAATGAATTTGTGGCTACTAAAAAAGGTAAAATAAGAATTTTTAAGGAGAGATTTTTTTAATATTTTTTAAAAATTAAATTGAAAATAAATTTATTTTTTTTAAGATAAAAACAAATTTACCACAACTCGTTCACCAATTAATTCAATTAGAATAGGAATTGAATCAACAAGTTCTTCTTCATCATCTTCTTGTTCAACACCTACTACAAATTCTGACAATGAAGAAGAAAGAAAAATAATTTTAAATAAAAAAGAGTTTTTTAAAGAAATTTAAATTAAATATATTTTTTTATTTTAAAGAAAATTATTTTTTTGTTTTGACCATCTTGGGAATATTGAATTTTCTTCTCAATTTATGAGACGTTTTCATTGGATATCTCAAGTAAAATAATTAATTTTAAAATAATTCTTTTATAAAATAGATGGGATTTTTCTTTGGTTTTGTTTTGTTTTGCCTTTACTTTTTTCTTGTTTATCCAAATAGCAGATCGACTAGTGTTGATCCAGCCTGTCGAAGGGATGAAGCAGAATGGTTTGTTTAGAGGGTTTTAATTTTTAAATAAAAAATATTTTTTAAAGGTTTGCTTCAATACCGACATAAAAATGTTTTTTTGAGAATACAAATTTTTTTATTTTTTTTTTCGCATTTTCTCAAACATTTTTTCTGATTTAGTTGTAAAAAGTATAAATTTTGCCGCAAATTTCCAAAGTGAATAAATTTGTTGAATTATCGTTTTGCTAAAAATTTTTATTTATGGGCATAAATAATATGTATATTATTTATGCCATCTGATTAAAATAAGGGCCAACTGATTAAAATAATAATTAAGAGATGGACATTTCCTTCCTTAAAACCCCTTTAGGGTATTTATTTTATTACTTTTAATAAAAACTACTGTAACCACCCAATTTTTAAAATGAAATATTTTGGCGAAATTATTTTAAGATGTTATTTAATCCTTGGAATAGGTCGATTTAGAGTAGAGGTCGGCAAACATCGTGAGCAGACATGCACGAAACGTTTCGTTTCGTTTCGTTGTTTCGTTAGTTTCGTTATGTTTTTTCCTGTTTCGTCTCGTTTCGTGACGAAACACTTTTTGGATTGTTTCGTTTCGTTTTGTTAACGAAACACCTCTGTTTCGTTAACGAAACATTACCCATTTTTCAGACCAAAATATTACCCAAAAATTGAAAAATTTCCCCTTTGGTGATCAAAATTCAAAAAAATTTTCGCCTGCGGCGCTGAAATCTGGATTTTAAGCGCCTACGGCGCATAATTTACTATAATTTTTTTGAATTTCTCGTTTGATTTTGTTTTTTTAATATGCAAAGCTTAAATTCTATGCTAGATTAGGCATATAGAATCGATCTACCTCTTAATGCCAATCAGGGCAGGCGCAAGAGTTTCAATAAAGTTTAGTTTTAATAAATCATGAACGTTGTCATGAACGTTGTTATCTATCATAAACGTTGTAATCATGAACGTTGTTATCAACAAAAAATCTGAGTTGAGAAATATCATTGGATTTGGCTAGATCAATGGTGTTATAGGAAATTGGGAGAGAGTAAACGGGATATCGGTGGATTTGTAGGGTTTAAAATTTTTAAAAAAATGTCGGGAATCAGGAACGGGTTTAGAGGAATTTCTGACAAAATTAATTTACGATTTTAGGGAATCAGGAAACGGGTCGGCAGGTCCCTGATATACACATATTCTCAACACATAATTCGATTAAAGTCGATTTGGTGGAATTAAGGCTGATATAGTGGATTATGAGTCAACACGCGAAAATTTTGTAGCCTGGGACCAAAAGTTAAGGTCCCACTAAGCTATTAGATCAATTATAGGCCATAACTGGCCTATTAACGTGTCTAAAATCGAATAATTAATAAAATAAAACCGTTTTTATTAAATTTTTTGAAAATTAAAATGTTTCGTTTTGTTTCGTTTCGTTTCGCTAAATTTTTACTGTTTCGTCTCGTTTCGTTAACGAAACGATTTTTAAAAAATTTTGTTTCGTTTCGTTTCGTCTGAAAAAATTTTGGAGTTTCGTGCATGTCTGATCGTGAGGCACACTAATGTTTTCAACCTATCTATCCACTGAATATTTTTTCAACCTATCTATGGATACTATAAAAGGACTTGGAATTATCCAGAATTATTCTCTCGTTCTTCAACTACTATTATTCTCCATTTTGTCCTCTTCTCACACAATGCCAACGGTGCGGGAGCAAGATGACGTCGACCGTGTTGTCTGCTGCAAGCACGGAAAGCCTTGTCAACTCTCATTGCAACAAGTTCCAAAGTCTGCACGTGGTCAAGAAGTCCCAAGATCGCCAGATGTTGGTCGTTGTGGTGGTGGCAGACGTAAGAGACAGAAGTGCCAGCAGGCGGATAATAACTCGTCCATCACCGACTTGAGGGGAGGCAGTGTTAGCAGCTCATCGACCAACTATGAGAACATCCCGCCTGGGGGATTGCCGAATGAGGGTGACAATTTTTTTGTTTTTTGAACGTCTTGAACTTCTTTAAAATTATTTTTATTTTTAGCGACCGCTATTGACATTGGAAGTGGTGGCGGTTCTGCAGTTACTAGCGAGACGGAAATCACTGAAGACGAAAGCAATCCTGCGACTGATGAACGCCCTCCAAGCGTGGACTTGTTTCGCCAGAGATTTGAAGACGAGCAACTGTATGAGGACATCCACCACGTGGGTGGAATGCATCGATGTGGACATGCTGCTAAGAAGACTGCCAAGAAGCCAGGCGATGGTCAAAAGGAAGCTGGGAAAACCAAATCGAGCGAAAAGTGAGAGTATAACTCTTATTCCTAAATAAAATTTTTTGTTTAGATCGCTCGCTAGGCCGGTTCCTCCTTCTGCTGCGGGTGTCGCTGTTCCAATGTGAGTTTCTCAAAAAAAATTTTTTTCATTCAAAAAATTTTCACTTTTTAAAGGTCAACTGCTGATGTCAAACACGCGGCGAAAGTAGACATGACCAAAAGCAGAGACCTTGTCAACCCTAAGGAGAAGCTGACTGAGTTCTATGCAGGACCGTGCACACCGAGTGAAGCTGAGCGTCAATGTAAAGCTGCTGGCATGTTCCGTCTCTACCATCGAATTGTGGTTGTCGATGAGGATCAGCTGCAAAGTGTTCTGCCGTTGTTCATTGTCTACAGAAATCTGAAGGGGAAATACTGGTAAGTGGGGGAGTTGGCGGCCTTTCTCTATAGGATACACCCTTGGGGCTCAAAAATACTAATTTCTAAACTCTTTTTTCAGTCATGTCCGGATTGTGCGCTGCGGGAAGGACCTCATAAAGATTGATATTGAAGGAGAGCCCAAATTCCGAACGCTTAGCCAGCTAATCACCTTCTACGACATCTACGCGAAATTCGAAGACGATATGAACCCGTTCCCGCGTAAAGGTGGCGAGTCTGTGGAGGAAATCAACTAAAGCAAGAATTGTAAAAGTATATAAAAATGTTAGGTGATTTGTGGGTATATTTGTTTGTGTGTGTTGATATGTAAATATTTGTAAATATAATTGTGTGTGACACTATTGTTATGTAAATATATAAATTGTTGTGGAATTTGTATTTTTTGTTGTATAAATAATGTAAAAATAAATTTGAATTGGTACAGTACAGAAAAAATTTTATGGTACCGTCCGGGCTCTATTCTCCACAATATGTGAGAGTTAGAGGGTATCGCTTAGGCGAGGTATCGCTTAATCAATAAAAGAAATAGGCACAAATTTAAAGGACATTTGGAGTTTACTTGAGATAGCAAGGGAGTAGCTTCAGGGGGGCTAAAATGGGGCTACGCTTGATAATATAAAAAATTCTTTAGGAAATTTTTTAAATAAAATTAGGTTCTAATCGAATTTATGAGTCACATAAAATTGTAGATAGAGTAGTAGAATTTCAGGTTTCGGACCCGCCAAAGTTATATGGGGTTCCTCTTTTTAAAATAAAGAAAAGCGGGTAAAAATAAAAAATTAAATTAGAAAATAATATTTCCACAAGCGGAATCGAACCGCCGTTAAAAACCATTGTAACCTGAAACAATACCACACACCACAAAAGTATTTAACAGAGCATCCTAAACAATGCTACATAATTAAGAGAAATTTTATCGAATTTCCAAAGCCACCTAGACATAGATTCCAAACCCTAAAAAATATTTGTGAACAACTTTGAAATCCCAAAAAGTTCTGGGGGACTCATAAATTTATTTATTCAAAAAATTAAAAATATACAACGAAAGGGAATCCACTAACATCCAATTTTCTGAAGCCATTAGAGACAAAATAGAAATTGAATAAATACCGTATTTCCTATATTAGAGCCCCACCCTCTGTTAGAGCCCCACCCTCTAATACAGCCCCACTTTGGAGGATAGTTAAAAAATAGAGCCCCACCCTCAATTAGAGCCCCACCCCAAATAAAGCCCCACCTAAAAAATATTGGAGGAAAAATTATCCCAATAACTTTTTAGATGTATTAAGAGAGTTAAGGAAATAAAGGGATGGATCTCGATGATATCGCGATCAAGAAGGAGGAGGGATAATAGGAATATAGAAATGAAAAGGAGGGGATAACTTCGATATCCGCCCAAATACTCTAGAATCGCCTATATTCCTCCAAATCCCTCCTATTATCTCCAATAAAATAAATTTATGAAGGGTTGCAATTTTTGAAGGGTTTCAATATGAAGGGTTGCAATCGTGTTAGGCACTTGGCGATAATTCGAGAGATTATTAAAGATCTATTAGAGATCTCGCTTATAATCAGTGATGAAGTTCCAAAATTTCTCCAAAACCGGTTCCAGTTCTGGAACTTGTTCAAAAGCTTCATCAAACAAAATCCCTTCATTTGCCTCCTAATACCCCTAGTCCAGAATATCCCTCTTAATCCCGCTAAATCTCTCAATATAAGCTTAATCCTCTGTATTCCCCATAATCCCTTAAAAGCCACTCTTATACCTCTGATCCATCGATGTCAAACACTAGTCCCCTAATATTTCCTTTAATCCGTCCAAATCTATTAATATTTAATATTAATCTTACTCTTATTGAATTATTGTGACTATTTTGTTATTCATTGCTTAAAAAGTTTTAATTTTTCATGAAAAATCAAAAAAAATATCGATTCGCTTTTGATATTTTCGGTTTTATCGACCATCCCCTCCGGCCTATCTCTTGTTGCAATGGACAGTTAATAAATGGGATTTTAACTCAAAGAGGGTTGAAAAATAGAGCCCCACCCTCAATTAGAGCCCCACCCTTTAATACAGCCCCACCCTGGAGGATAGTTGAAAAATAGAGCCCCATGGGGCTCTAATATAGGAAATACGGTATTTGGAATCAGACGTGGGCGAAACGTTTCGTTTCGTTTCGTTGTTTCGTTAGTTTCGTTATGTTTTTTTCTGTTTCGTCTCGTTTCGTGACGAAACACTTTTTAATTTGTTTCGTTTCGTTTTGTTAACGAAACACCTGTGTTTCGTTAACGAAACATTACCTATTTTTTAAGCCAAAATATTGCCCAAAAACTGAAAAAAATTCCCATTTGGCGATGAAAATTCTCAAAATTTTCGACTGCGGCGCTGAAAATGGAGGAAATCTGCCTTCATGGCCTTCCAAAATTCAAAAAATTTTCGCCTGCGGCGCTAGAAAAGGAAATATGTGTATATCTCTGTACATTTGCATAGATTAAGGTGGACTTTGAGTAATATTGGCAAGAATTAAAAGAGAGATTATTAGAGGGGTTAAAGGGATGTCCTCTTACTTCCCTCGATATCCTCCTTAATCCCACTATGTCCCTTTAATCCACTATGTCCCTTTAATCCACTATGTCCCTTTAATCCAACTATGTCCCTTTAATCCCTAATATATGCCGATGTCTCTAATTTCCGATTTCCGAAAAAAAATTTTTATTTTTGATTTCCGACTTTTGAGCCAGTTCCGATTTCCGGCTCTTCCGATTTCCGACACATCTGACTGTTTCGACGGTGTCCGGAAAATTGGGCTCTGGAAAATTAGGCTCCAAGATTTTCGGAAAATCTTCCGCTGGAGCCCAATTTCCCAGAGCTTATTTTCCGGTACTCGTTTCGACCTAACTCTGACTGGTGGTAAAATTTCGTGAGTTGACAATGTTATTCGATTTGTCTCGAGGAGCTGAGTCGAACGGGACCACTCCCTACTTCTGGAAATGATTCTGGACCGAGTTATTAATGGTGATATAGGGAATTAGGTGAATTAAGGGAAAAATTGACGTTTGAACGATTGGGTCCACAACAAATGGTTAACGGGACCACAATTTGTGGTCCCACACATCATTAGTGGCCCATTAACCTGGTTAAAATTGAATAGTTAATAAAATTATTAAGTTTTTTGAGAATTTTTTAAAAATTAAAATGTTTCGTTTTGTTTCGTTTCGTTTCGTTAAATTTTGACTGTTTCGTTTCGTTTTGTTAACGAAACGATTTTTAAAATTTTTTGTTTCGTTTCGTTTCGTCCGAAAAAATTTTGGAGTTTCGCCCAGGTCTGTTTGGAATTAATAATTTTAAAGAATTTAGTTCTTGATTAATTATATTGAAAGAATTGAGGAATTAAAAAGTATTGAGGAATTAAAAAGTAAATTTAATTGAGGAATTAAAAAGTAAATTTAATAATTTATTTGGTGGAGAACGAGACTATTGAGTACCGCCGTTTGAGTACCCAGAGCTCTTCCTTTGTAATTTCTCTTATTTTCTAAATTTAGTGAAAATGTCTGAAGAATTTGTTAGCCAACGAACCCTGCCAAAATCTAAAAAATGGTGGAAGAATGTTCAAACTGAAAGGTTTAAAATTTATTTTTATTTTTTCTTTAAAATTATTTTTTAGGCCTTTAAAAAGCAATACAAAACCAAAATCTGATTGGAATTCAAAAATGAAAAAGAAAAATATGGAAAAGCAAGTTCGAGCTTTGCAAGAAGAAATTCGTCAAAAATTGGTTGATGAAAAGAAAGAAATTATACAGACAAAAAAGGAAAGAGAAGAACGTCGAAAACAAAATTTATTAAAATCAGAAATTGTGCAAGTAATTAAAAATCCTGCACGGTTAAAACGGATGAAAAAGAAACAGCTTAGAATGATCCAAAAACGAGATATTACAAAAGAGTAATTTTTTGTTTTATCATATCAAAAAATTTCATAAATAAATTATTTGTTTTAAATATTGTTGATAAAAGTTTTTGTTTATTTTATTATATTGCCTAATTGTTATTTTACTAATATTTTTTTTCAAAATTATTTTTTGTTTAAATTTTTAAATTCTGATGGACTATGTGCGTGAACATGTATACTCACTGAAAAGGTTATTATTTCAATTAACTTTTAGCCGGAAACCATTATTTTCAGCATGCTGGACGTGTGCCTAACTCAGGACCCCGGATTTTCCTCCCTTGAGGATTTGGCGCTCGCCAACGGAAATGGGCAACTTTGCGCGCATCTTTTAGGTCGCAGTGTGAAAGGTTTGCTTTTTTCAAATTATTTTTCTATTTCTCTTTTCAGACGTCGAATTAATCCGCCAAATCTCTCGTTCACTCATTTGGTTTACTTATCGTCGTAATTGGCCTTCACCAATTGGTGGCTCTGGAGGCCCAACTACTGATATTGGATGGGGTTGTATGATTCGTTGTGGGCAAATGCTTTTTGCACAAGTTTTTTTCAGAATTTTTTTTGTTAAATTTTTTTAATTTTTAGACCCTCTTAGCTCTCCATTTAGGCAAAGATTGGCAATTTTTATTACAGAAACAAGATGTTGAAGCTTTGGATATTTATAAACGTATTTTGCGTCTCTTTCAAGATAAACGGACAGCTTTATATTCAATTCATCAAATTGGTATTTTTAAAGGTTAAATTTTTATTTAAAATTTTTTAGCACATATGGGCATTTCCGAAGGTAAACAAATTGGCGAATGGTTGGGACCTAACACAATGAGCCAAGTTTTAAAGAAATTGGTTGTTTTTGACAATTGGTCACAGATTGTGGTTCATGTAGCATTAAATAATGTAAAAATTTAAATATTTTTTTTCTCTTCAAAACAATTTTGAAGGTTTTAATTTCCTCTGATGTTCGAATTGTAGCAGCACAAAAGACTTCTAATAAATTAAATAATAGCCAAAATGATAGCATCCAAGAAGATAATTTTGATCAAATGGAGGATGAAGAAATGGAGGAGGATGAAGAGAATACAAATAATTGGAAGAGACCTCTTTTATTGATGATACCTTTACGGTTAGGGCTTGATTCAATTAATTCTTGCTATTCAACTGCAATTTTTGAATGTTTTAAATTGCCACAATTTGTTGGAATTTTGGGTGGTAGACCTAGACATGCTGTTTATTTTTATGGAACTGTTGGTGATAGGGTATAAATTTAATTCTTTGGCACTTGTAAAAGTTAAAAAAATTTTCTAGTTACTTTATTTGGATCCACATTTTTGTCAAGATTTTCAAGATTTGGATATTTCTTCACAGCAATCAAGTAATTAACTTTACTCAGAATATTTCTATTAATTTATTATTTTATTTCTATTATTTTAGCAAGTTACTCTCAACCTTCTGAAGAACCAGTAATTGTTTCTTCGCCAGATGAATTAATGGTAATATCTGACAACGGAGAAAAAGAAATAAACAATAGAAGATCATCATTAAATATTCAAAATCAACAAAGACCATCACTTTTTGAATTGTCTTCTTCAGCTGGGCCTTCTTCTGAATATGTAAATCTTCGTTCAGCATCTTCTTCATTAGTTGCTGTAGCTACATCTTCAGTTTCCTCATCTCCTTCACGGCATGATAAAAACGAAAATAATACCGGCGGTGTCACTTCAAACAATTTACTTGCCTCATCTTCTCCCTCTTTCCGCGGGTGTTCTTCCTTAAACTGGTTAATATTATTTTTTTAATCTATATTTTTTATTTTTTTGTAGTTCTCCACATTTAAGTAGTGTTTGTAGTAGTTCATCCATTGATGACCAAAATAATAAACAACAAAATATTGACACAAATATTTCAATTCCAACTTCTTGTATTTCTACTAAGCATTCATCTCCACATCAATCAACATCCTCATCTCGAAATGAAGGGATTTTAAGACGTATTCGGTCTGAAGTATCAACAGTTCCAGCAGTTGTCGATTCAATTCTTGATCGTTTTATTTCGATATTTGCTGACAAAAATAAAAATGAACAAAAAACTAATTTTTATGATGAAGAAGTAATTCAAATTGACAAAGGTATTTTTTAATTTTTATTAAAAATATTTTTTATTTTAATAGACGATGTTGGACATTCAACAAATCAAAATATAAATAATAATACAATATTGGCAGACGGGTTTAATAACTTTGATGATTCTTCTTTTCACTGCCCTCATCTTCTCTCAATGGATTTTAAATCCTTAGGTTTGTTTTTATCGTTTTCTTTTATTTTCACAACATTTTTAGATCCATCTCTTGCACTTGGTTTTTTGGTTAGAGATTCTTCTGATTATGAAAATTTAATTGAAAGACTTGAGGTTTCTTGGAATTAAAAAATATTTTTAAAAATAATTTTAGCACTCTTTATTACCAAAATCTTCTCCACCTCTTTTTGAAGTTCTTGAAACCCGTCCAAAAGGATGGCCACCATTTTCTCTCGAACCTTCTTACCAAAATGAATCAATAAATATTAAAGGTTTATTTTTTGTTATTTAAATTAATTTTTATATTTAAAAAGAATATGATGATTTATTATATGATAGTGATGAACAATTTGAATTATTAAATGAAGAATAAATGAATTTATGTAAATAAAAGGAATGAAATGCTTTCTTTAATTTACACCGGGTTTCGAAAATATATACATACATGCACTTTTTTTATTTTCATAATTTTTCTGTGTAAATTTTACATTATATAAAAATATATTTTAAGAAAAAAATTGGTTGAATATTTTAAAAGTTAAATATTTTTTTGATATTCAACTACGATTAAATGCCTTTTTTAAAAATTTTGTGAATAAAGAAAATTTATTAATATTTTTAATTTCTTTTAAATAATTATTTTTTAAATTAAATAAATATTGATATCTTTTTGTTAACCTATTTCTTTTAATAATTCCAAATGTCTAATGTTTGTGATGGATTTATTCAAATTTTTGATATTGGGGATAGTTTTTTTATTGCATTTGAAGGTTTTTTTTTTAAATTAAAAGCATTTCTAATTTTTAAATTTTTTATAGATTCCGAACAAATACTTCAAAAATATAGATTAATTTGTTCATCATTTTATCATTCAAAATGTGCAGAAGATAGCAATGTTTTGCCTTTTTTGCCGGTTATTTTGTTTTCAGAACAAGTGCAGGTTTTGGTTGAAAATGGTATGAAGGGTTTTAAAATAGAATAATTTTCTTTAATTTGAAGGTTTTGCTCAGATTTGTCGTGTCAATAATTCAATTGAAGGTATTGAGTCATTTCCAGACAGTAATTGCAAATTAGATAAATCTGAACCGGTAAATGAATTAATTTGGAAAAAAATAATCTATTTTTTAAGAATAAAGAAAAAGAAGGGGAAATTCTGCTTTCTTTGGCACAAAAAATTTTAATTGGTCGTAATTTAAAGAAAAGAAAAAGAGCTTTATTTGGAGCAGATGCGCCTTCTAATCTTCTCAAAATTCGGAAAATAGATCATTTAAATGAAAATAATAATAATGAGAAAGCAAATTCTAATGAAATTGAGAGCTGTGAAAATGAAGAATTACAATTAATTATTAATGAACTTCGTTTACGAAATGTGGAGAAAGAGATGAATTCAAAAAGAAATTTAAATTCTTATGGTATTTTAATTAATTAATAAAATAATTTTTATTTATTTTTTCATGCCTTCCATCAACATTATATAATTTGCCTGAGGATTTACTAGTTCCACAAAATGCTGAATATTTTATTAGATTAACTGTTTTTCGAGACCTTTGGAGAAAAGGTTAAAAACAAGTTTAATTATTAATTCTTTTAATGCCAAACAAATTAATAAAAAGGTTTTTATCTTCTAAGCGGTGCAAAATTTGGTTGTGATTATTTAGCTTATGAAAAACCTCCTGGCGAACAACATTCTCTTTTTATGATTATTTGTAGCGATGTAAATAAATCATTAAATTTATATAATTTAATTGCTACTTCACGTGTTGTAAGTTTAGAAAGAAATTTTTTAAAATATTTTTTTATTAGAGTACACAAGTAAAAAAGAAAATTCTATTGGCTGTAGTAAGTCCTGGAACTCTTTTACCTTATTATTTAGAAATGAATTGGTGGAAAGGAGATGGAAATCGTTAATTTTTTAATTAAAATTATTTTTTTTTGTTAATTTTATATTTATAAAAAGTTTTTTATTTAATTTTTGTTGTTAAATTCAAAAAAGTCGATTTACTTTTTTACTTTTTATTTATATATTACTTTTTTATGAAATTGTTTTAGATTAATTATTCAAAGTTATGCTATTCTTTTCATTCTTCAAATCGTTGGTTGGTCGAGAAGTTATTATTGAATTGAAAAATGATTTAAGGTTTGTTCGATTGGGAGATTGAGATCAATCCAGAAGTCGACCAGAAGTCGATTTTTTTTCCCCGCTTTATTCTCCATTTTGCTGCATCCACATGCGCTCCTCTTTTGGGTGTTTTAACTGCTTTGGGATTCACGAGTTGTATCTGTGATTTTTTTGTCTATTTTGCTCGGAATTAATTCCCTCTATTACGCCGCTTTTTTTCTTTCATTACCGCTTTTTCCCCGTTTTTAGTAAGGAGAAAAAATTTGGTTAATAAAGGAAAAGTATCATTTTTGCAGTATATGTGGAACTCTACATTCAGTTGACCAGTATTTAAATGTTAAAGTGACAGACATTAATGTTACCGACGTGGAAAGGTTTATTCAATTTTTAACTTAAACGAATTAAATTTTAGACATCCACACATGATTTCTGTAAAGAATTGTTTTATTCGCGGTTCAGTAATTCGTTATGTGCACCTTCCATCTGATGGAATTGACACTCAATTACTTCAGGTATTTGTTAAAAACAAGCTAAAAATTAATATCCCCACTTTTTAGGAAGCAACTCGAAAAGAAGTTTTGCAAAGTCGACAACAGGGGGGTACATCTAATAAATGATTTATAACAGAGAAAGATGTCACGATCTCGAGACAACCTCTTTTACTCGTTATTTGTTCGTAATAATTTATTTAAAAAATAAAAGTTTGATTAAAATTAATTATCATAATTAAAATGCAAAAATATTTGGGCTTTAGCAAGTTGTCCATTTGCAGAACTGGCTCCTCCAATACCTTCGTTTTCGACCAATCGAGAAACAACTTTTTCTGATTCTGAACTTGAAGGGGGAGCAGAAAGAAAAATTTTAGCCAATTTTCGAAGATTTGGGTAAGAATTGCTATTAGCTGCTTTTCGCCAGTATTCAAGTGGGTCAGCACCAATCCTTTCAATTGAGGACTAGAAAAGAAATTGGGAATTAGAAATTTGATAGTTCCTAATTTTTAATTCGAAAAATTATTTCAAAGCAGAAAAAGAATAAGTCAACTAACCTCCAAATAAGATTCTACTTCCTCTGCCACTGTCGAATATTCAACATTGGATGTAGTTGTTTGGACCATAGAATTAATCTCATTAAATCCCGTCAAAAATTCTGACATAGCATCTGTCTATATAAATTAAAAACGTTTATCTCTCAAATTTTTTCCTCTCATGTCAGAAGAATTACAGAATGGTCAACGACACATAAATTGATAGGACTACCAAATTTCCGGTAATTTCTTGTAAATCCATTTAAAGTAATTTCCTCAAGCTTCATAAATTTAATCTCATTATTTGCTATTGACCTGTAATTCTTCGATGAAGGAAAGGAAATTGTAGGAAGATAACACAAATTTTTAAATTTTAAATAAACTAACCCCGTCAAATGCATGTTTTTGTAAATTTTGTCTTTGTTCAGGATCTAAATCTGGCAATATAGTTGCAAACAAAAGAGTTTTATTTCGAATTCTTTGGTCAGAATCAAAAATATTTGCTTGGTTTTTATATCGAGCATCGAGTAGTGTTGCCAAAATTAAAAAACTAAAAAAAAAATAAATTTTAAAATTAATTATTATTAATTACCTTCTATCAATTAATCCATCCATTCTGCATCTCAATCCATCAGAAATTGTTCTTTTAAAAGATCTTTCTTCTGAGGAGTCACAAGGATTTTCTGCCAAACAATTAAGCAAATATTTATATGTTGGTAATACAGAACTAATACATTCATTTCTGTTAGATAATAATTTTGTTTTAATTTCAAATGGTTGAAGAATCTTGAGAAAAGATTTAAAAAATATTCAAAAAAATTTATTTTTATAAATTTCTTACATTCAAAATTTTCTTCAAAAATTCAAAATTTGGAAGAGTAACATCTTGAAAGTCTAAACAAGTAGCCAATAATGCATTCTGCTGTTCAATAACACGTCTAGCCATTGTTAAAGTAGAAGTCCATTGTGTGGGGATTTCTCCAATTAATGGATTTTTTGGGGCATCAACAAGTTGTTGTTGCCTTGAAAGAGCACTTTGAAAGGCTGAAGACCTAAAAAAATAATTTAAAAATTAATTTCTTTTTAAATAAATAAACCAATTATAAAAAGCAACTAATTCTCTACAAATTTGTATTTGTTTAGAGATTTCTGGTAAATTAGAACCATCACTTACAGACAAGGCTAATTTATGTAGAAAACAATCAAAATATTGAAATTTTAAATCTAAAAAAATTAAAATAATTTAATTTAAAGAAAACCTTCAATAGATCTACACATTGAAGAGGCAGCATCTCGTAAAAATAAATGTACTTTTGTTGGGGAAATTTCGAAATCAACAAATATTTCATTTATTTTATTTGTTATAGCATTTGAAGTATTATCTCCTGTAATAGGTTCAGCAACAAGTACTTTCCAACATCGATTAAATGAATCATCAATAAAATGACAAGTTACACTTTAAAAAATAATTTAAAATAAAACTTGACAACGAATTAATTTTTTCCAAAAGGCAGTCAGTCAGTTTAAACTTTTTATTTTTTAAAGTCAAAACATAATTTTAAATAAATTTAATTTAACAAATTTTTACCTCAAAAAATATTGTCCTTTAGAGTGCCCAATAGCTGTAGTGAAGGAACAACTTTGACATTTCCTTAAAGCATCCTTCAAACTCATATACTTTGATTGAAATTTTTTAGTAATTAAATTTGTCATATATTCTCTATTTTTCACTGTATAACTTTTAAAAGAATTTATTCACAAAAAAATTTATTTAAAAAAATACTTTGGACATGCAAGTGACAACATATCAGTAAAACTTTCCTGTTCAGTTATTGAAAGAGATTGTGATGAAAGACAAATAAAACGAAGAATTGCATCATCCATTTTCTTTGATTTTATATTATTTTGTTCCCATCTTTCAATTTTTCCGAATTTTGAAATTTTATTTTGATTTGTTGACGTTTTTGGGGAATTAATTTCTCGTTTAGTTTTAAATACAGGAATTTCAACATTTTTAGCTATAGCAAATTGCTTGAAAAAACTAAAAAAGATATTTATAAAGATTAAAAGAAAACCTTGGATGAAGCATTAAATGTCTAGTTGTTCCTTTTGTATTTCCCTTCTTTCGACTAATCCGTTTTTGGCAAATTCTACAAATTGCTGATGGATCACCTCTGTCATACTGATAATAACGAAGAAGTGAATGAGGGGGTTTAGACAAATCAATTATTGTTTCATCAATTCCATTATAATCTTCACTCAAAATTGTGTTCCCAATATTATCCAAACCTTTTTCACTAAAAATTTAAATATTAATTTTTAAATTTTTAAAATAAATAACAAACCTTTGTCCATTTATTTTTGTTTTCTTCAGAGGGGTAGAATTTTCGTTCTTTAACATTCTAGTTGAAGGAGGCATAGCACTTTTAGCTGTTGAAAATTCTTCAAAAATACTTCAAAATATAAAAATATCTAAAAATAATTTTTTTCAAAAAAAACTTTGGATGTCTCATTAAATGTTTAGTCATTCCATTTGTATTTCCTTGTGTCCTTCTAATCTCTTTTTGACATAATCTACATGTTCCAAAAGGTTCCCCACGAGAATATTGAAAATAACGCAAAAGAGAATGTGCAGGTTCGGATAAATTAAGTTGATTTTTTTCATTAAAATTATTTGGGTCATCTCTAGTTATAACTAAAAAAAGAAGTTTTTTAAGAAAATTTTAAAATTACCAATATGTTCTACAAAATTAGAAGTACTTCCATTAATATCTTCTAGTGAAAATATTTGTGTATCCATTTTTTTGTAAAATTTTATTAAAAAATTGTTGAAAATAAATTAATTAAAATATAATTAGTTTTTTTTTAAATTAATACTAAATAATTAAATTTATTAAATTTTGAAAGAAAATAAAATAAAAATTTAAAAAAATACACGTACAAATAACCAAAATACAAATTTTTCTACAATATTGTTTTTTACAAAAATTCCATATCGTAATATGACAAAATGATTTTTCGAAATTAAAAATATATCAAAATGTTAACTTTCAATTTAGTAAAATTTTAAATTTTTAATTAATTTATTTTTTTCCAATTAACAAAACTTTTTTTAATTTTTAAGAAATGAGGATTATTTTTGTTTTTATTTTATTTTTTGTCGTATCTGCCGACGATGCCTCTACTAAAGATTTACTTCCTCGTGGTGTTCATCCACAACGTTTTATTTAATTTTTATTAAAAAAAGATTAACTCATTTAAAGTTGCTTCATTCTATTCTGGCGAAGAAACATTTGCATGTCTTGATGGAAATAAAGTTACACCATTTAATCAAGTAAATGATGATTATTGTGATTGTGCTGATGGATCTGATGAACCAGGTTTTATTGTAGTAGAAATAATTTCGGGAGATCTATTCCTCGTTGGGCCAATTTTTCACCTTTTCCGACATTGGAATTAGAAAATGTTCTTTGAGGCAAAGGCGGATTTAGGGCGCAAAAATTTAGCGTCCAAACGCGATTTTTTGAAGTTATTAATTTTGATTTTTTACACATTACCGCTGCCGACGAAAATTTGGGAATTTTGGAAGATCTTAGGCGAAAAAATGATAACTTTTTTGTTCATTTTTATCCTGCGTTTTTTCTTTTCCTTATTTCGGAAGGAGGATAAAATTTCTCTGGATTTTAAGGAACTGCCGCTTGTCGAAATGGCAAATTTTATTGTAAAAATTATGGATACAAACCTTCATTAATTCCTTCAAGCCGTGTGAATGATTACATTTGTGGTTTGATTTTAAAAATATATTTAATTTTTTTACAATTTTTTTGAAGATTGTTGTGATGGAAGTGATGAATGGGATTCAGGAACTGAATGTCCAAATGTTTGTGAAGCTCTTGGTTCTGAAGCACGTTCTGAGGCAAAGCAGCGACGTGCAACATATGAAGCTGGTTGGCGAAAAAGAGAAGAATTGGCTGTTGAAGGGAAGAAAATGATGGAAGAAAAGACAAAAGAATTAGAAAAACAAAAAGTCGATTTATCTTCTTTGGAGGAACGAAAACTTGAATTGGAAGAAGCAAAAAATGTTGCAGAAAAATTGGAAGGTGACGCGAAACGAGAAGTTGATGAACAATTTGAAGAAGAAAAGAATCGAAAATTAACTGAAAAAGCTCAAAATTTATTAAAAGAAATTGATAATGATGGAAATGGAAAGTTTGTTTTTGGTTTGGTAATTTAAAAAAATATTTATTTTTGTAGAATATCAAATGAAGAATTGAGATTATATTGTGGATTAGGACAACAACAATTATTGCCACCAGAAAATGAATTAAAAGAAGAATCTGAAAATGTCGGAGATAATTTCGAATTAGAAGAAATGTTTAAAGGAATTTTTGGGGAAGGAAGTGAAAATATTGATTTGGAAATGATTAAAAATAAATTTAAAAATATCAATGATTTTTTATTAAAATGTAAAGAAAATAAACAGAAAGAAGGAAATGAAGAGGGGGAGGTAAAAGAAGAAGGAGAGAAGGAAGAAGGAGAAGAAAAAGAAGAACAGCCTAAATATGATGAAGAAACACAAAAATTAATTGAAAATGCTAATAATGCTAGAAAAGAATTTGGAGAAATTGAAAGTCAAATTGGTGAACTTCAAGATGACATTAAGTTCGTATATTTTTTATATTTTAATTAAATAGAAAAAAAGAGTAAAAAAATATAAAGTTCCGTTTCAAAAAAACCTCAACACCCCGAAATTTTTCATAAATCGATCTACGGTTGTTTGTGTTAGCAGCAAAGACTACCTTATTTTATAAAAAATTTTTAGTGTTAGCAAACCGATAATTTTATTAAAAGTTACAATAAGTTTTCAAAAAATCATCGGGGGTTTTTTTGGAATGGACTTTATTAAAATTTGCTTAAAAGTAATTTTTAAATATTTTTCTTTAGAAATTCGGACCAATTTTTAAATCAAGAATATGGAATTGATTATTCATGGGCTCCACTTAAAGGTCATTGTGCAGAATTGACAACTACTCAATATACATATAAAATCTGTCTTTTTGACCGGACTGTACAAAAAGATCGAAATGGCCATAATGAAGTAGATCTTGGGTATTTATATTTATTTATTTTTTAATTTCTAAATAATTCTTTTTTTAGTCGTTGGGGTAACTGGGCAGGTCCAGAAACAAATAAATTTTCTTTACAAAAATATGAACATGGCCAAAGTTGTTGGAATGGCCCCGAACGTTCAACAATTGTAGAACTTGTTTGTGGGTCAGAATTGGAATTAGTAGAGGCTAGCGAGCCCGCCAAATGTGAATATAAGTTTGTGGTACGTGTACCAGCTGCATGTCAAGATCCAAAAGAAATTGACGTTGGGGGAGAAGCACATTTTGAACTTTAAGTCTTAAAATGACAAAATTTTCAATTTTATATTTTTAGTTGTCGTTCACATAATTAATTTATAAAATAATTTATGACAAGTCCCTCTCTCAATTTGTGTTTGTTTCGCTTAAATTTTCGAATGTTAATTTAAGTAAATTTTAAATTTCCACGATTTTGGCGTTTTGTTTAGATGACGACAGATTGAGGTTAAGAGAATCAGAGTTGGATTTCGATTCCTTTCTTTTATTCGTTGGCTTTTAATAATTTACATATTTTAAGATGTCATTTTTCCTTAATTTTAATAAGAATTTTTAAGTTTTTTTAATAAAAAAATTTTTAGTTTTCAAATGAACTTTATTTGGGTTGAAAGGCTTCATCGGCTATTTATTTTTTGTTTTCTTTTAAATTCTCATTTTCTCCTTGTTTTGTCCGGAAGAGATTTTTATTCGATTCTTCGAGTTAAACGTGATGCAGAACCAGATGAAATTAAATCTTCCTTTAAAAAATTAGCTTTAAAACTTCATCCAGATAAAAATCAAGATGGTAAAAATTATTTTATTTTTAATTTATTTTCTTTTTATTTTTAAGACCCTGCCGCGCAAGAAAAATTTCAGGATTTGAGAGAAGCATATGAGGTTATTATTTTTTAAATATTTTTAAATAAAAAATGTTTATGTAGGTTTTGGGTGACCAAAAGAAGCGTGATATTTATGATAAACACGGTGAGGAAGGAGTTAAGAAAATGGACGATGGAGGTGGTGGTTTTGGTGGACATGACCCGTTCTCTTCATTCTTTGGAGATTTCTTTGGTCACGGAAGCCATGAACATGATGAAGAAACGCCCCGTGGGGCAGATGTTATTTTCGATTTATATGTTACGCTTGAAGAGGTTTTGTGAATATTTTATTTTGAAAAAATTTTTCTAAATTTATTCAAGGTCTATAAAGGAAAATTTGTGGAAGTAAAGCGGAAAAAATCTGTTTATAAACAAACGAGCGGCACAAGGGAATGCAATTGTCGTCATGAAATGCGTACACAACAATTAGGAGCTGGTCGCTTTCAAATGTTTCAAGTCCGAGTCTGTGATCAATGCCCAAATGTGAAACTTGAAAGGCAAAATAAAATTTTGGAGGTTTTTTTAATTTTACAAAAAGAGATGGTAGGACTATCGCCCATCGACAAAGCGAAAAACATTTTTTATGTAATAAATATGAATTGTTCACATCAGACATTTTTCCCGGAGACTAACGCTTTTAAGTAACTCACGATTGAAAATAGTGAGTTTTTTTAGAAAAAAGAAAGGAGAAGAGAAATAAAATGGGGGAGATAACACAAGATTATTAATTTTTGAGATCAGCATATTTTATTACTCAAGAAAAACACATTTTTTGACGACCGATAAGTCTAGCTAAAATAATTTTTTAAAGGTGGAGGTAGAAGTAGGTGTAGATAATGGACAAGAAGTTCGTTTTATTGGAGAAGGTGAACCTCATATAGAAGGTGACCCTGGCGATTTAGTTGTAAAATTGCGTGTTCAGCCTCATGCTCGATTTGAACGTAAAGGGATGGATTTATATACAAATGTAACAGTTTCTTTACAGCAAGCATTGTCTGGATTTGAGGTTTTTATTTTAAATTATATTTTTTAAATTTCTTTTTTAGCTTGATATTGTTCATTTAGATGGCCATAAAGTACATATTACTCGAGATAAAGTATTTTTTTCTTTAAATTATTTTTTTTAATAAAATAAAATTATTCTGAAGATAACATGGCCAGGTGCCCGTATTCGTAAAAAGGATGAAGGAATGCCCTCTTTAACAAATAATAAACAAAGAGGAATTCTTTATGTTACTTTTGATGTAGAATTCCCTAGAGGAGAGTTTAGTGCTGAACAGAAAAAACTATTGGCTGAATTACTCGCTCAAGATAAGTTTGAACCTAAAGTTTATAATGGACTACAAGGGTATTAAAATAAGCAATACACAATTATTGACCAAAAAATTCTATGAAAACCCATTTATGTATAGTAGAATTCTTTTTATTTAAATGTTTCTAAAATTAGGGAAATGTAAAATAGTTGGGATCAGGGCTGATCGAAATAAAAATATTTTTTATTTCGAATCGAAACGAAATAAAAAAATTCCTATTTCGTTTCGGAGCGAAACGAAACGAAATGAGCTTGTTTCGGACGAAACGAAACGAAATAAAATAAAAATTTAAAGATATTGATTTTTCAGTTCATAAAGGCTTTTAATCGATATTTAAATCATAGATATGCACCCCAAGAGCTAGATGCGTGACAAAAGCAACCCAGAAAGACGAGTGGGTCCTATAAATCTGCCGATATCCCCATTAATCCCCTCAAATCGACATATATCCGCCTTAATCCGATATCCTATTAAAATCCATCGATATATCCAAATTACTTTGGAGTATACCACTTTAGATATCGATCAAGAGGGCGATATCTTGTATATTGCGATATCTTGTATATCCCCCTCCCAAAACCACCTATATTCACTTAATCCATAAAATCTAAATATACACAAAATCCCCCTATATCCCCTTAATCTCGCCAATACCACAATATCACCTTAATCTTGACAAATCTCCCTCAATATCACTAATCCCTCGAGATCTCTTTTAATCCACCGCACAAAGTAATAAAAATTTTAGTACAACTCCAATTTGGAGTACAACTCCAGCATATTCAAATCTAGGTTTCAAAAATTTTTATTATTTTTAGATCACAGAAATGAAGATTTCGGACTATTGTAGGTTGGGCGATGGAAGGCTGGTCTGCTCTAGCAAAACCCATAAAAGCTTTCTTCCTTTTTAGCGCCGCGGGCGAAAATTTTTTGAATTTTAGAGCTCAAGAAGCCAAATTTCTCCCATTTTCAGCGCCGCAGGCGAAAATTTTTTAATTTTAGGCTGCTCATAAGACAGAAATCACTAAAAAATTAATGATTATTTCAATAAATTCCCGTCATTAGGGGTGCATTTTCTCAATTTTTTTTTGTTTCGTTTCGTCCGGAATTTTGGCTATTTCGTTTGAAACGAAACGAAATAAATTTTTTTCTGTTTCGTTCCGAAACGAAATTTCGATCAGCCCTGGTTGGGATATCTGACAAGGGAACATGGATATGTTTTTTTATATATTTTTTTCTGTGTTCAAAAATTTTTCTACACAGTATCCGATGTTCCCTTGTGAGAAATATTTTGACCTCATTAAGTAATTTTCAGAAACATTTTCTTTGTTTTATTTTCACTTCTCTTTCTACCCATTTCTAATTTCGTCTTTTTCTGTTTAAATGTCTAAATCAACCTCACTAATGGCCTTTTTGTAACAAAAAATTAGTAGAGCTCTGTTTTATTGTTTTGTCGGGTTCTCGGTGTTGCAATTTTTGCGGTTTTAAACAATTTAATTTTTTAAATATTTTTCACAATTTTTTACTGTTCTGTTATAATTTAAGAAAAAGTTTATACCGCAAATATTGACTAACCCGCCGATTTTCTATTTATTATTTTCTATTATCCCCCAAATTTGGTTAAGTTTTTGTTTTTCTTTTTAAGCCATTCCTTTTCTTATTTTTATCTTTTGACTCAAAATTATTTAAAAGATCTGAAAAGTATAAAAATTTTCAATTCTAATTTTTTTTATAAATTTAAAAAAGAAAATAAAAAATGCATAAAAATATTCAATTTGAATATCAAAAAGCCCGTCATTTAAATCCCCGTTCACAAATTACAAAAAATTATAAATCGTTAATATATCTCCAGTCTCAGTCATAATCAATAAAGCTTTTGCAATAAAAAAGTAAATAACCTTCACTCGAAAGTACATCTTCTAATCGTTCTTTTCTAATTTTTTGATCATTACAATTAAACCAATTATCTCTTTGATGGCGAACATAACAAGTGTACTATAAATATTAATTAGATTATTTTTAAATAATGGAAATTTTGGAAAGAATGACGATAAATTAAGTTTGAGGTTAAAAATCGGGCTTGAAAATTTAACCTAATTATTTCTACCCCATTCAATATAGTTTTTAATTATTTAACTAACATGTCCACTTTCTGTAGAACCAGTATGGTTAACAACAGCAAATAGTGAATATCTTTTTAAATTAAAAATAATTTTAAAAAATTATTTTAAACAACTTACTGATTACTTAAAGATGTTAATTTTTGTCTAGTTTGTCTCATTTCTTTACTACAACCTTCATGAATATTCCTGTAAGGTGTTGTATATGGAGTTAAATCCTTTAAAAAAAATATTTTTTAAAAAAATTGATTAATTTACAATAGATTCTGGAAAACGAAAAGGTTTAATTATTTTTTGTCTTTTATTTGAAGTATTAACATGTTCAAAACGTTTTAAATGAAAACAAGCAACAATTGGCAATTTTCTCAAAGTTAATTGTTTTGTTGATATTTCATAAGTACCACAACGTTCACATTTAATTTTTGTTCCCAAATTTTCTGCGCGGACAAAACTTTAAAAAATGAATTTTTTTAATAAAAAAAATATTTAAATAACCTTAATAAACATTCTTCTAAAGATAATTCATTTTTATTTTCCTCATTATTTAAATTAGATATAAAAGTTGTTGTTGTTGAACATAAAGAATTACTTCCAACAGATTCACTCCTTCTATTTTCTTCTTCTTTTAATTTTTCTGTTAATGTTTCTTCTCTAATTGTTGTTGTTGCTGCTGTTTTTCCATTTAATAATTCTAAAGAAATATCCCAATATGGATCTAATTTTGTTGAAATTCTTCTTTAAAATTTTTAAAATTAATTTTTATTATTTAAATTAAAATAAAACCCGCATTTTGTACATGTCAAATCAGATTGTAATTGCCCAGTAAATAAACGATCGATTATACATTTACAATCATGTGGATTTTGTTTCATTGAAAGACCTAGATAAAAGATTTTAAATAATTCTATTACTTTTATTGTCTAATGACTAGGGTTGGGCAAAACATACAAATGCATGTTTTGTATGCGGATATGCTTTGAAGTATGTCTTCCAAAGATTTGGAAGACAAAGGATTTGTGGGTATTAAGGGGGTTTCGGTGGATTTTGTCGGCTAATAAAAAATAAAAATACTTTCAGAATGCCTATGTAATATATTTAAGGCGGATATAAGAAATTCATGTGCATCATGTTGTTCATAACCAGATAAATGTTTTGCATGCGTCCAAACCTTTAAAATTTTACTTATATCTATTTCATCAAAAAACTAGCGGCGTAGCCAAGGGATCGGTTTCAGGAGGGAACCTTGTCAAAAACAGGGGTTTCCAAAATTTTAGAGTTCCAAAAATTGAAGAATTCGGCTTGAAACATCCGAAAACGGCCCACTCAAGAAATCAAAAACAAACCAAATGTAACATTCTATTAGGTACAAAAGGAGAATAAAGACTTTCACCACCATAAAATTCCTTAAAAAATATTTAAATTTTTAAAATATTAAAAAAATAAACTTGGAATATATGTGATAACTCACACATCAAACAAGTATTTAAATCAGAATTTGGTGTAAGAGAACAAAGTTTGCAGTTATGTTGATCTAAATATTTTAAATAATTAAAAAGAAATCGAAAGTGTTTAAAGGAGGACATTCTACAAAAATTTTAAATTAATTTCTCTTAGAAAATTAAGCTTAATTTCTCACTAAATAAATAAAAATACAAAAAAAAACCTGAAAGAAAATAATCTCTAAGCATTGGAATGTGAACAAGTGTTTGTATAATACCTAAAAAATATTTTTATTTAAAAATAAGACAAAATATCCCCAACTATTCATAAAACAAGTATTTCCCAAATTTACAAGTCCTCTCAATCCAGGAATTGACAAAGTTCCTCCAATTGATTGTTGGGAAGCTCCAGTATTATTTGAATTCAATAATCGAAGTAAACGAAGAGAACTTCGTCTACAAAGACGCGCCTCATAACGACCAGGATTCCAACGATGTTGAAGACTTAAACCTAACAATTTTCGTCTCGCGTTTTGATATTCACTAAAAATTAAAATTTAAAATAATTTAATTTAAAAAAACCTTCTAATTTTTTCAATTTTTCTGTCATAAATAAAATCATCACATTTTAAACAAAAAATTTCTCCAAAACATGTTGACATAGCTTTAAATTAATTTTAAAATTAAAAAAAATTTTAAAGAAGAAAAAACCAAATAAATGTCCTTTTTCTTGTAAATGTGCATTTCTTAAATGTTTTAGACATCCAAATGTCGAACAATCTAAACAGCACATCATTAATGGATTTAATCGAGTACCACAACAACGACAAAGAACTAACCAAGCCTGAAAATAAAATTTTATACAAAAATAAAATAATTTAAACTTTTATTTTATTATTTTGTTTAGTTGTTGGGAAAACAATTCTTTTATATAATAAATCACATTTTCGAAGAATTGACACTTTTTTCTTTGCAAAATGTATACAAGAACGCATGTTTATTTTGTTAATTATTAATTTTTATTAAATCTAAAAATTCTATTTAAGTGTAAGGAAAAATGAGGGCTCCTAACAAAAAACCGAACAAAAGACCGAAGCAGGTTAAAAGACCGACACTGTGAAAAAGCCAGTTCTTTTAACCCATCTTTACCCTAATACAAAATGTAAGAAAAGGAATGAAATAAAAACTAATTTTATTTGCTGTTAGTTACTTTATAATTTCAAAACACATATGAGATAGTCAGAAATATTTAATTTTCAATAATAAACAAAAAAATCTTCGAAAAATCTTTCGCATAAGTTTTGGTTTTTTACATAAGTAAAAACTTAATTTTTCTGTCATAATTTTGTCAGAACTTGTTCAATCACAGTAATTTTTGGTGTCATTCAACTCAGCTCGCTTCTTTCGAATGACTCTTCAGTTCAGAAACAAAAACCCTCTTAAAGTCACAATATCTCGGGTGTTTAGTATTCTTGTGGTAGGTTAGCTCAATTACTGTAGGCGTTGAATTTAGAATTAAAAAACTAAGACCGAGATGTGGAAGATCGGAAGTGACCCGGACAGTCCTTACATTCTAATTACAATTCCTATAATTTCTTGACACAAACGATATTTAAATATGAGGTAAATTTTAAAAATATTAGTGAAAATACTACATAAATATAATACAATAATAAAAGAATATACATATCCACCTATCCATATTTGTGACATAAAAAATGGGTATTATCGCAAGCCTGACTCGAAATTTTCGGTTCGGTTTTTGATAACCAAAGAATCCTCTTATAACCTTGAGCACTTTTAGAAAATAGTCGAAATTTGTCATAAAAAATTCGGGGCCGATAATGCGATAATACCAAAAATTCAAATATAAATTTCGAGATTAAATTAAAATAAAAAGTAGCAAATTTTTTAAAATTTTCGAGTTTTTGCACCTAAGGATAAAATAATTATTAAATAAATGCATGAAATAATTAGAAAATTATTATTATTTAAATTAAAGGCGAGAGACAAATGCTGCAACAGAGGTTGATGGAACTGAAGTGTTTTGATTAGTTGTTGTTGTTGGTCGAATTGTTTCAACTTTGCTGGTTAAAACAGAACGCCGAGAATTTTGTTTTTGTGAATTATTTGAATTATTATTAGTTAAAAATCTTGAAGGAATATTTAATTGACTACGAGGACGTAATTCATATTTACAATTTGTTTGGTGTGATAAAGGACCGTCAATTGGTGACCGAAATTTTGAAGAGGAAGAATCATCTTTAAAAAAATTGTTTTTTTAAAGTAATTTATTTTTTAAACCTAATATTTTTGTAGTAGCTTGTTTTGTATTTGCATTTATTTTTGCATATTGTCTAGTTAATGCCCGATCAAAGGAAGAGGCTGCTGTCGACGAGGATGTAGCCGTTGTGCCTGAGGGAATTCTTAAAATTTATTTTTTCTTTAAAATTATTTCTAAATAATTTGGAAAAGAATTTTCTACTAAATTTTAAACATTTTAAAGGAATATATTTTAAATTTAATAAAAAAATATTTAAACAAACCTTCTATTCCAACAGGTAAATATGTCTTCACAAAACGAGAATTACTTTAAAATAATTAAAAATTTAAAAAAATTATTTATTTACCTAAAATGTATTCTTCTTGGAATTGCAGAATTACTCGATCGAACACCTCCAATTGTATAATTATCAAAATTTGTTGAAACTGAGACTTTTTTAATCTTTTTTAAAGAAAAAAATATTTAAATAATTTTAATTTTTTAAATTACAGGTATTTTTGTATTTAAATTTTTTCCAATTCCTCCACAAATTTTTTGATTTTTTAGAACTTTTCTAGAAAAATATTTCCTTTCATTTTCCTTTTTTAAAATATTTTCTTCAATTTTTATTTTATTTTCAATTTTTGACGGATTTGTTGTACTTAATTTTAATTGTTTTATCGGCGTTGTTGTTAGTGATGTTTGAGGAGGGGGAATTGACAATTCTTCTTTTTTATATTCCAAAATTGTATTAACCTTTTTTAGATTATTTTTAATAAAAAATTAATTAAAAAACCTCAAAACTTTCAGGAGAACGATTAGTTAAAATTATTTCATCTCTTTCACCCACAGATTCTTCACTTGATCTTAATCTACTGTTACTCCTTCCAAAATTTTGTTTAGACGATTGACGGTGTTGTCTTGCTGCTTTAATTTCACATAAACGATCACCCTGACTTTTACCTTTTTCGTCATCCTAAAAAATATTTTTTTGTATAAATTATTAAAGAAAACCTCTTCTTCAAAAGTTTTTCTTTCATTCCACAATTGTTTATTATTAATAAATTCTTTTTCATTTTTAATTATTTCTTCTTTATTTTTGGAGAAAAATGTTTCATCATTATCATCTTTTTCTAAAGAAATTTGTTTTTTATTTTCACGTCCCAATTGCCAACACCAGGATTGTTTTTCAATTAAAAATTGTTGTTGAGGTCCAATTACTTTAAAAACAAAATTAAAAATTATTCTTTTAGTTAAAAAAACAAACCTGAACCAGGTCTACAAATTCGTAACCAACCCTTCAAAAAATTAAAAATCATTCTTAAGAGAATATAATTAATATACCATGCATTGCGGAGCTGTTAATCTAAAATTCTTCATCATCCAGCAGGCAATTAAAGTGCCTGTCCGGCCAAGTCCCGCCTTTAAAAGAATTAAATATATTTTTTATTTAAAATAAAAAAACCTTGCAATGAACGGCAACCGCCCCTTTAGCATTATCTACAACTTCAATAAACTTCAAAACAATTTCATCACTAGGAGTAGTTCCATCAATAAAGAAAAGGTCGTGGTGATCAAAACCCGCTTTAGTAAATCTTTATTTAAAATTTAAAAAATAAATTCCTATAAAAAATACCTAGATGCTTCATATATTTTTCTATTTAATCTAATAATTGTTGTTACTCCATTTTTATTAAAATAATCAAAATAAACTTCAGGTGAATGATATGGGTAACCTTTAAATTTAAATTAACTTTAGAGAAGACCATTAAATACTCTTGTGTTATCCGTTCACATTTTTATTGGCCCCCTTTTCCCCTCCTTTCCTTCTCATGCCTTCATTTCTAATTTCTCTTTAGGATTACAAAAGGGTCAAAGGGTATTAATGGGCAAGGATTAAATTAATTTATAAGAAAGCGAAGAATATGAGTGACTATAAACACTATTTTGGAGGCCAAAATTCCGCAGTTTTTTAATCCATTCAAAAAAATATGGACGGATAATATAAAAAGTACTAACCATTATCTGTTGTGTATGTTTTATCATGAGGACCACAAAAACTTAAAACTTTTTGAGGAATTATCCAATTTAAATCGCCATTCTCAACTTTTTCGTAAAATTCGTATTCGTCTGGATCAAAATTTTCAAAATTTAGCCATCTAAATTTTAACGCTTTTTCGACTGATTGAATGACATGCTAAAAGAATATTTTGTTTAAGTTTTGATCAAAATTATCAATTTAAAAAAGTTAAGGACACAACTACAAAAACAAAAAAATTTTTTTGACTAAAAACATTTCAAGATTTTTTGGGGAAAACAATAAATTTATATACCTGTACATGAAGTAAATATAAAGGAAATCCAACTGAAGCATCACGAAATCCATTATATCGAGGAGGTTCAGCAGCTTGTAATCGAAGATATGCCTGTTCTGCACTACAGTTTTTGAAAATAACCTTTAAAAATTAATTAATTAATAAAAAAATATTTTTCGAAAAAAACCAAATAAGCTGCGATTAAATAGGCAGCATTCACTCGGTTTGCTTGATCCATACTTGTAAAGAGAAATACCCGTTTATTTTCATTTTTCTAAAAAAACATTAGAAGATTATTTAAAAAAATTACTTCAAGTAAAGAATCCAAAAATTCACAAAAACGATAAAGCACTGACAAATTAACTGGACCAAAATCATCATAAAAGGCATCTAAATTTTAATTAAAAATTAATATATTTATATAAATTCTAACCATAATGAAGATGTTCTTCAATATCTAAATATATTGTTTTTTCATCATCATCTGGAACATTAAAATTGAGGCCGTAAGACGTGAAGTAAAGGCGACCCGATATAATTTGTGCAATTGCTGAGGATTTGTCTTCATCGGCATTACTTTCTGGACTAGTAGTTGTTGTTGTTAATGTCATTTAATTATTAAATTAATTAGTTTTTATTAAATTAATTATATATCTAATTGTAAGTCTGTTATTATTATCAGACTAAAAAATTTTTTTATTAAAATTTCATAATTTTAACATTAAAAAAGGTGAAAGGCGGAATTTCACTAATAAATACTGTCTATGTAAGAATTAAAAAAAAATTAACCTCGGTTTTTTCGGTTCAGCCTCCATCTAAATTAATATTAAAAATTTGGTACTTTTCCATTATGTGACCGCACTTTAAAAATGTTTAAAAAGGGTCATGAATATGGGCAAACTAAATAAAAACGGATTTTGTACCTTTTTTAACCCCAAAATACGACATTAAGAGCCGAAAAATCAAGTAATCAAATTGAAAGCATATTTGAAAAATTAATCGAGTTGAGTTCAGTGTTTGGAATTACACTGAGAGAAATAATTAAAAATAGTTTAATGTGAAGTTTGAATTTTTCTAAACAACCTACCTAATTAAAAATCCAAACTTTACTAAATTTAATAATAAACATTAATGTTTTCAAAAGTGTTAATCACAATATCAATAAAAACAATTGTTCTAATTGATTAAATGACGATGATCGAATGCAAGTTCTATTGAACACATGAGAATAACAAGAAAAATAAGAGTAACCGAGAACAAATGTTCTTTACGTAAATAGTTTGAACGAATTGACCATTTTTTGCTAATTTTTTACTCACACGGAATGGAAAAATTAAAATAAAAAAAAGTAGGTAGATTAATAAAAATCTCTTTAGAAAAAATTATTCAAATAAAATTTTATTAAGAATTCAGTATTTTCATTAATATTTATATATAAAAACATTTCGTAGTATTTTAAGTCTTGGTCAAACATTTATATACGAAAAAGTGGTGATTGTTGGGAAGGATGGGGGGAAGTACTTATTATTAAAAATGTTTGTTTTGTTAAATAATGTGCAAGTTCGAGAGTCAGTAGTGGTTTTGGTACTTTTAATACCCCCTTCTCCCACTATTCAGTCTCAGATCAATTTTATTTTTATTTTTTTTCTGCCAAATTTCCTTCTTTATAAACGTTGATTTTTTTTCCGTTACCTAATAATTTGCCCTTATAATGTTTGAGGGGAAAAATGATTAACAGTAAAAGGAAAATTAATCTGAGACTCAATTAGGGAGGGGGCGGGATATTAATAAAGTACCGTGGTTTTGTTAGAAAATTGGAAATATAACAAAAAGAGAAAAACCAGAATTGTCAAATAAACAACGACACGTAAAGCTGAAACAATAAATTAATTATAAAATTTAACAAAAAATGTAAAGTTTTTTTGGTATAAATGCCGTTGTTTTAAGAAATAACATTATTCAAGCCCAAAAATCCATTTTTACCCCGAAAAATCTAAATTATTGGCGTTTCCCATATAAACGATTTTTTGTATAAATTTTTAATTTCTCCGAATAAAAATTGATTTGGATCGAAAAATCAGTCCTCCTCATCAACGCCTATAATTGAGAGAAAATATGAATATAAGCACATACATAGTATATCAAAAAATAAACACAAAAACATCTCATCACATAATGAATGGGTTTGTGTTAGCAGAACCACCACGCGAAGCAGCAGAAACCGGCATCAAATTATTCATGTCGACTAGTTTAGAAAATGCTTCATCCAAAGTTCGCACACGGCCAGGTTCGTCCCATTTGAATTGCTCATTGCTAAAAGAATTTTTTTAATTTAATGGTCACACTATAAATTTATGATCAAACCTTTCCCTTGCGCTTCTCTTATTAGACATCGCAGCGGCTGGCTGCGGAAATAAGCCATCCACCGGAACAGCACCATTTTGTCCAATATTATTGATCACTGCCGCTTTATGGTCGTTAAAAGCCGTAGTAAAAGAATCGCCAAAAGGATCATCCATTTGTGGAGCAATAACACCAGTAGAAGGAAATGGATTTTGCCAACAATTATTGTAATCAATTGTTGAAGTCTTGACAGAATTGTGATAATGATGACCATTCAAAGAAGCAATATTTGCGGATGTAGCTGAAGAAAATGGATCCTCAGGAAATGGGTTTATTGAGAAAATAGGAGGATTATTTTGTTGCGATAAATTATTAGTTTCCAGTGGTTGATAATTGTCATTTGATGGAAAAATTGAAGATAAATTATTCCCATTAATAGATGATGTCCCATTACTATTAAAGTCACTAATCTGAACAGATCTTTGAATAGGCAAACTTCCATTAGAAGATGAAGACAAGTCAAAAAGCGCTGCAAAATTTACTTTAAATTAAAAGAATTATTTAAAAGGAAAAATACACCCATAATTTGAGATTCATTTCTAATTTGGTTAGCCACTAAATGAAGGCAACAACTCCCATCCCCACGAGTGGCAATACCCATTTTTTAGATAAATTTCAATCCTACATAGAATTTTCTAGTCCCCAGGAACAAATTAAGACAAAAAAATTTTTTACAAATTTTTGTCGGATTATCATTTAATAAGCCAATATTTCCTCCACCATTATGTTGTCGACTATGAACACTTCCATTAACTGCAACCGGTGGCAACCATCCAGTAAAGAAATCATCCTCTGGATGTGCGGGAATATTACTAATTTGTTGAACTCCTTGATGAATTATATCAACTTCTTCCTCCAAATTAAGTAAATCAGCTACAGCTACATCATTCTGACCAGAACTATCTTTAGTTGAACAAACACCATTTTTGTCATAAGAATTAGCTTCACGTTCAGCATTCTAAAATTTTAACAATTAAAATTTTCAATCGGCACTTTTCCTTGCTAAATTTTATTTTAAAATTGAAGGTTAGAATTTTCCGTTACCAAACACTTTATTTAAAATTCTTATTTCATAAAATTCATCAAAACCTTTAGAAAAAGGAATTTTTTTAGAATGTTTCTGTTAAAATTTAATGTAAACAACCAATTTAAAGAAAACAAACCGTCAAATTTTCCTGTTCTTCCTGCTTTTTCTTGGCCTCTTCAAATTGTTTCTTCTTCATTTCAAAGACAATTTGGAACATATCCTTAAATTAAAAGTAAACTATACATAAAAAAAGAATTAAACCAAAAATTACCCGAATTGAAAGAACGGCATGATCAGAAGTCTGAGCAGTTTTTAAAGCATAAAATTTATGTTTTCCATCAGATGTCCCAAAAATAAAGCCAAATGCGCGTGCGTCAGTAGTATCACGAGCAATAAATGAAACTTTGCCAACAGGAAAGTTGTAAAGAACAGCCTAAAATTAAATAAAAATAAATTTTTTAATCAAAAAAATAAACCCCAGATTTCTCGTCACGTAATTTCAGCCCTTCTAATGAAATATTTAGCACCACTCTTGTCTTGTGAGAACCACTAGCCTTGACACTGGCTTTCGCCAAACGCATTGCTTCAGAACATAATGCATCACCTCTAGCTTCGGCTACGTCACGTTCACCAATAAATTTTGCTTTAAAGTCAACTCCAGAGCCTTGAAATCGAAATGGGTCGCTGTTTGGGCAAGAAGAGACAACAGTTGTATCTTAAAAGAGAAATTTAGAAAATATTCTTTAGAAAGTGGATTCTCTGATGATTTTAACAATTAGCTGGAAACGAAAAGATTCTTAACAAGCTTACTAAAAAGCCTTGGAACATGTGAAAAAACATACGAGGAAATCCAAGAGAACGAGTTAATTGAAAAAGTTTAGGCATTTGCGGAGCAATAACACCCATCTTTGTAAATTAACTTTGCTTCGATTGTGCAAGCTTGTTGGATTTTTAAGTAATTAGTCGTCAACAAAGAAATATGTATATGCGAACAAGACGAGAACTAATCTGTTTAAAAAAGTAAATACATGAAAAAGATTTATGGTATTAATTTAAAAAATGAGAACTCGAAAGGAGCATGATTCATGAAAAATAGGAATTTAAGAAGACAAAGCCTAAAGTGCATGTAACCAGCTTACGAGAATTTGGGAATTATTACGGCTCGAGAACTGTCACTCTGAACCGGGTGACTAATTTTTTATATGAGTCCGCCCCAAAAGACCTACAGCCAAAAGACCTACTGACACAAGGCCTACAAATTTTTAAAGCGAATATCGAGGGATTTAGAGGGCTTAAGGAGAGTCCCTTGACCCTGCTCTATGAAGATAAGTACCCGGTATGTATTTCAGAACCAATGGTGCCGTATTTTGTGTGTGTACCATAACTCTGGGTGGTAGAGAGGTGGTCCCCTTCAATCACACTAAATCCATAGATATCCCCTTATTCCCTCCAAATCCGTTGATATTCTCTTATGATATTCGCTTTCAAAAGTTGTAGGGTGTATTTTTCCAAAATGGGGAGGTTTGTTCCAACAATAGCGTTCCACCATATTCGATGCTGGAACAACATGTTGGACATTGTTTGAACAACATCCCCCGTCTTTGGAACCGACTGGTTTTGGCCGGATTTTTCGGAATTAATCATATCCTATTTTAGTCTGGTAAAAATAATTCCTGGACTACGGCTGGATTTACTCGATTCCGGACCCGACTCCATGTTTTTCAGGATTTAATAATTTCAGTAAGTCAGGAAATTTTCTAATGAAATCATTTAGATCAAAGAAAAAGTAAATTCACTATTCACTTTACTCACATAAATTTTTTAAATTAAAAAATAAATATGTACACTGCTCCACATAATTATAAGTCCACCCGTTTTTTCGGGATTTTTTGACTTCCAGTGATCCAAATTTTCTGAAAATTTAGAAACACACTTCTTAGTGAATAACTAACAAGATGTGAATCGATTTTTGGCTGATTTTTTATTTAAAAAATTTTTAGACCAAAATTTGCATTTTCGGCCTCCACAAAATTATAAGTCCACTTTACAAAAAAGATATTTCCAAGATTAGGAAAAATCTACAAAAATATTAGCAAACAGACATAATGATATTATGAAAAAATAAAAAAGAAATAGACCCATATCTTTACCCGGAGCCGAGATCCTGAGACCCCGAAAATCAACGTAAAACGGGGGTAAGGCTCTTTAAAAAAAATTTTCGACCACTTATGGATTGTTTTGAATTTTGATATTGGGCTCATTCGAAAGCCCTTGAAATTTGCTACAAGATAGCATTAAAGAAGTTTTATAGAAAAATCCATTAGAAAGATACAGGCCATTAAATTTCTGATGCAGCAAAATACCCCATAAAATGCCCTTTATGTGGATTCGAAAGTTTAACTGACTGTGAATCTCAGTAAAATTTTTTCTGAAAAATAAAATTATAATAATCTTGTAGCAAATTTCAAGGGCTTTCGAATGAGCTCAATATCAAAATTCAAAACAATCCATAAGGGGTCGAAAAATTTTTTTAAAGAGCCTTACCCCCGTTTTACGTTGATTTTCGGGGTCTTAGGATCTCGGCTCCGGGTGAAGATATGGGTCTATTTCTTTTTTACTTTTTCATAATATCATTATGTCTGTTTGCTAATATTTTTGTAGATTTTTCCTAATCTTGGAAATATCTTTTTTGTAAAGTGGACTTATAATTTTGTGGAGGCCGAAAATGCAAATTTTGGTCTAAAAATTTTTTAAATAAAAAATCAGCCAAAAATCGATTCACATCTTGTTAGTTATTCACTAAGAAGTGTGTTTCTAAATTTTCAGAAAATTTGGATCACTGGAAGTCAAAAAATCCCGAAAAAACGGGTGGACTTATAATTATGTGGAGCAGTGTATGTATGTACATACATAGAACATTTAAATTAAAAAAAAAGAAAACAAGAATTAATATTAAAATAAAACAAAAATTATGTAAATTTTGTTTTTAAATCCTATCAAGATTAAATGTAATATGAGCGATAATATTATATTTATTTATTTTATTTCCCAACCAAAGTTCGTATTCAGCCCTACAGTTATTTAGAGAGAAATTAAAAAAGAGGGGAGGGGAGGGGGGAATTAATTTTTTAAATAGAAAATAGTGAATAAATAAACATTCCCCATTATTTATAAAAAAAATTTTTTTTGATTCTTCGAAATATAAAAATATAATTTAATAATCGAGATTGTGTATTTACAGTTTTTGAAAACTGTATATTTTTGTTAACAAAGGACTTAATAATTAAAGAATATGGGGAGGGGGGGAGGGGGGTTAATTGTAATAATATACAATTTAAAGTTTATTATTGCAACTTTAAATTGTAATAATAAAGTTCAGGCTTTAATTCAACTTATTATTTACTTTCGAACCTGGGCCCAGGTTCGAAATCTAAAAATTCGAGTTTTCCATGCTTTCCTAGGTTTTAGTCAAGATTTAGCTAAGTGGTGTGTATATGTATTTTGAGCTTTTTAGATTCATATATGTACATATACTTTGCCATTTCACTAGCCAACCCAAAAATGTTTATCCTTACTTAATTAACCTACCTACATATTATTTAAATAAATTTTTACTTAAAAAATCAATATTTCTTCCAAAAAAAAAATAATTATTCTGCTAATGTTGGTTAAAAGAAATTTTAAAAATTAAATTAATCTTACTAAAATAAACTTGCCAAAAAAGAAAAAAAAAGTAAATAGAAAAAGAGAGAAAATAAAATAAAAATTTAGTTGTGATTAGAAAATCTTTTTAATATATACACAAAAATTGTGGCTAAAAATTTGGACTTTTTTTTAATTTGCGCGAGTTATTAATCATTATTGCATTTATCATGACACATTTTTAACACAATTTTTACCCGTGAAAATAAAATCTAAATAAAATTAAATTGCAAAAATTAATTTAAAAATATTTTTTTTGTAAAATTTTGGAGATTTAAAAATTGTCTTTCCTTTTTTTAGAGATTTTCTTTCAAAAAAATTAAACAATGATTATTTAAAGAAATAATTTTAAACTTTTCCTTCAAAATTTAAATGATTAATTAAAAATTAAAAAACAAACGTCAGCGAATATTTTCGAGAAAAAAGTTTAAAAAATAATTTATTAAACAAAAAAAAATATTCTAAATTTAGATATTTTTTACAAAAAATATATTTTTGTATTTATGTAAATATTTGTAAAAAAAATAATTAAAAGTCAAAATCTACTTGCTCTTTTATTTTTTAAATAAAAGTCTCCATATTTAGTCACATTTTCGGGTCCTTGAGCAAAAAATCTCAAAACCGGTTTTTATTTGGGTGTTTAGTATATTATTTTATAAGAAAATTCGCCATTTATTCAGCATATTTTTTAATTAATTTTTATAGGTAATTATTATTTTTTGGATTTTCCCTATTACAATTTTGTCAAGAATAAATTGTTAAAATTTAAAAATGTTGGATTAAAAATTACAAAAACTTACCCAATAAAAATTTATACAGAAAAAAGCTTTTTTCCTTTGTTCTTTTTAGTAAGAAAATCTTAAAATCGGTTTCCTTAAATTTTAATTTTTATTCAAACTTTAAATTTTACTAAAAAAATTTTTTCGTCAACCTAAACTGTTTAAATAATAAATTTAAAGTAATTTCCTTTTTAATTATTATAAATTTTCTCTACTTAAAAAATAACCTTGAAATACTCTCCCCTAATTAATTTACTTTTAAAAACAAAGAAATATACGCATAACACAAAAATTAAAGATTTTTATAAAAATCGTTAAAAATAAATAATTATTAAATTATTTTTATAATTTAACGAAAATAAATATTCCCAAAAATAATCAAAAAATTGAAGGAACTCCGGAATTTAATGGTGAAAGGAAATAGAAAGAATAAGAATTTATTTGCGCATATTAAAAAAAAAAGAATTAGGTCGTTATTTATTCTTTAATAAAAATTTTTGCAAAAAACAAAAATAAATTATTGGTAATATTTTTATTTAAAAAAGTTTTAATTTCTTTAAATTTTCAAAACAAAACAACAAAAATCTCCCTAAATAAATTAAACATTTATTGCTAAAATTTGTTTTTAAATATTTTGTTGCAGCAATGGAAAACTAACTACATATAAATTGTGCGGGGCAGTCTTTACAGAGGGGTGTAAAAGCTTTTTATTTATAAAAATGCGCAAATGTCTGTCGCTACTCTTATATTTTGTGATCAAAAGAAAATTTATGTGAATATACAAAACAAAAATATTGATCCTCAAAGCTGTGCAATGAGCGCGAAAATGTAACACATGATCATTATAAAAGGAAAAAAAAATATTGGAAATTAAAAAAAATTAGAGGGGGGAGGGGGGGGGGGTCTATTCAGATATTTTTTTAAAATTTATCAATTTCTTCAAATAAAATTTTAAACTTTCTAGACATCAAATCTTAATAAAATTAAATTATTAAAGTTTTTTGCGAAAAGAATTTAAATCTCTCAATTTGAACAAAATATTCTGTCCAAAAAAATAAAATTATTATAACCAAGTAAAATATTTATAAACGTGAAAATCAAAGTTAAACAAAATTGGGTGAAAAAATAAAATTGGAGACAAAAAAAATAAAGTGAAATTGGTGATGGAAAGTGAGAGTCTCGATGCGACATTTTTTTAATTTTAAATTATAAAATGGCATAAAATTAACGAAAAAAATGTAAACATTTCTAATTTGAGAATAAAACATACTAACAATAAGTATTTATAAGAGCTGGAGCAGCAGCAACTTGAGGCAAAGAAGTAGAAGCATCGGTAACATTTGGTTCAGCGAGAAAAAGCTTAAAATTGAATTTTAGGTGTGTTCAGTGGGAGTAATTTTTAAAATTTTATATTTTCTTTTCTATCGTTTACTAGGTTGAAAAGTTTTAATTCTTCTCATTTTTTAAATAAAAAATAAAGAATTTACCGCATGGTTATCAGCTAATGAAACGCTAATAACACGAAAATTGTCCAAATGTGCAGAATGAATTTTACGTGGAGTAGGCACAACTTTCTCGTCATCATCTTTAATTCCCAATCCAAGTTGACCAACAGTATCACATCCAAAGCCATAAACATTACCTCAAAATAAATTTAAAAATAACTTTCAATTCTTTTTTAAAATACCATCATCAGTCCAAAAAATAGAAGCCCCAAGTGTTGCATCTATTCCTGCCGCTCGAACATTTTCAGGCAATGTAATTCTTTGGAGCGTGTCGTAACGCCAATGCTTAAAGAGAACAATTTAAAAAATTAAAAAAACACTAATCAACCTGATCATCCTGATTTCCTTCCCAAGTACCAATACCAAGTGCATTGTCTGTATTTTTTCCAATTCCATACAATTCACATAAAATAAAAATAAATATAAAATTTAATTGTAAAATAAAAATTACCATCCTCATTACGGCAAACAATGTGTTGGACCCCTGATACATGAGACCAAACATGTTCTGGCTGAAATGCTTGTGCCCAAGTAAGTAATGCAACCTTGTTAACTTCTTTTTGTTCAGGAACATTTCCATTTTCATCTCCATTTTTAAGTTCCTCTTTTTTCTCATTATTACTATCATCTTCACTTTTTTGAGGTTTCATTTCTCCATCCGTTTTTTCATCGGTATCTGGATCTTGGGAAGAATCTTCACTGCTATTTTGATTTGCAGAAGAAACATTTAATTGATTAAGTGCTTTAAAAATAAATATTAAGAAATATGGCCCTTATATTTCTTACAAATTTCCATGCTTTCAGATGATTGTTTAAAAGAATTTGTTGTCGAAGTATCTGCCTCCTGTTGATCTCTATTTTTTTCTTTTCTTTGTTGATCTGAATCAGAACGTCGTCCTCGACTTCTTCCAGTTTTCTTTTCATTTGCAGGTGTTGCAGTTACGCCCAATTGACCAAAATTGTTTAAACCGCAGGCAAAAAGACGTCCATCTTCTGCTCGAGCAATAGTCCAAAATCCATTGGCCCAAACGTTAACAAATCGAATGAATTGATGTTTTTCAAGCACACGAAGGATTAAAGAAGTGCCCGATTGATCGACCATGAACTTCGATCTAATATGTTCTGTACGCGTAGAACGGCCAAGTTGGCCCATAGATCCTTCACCAAAAGTAAGAAGTTCTCCATCCGAGGAAAGCATTGCCAAATGATTCTCTCCTGCAGCAATCTGAATTTCTTAATTTGAAGAAACGTTGAAAAAAAGTATTTACAAACCTTAACAATATGCCATTTTTGTCTGCTTTTGTGTTTAATGACTACAACTGGTTTCTTTTGGATATCCTTGAGCATTTCATGGACATTCACTTCACCTTGCGTGTCCTTAAATTCTTAAAATTAAAAAAATTTTTTTTAAATATACTCTAAGATTCCCCCAAGCGATAACTGAACCCTTCTCTGTTAAAGCAGCAGAAAAACTTGCACCAGCAGTGACTTGAACAATCTAGTTAAAATAATTTTTTATCAATTAGAAAAATGAAACCTTTCCCAGTCGTTTAATTTCTGGTGAGAAGACAATTTCACTAAATCTATCAGTACTTCCCTCAGCTTCAAGACCATCAACTGGTACAGTTCCCTTCTCATTAATTCCACAACTAAAGACAGCACCCTCAGTGGTAAGCACAAGAGAGTGGACACCACCAGCAGCAACCTAAAAAGTTGATTAGAATAACCAGCGCTAACACCGGTTTTCGTCTTGAATTCCTCGAAATTTTTGGAAGTTAAAGCCAATTTTTAAAAATTTCTGAAAAACGATTATAACTTGAAATTTTGAGGAAGAGGATAACGAACAGTCCCGGACAATGTGGGCGTAGATCCCGAACATGAAGAACTGTTATGGAACCCAATCCCAGCCTTAAAACACATAGAAAAATCGATCTTAATTAAAATCAATGTAATGTAACCAGTATTTGTCCTGAAATGTAATTTGGACGGTGACACATACAAACCTGAACAAATTTAGTTCCATCATCAAAAGTATCAATAGCACGAGGCTTTCTTGTTACATTTCTTCCCGGATGACCTAACTGCTCCCCTTCTCCACAACTGAGAACACGTGTACCTACTTGCTTTGGTACAAATTGATCTATTGAAAGTTGTTCAAATACTTTTCGAGCTAAAATTAAAAAGAAAGCAATTCCAAAAATATAAAATGGGATAAAAAACCTTTTCTGGCAGAACTAGGTGCACTTTTCACTGGTGTAGCTGACGTTTTTCGTTTTTTGCCGTGTCTAGCTGGTGTGCCCATTTTTTGTTTCGATTTTGTCGGAATGCTCTAAAATAATAATTGAGCTCTAAATTTAAATTACGTTTTAAGTCTTTTTTCTTTCCCTTATTCCCATATTTTCTTCAGGACACGCCCAAAACAAGGGACACGCCCGAATAGTCGCACGGCCATAAGGTCGCCAAGCCATAACTTGCTTTAAGATTACCGAATCCTTCCAAATTTAGTATTAAATGATTCCTCTCACCGAGCTAAAGAGATTGGTACCAAAATTGATAAGGGCCAGATATTTTTTAGCAAGTTATGGCTTGGCGACCTTATGGCCGCGCTATTATTCGGGCTGTACCCCAAAACAACGCACGGCCATAACAACGCAAAGCCATAACTTGCTTCAAGATTTCCCAATTTTAACAAAATTAGTACTAAATGCTGCCTCTCATAGAGATAAAAAGATTGGTACCAAATTTGATTTGGCCAAAAATTTTCCAGCAAGTTATGGCTTTTCGTTGTTACGGTTGCGCGCTGTTTTGGGCTGTACCGATTTTCTTCGACAGCAGAAAAAAGACGATTCAGTATCCACCGATTCAGTGTTTCAGAGTTGGGACAATTCAAAGTATGCCGTTTCAGAGATGCTTGTTCATATTATGGAAAAAAGGGGATCAAGAAAATCAATTTTTTCTTGCGAACATTCTAAAAGGTGGCCGAGTCTTCACTATAGACTTTTCCTAGGTTTTTTCGGCATTAGAGTAAGGTTTTGGTATCAACTTTTTTCTTCAGGGAACAAAATTTTAATTAAAAAACGGGTCAAATTAACAAAATTTATCAAAAAAATAATTAAAAATCATTGTCCTCATCTCACTTATTAAATTTGTGGCTCTAAAGAGGGACATTTGGTTTAGATGTTGACGAAATTCTATCACCCATTTTGTTCCTTCCAAATATGCGTCATGCAGAATACTTCAACAGCAAACCGTTCAACAACTATTGCTCGAGCACGTCGTTGTAACCCATAGAAAAATGAATTTAAAAAATTTTCGACTTTAAGGAAACTAAAAATTTCAAAAATCAGAAAAACTAGAGATAGACCTTGATTTTTCCTTGACTCAAGGTCAGGAATCTGGTCAATACCCTCCCTTAAAGTTAAGGTTTTTTTTAATTTCCGACTAAAAACTAAAAGAATCTCACAATATGGAGTAGAAGGTTTGCCATTTGGAATTAACTTATAAAGTTTAATAAATTAAAAAAAAGTTTCAAAATTTTAAATTTTTATTAAAAATTATTTTTTTATTTAATAATTGTTGGTGTTTGTGCTGATTGTTGTGGGATTGGTCCCTAGGTTATTTAAATTCCCGCGATGATTTAGGTCCATTCAACTCAACATTATGGGCTCTTTCAATTTGATCACCTGATTTTTCGTTTCTCTGATTTCTGTATTCTGAAAGACTGAAGGAAAGAATGATCAAAATCAGCCTTCAGTTTTTGAAAGGCACCTTTCATTACCCTAAATGACATTTTTAGCATTAATTTAGAGATGGTGGCTGAAATTAAAATTATTTTTATTAACAAAAAATAAATCCGCAAGATTTCTACGCAAAGTCCAACAATAAACTATCGATTTTTGCGTGCGCCAGCCTGCTTTTTCCGTGTGCTTTGTTAATTTTCTCGCATTGATTTAAACATCAAACTGGAAAGTATGTATGTAGTTCTAAATATGTGCATATATTGTTTTTTTCTAGTTTTTAGGAAAAAAATTTTTTCTAAATATATGTATGTTAGAGCATATGTATGATCAACAATAAAATTTTCAAAGGTTGAATATAGTAAGGTAGTTAGTGCTCGACACGGGACGGAATTCCGACGGAAATACTTTTCTTCTTATAACTTTACTTTCATGATTAGTATTTAACAATTTAATTACTGCATAAAATTTCTAATTTTACAAATTAATTTCTTTAAATTTTTCTTTTTGTAATTAAAAAATAATAAAAAAAACCCATTAAAAACACACATTTTTGTGTGTCCTTCCTTTCTTCTCTTCCTCTTCAATTTAGAACAAGCACATTTAATGCTGAGTCACCATTTTTTCTTTTTCAATCACTTTTTTTTTATTTTAAAGTGATTTTGTCATCAACTAAATATAAGGGATAGATTTATTATTTTAAAGAGAAAGAAATTATTTTTAAATTAATTTTTAAATTTGCAATAATTTTATTTAAAAAATTTGAATATTTTTTTATTATTGAAAAAATAAAACATTTATCTTTCAGTTTAAAAATTTTTTTTGTTCGACAACTTTAACATGATAATCTACTTTATTATAAATAAAATGTAAATTAAAGACAATTACTAATTAACAACAATTTTTAAATAAAAAAATGAATTATTTATTTCAAAAAGGAGAAGATATTAAATTTAGAGAAATAGCACAACCTCCTATTGAGCCAATTTTAGTGAATGATAAACTTGTTGGCTCTTCTAGGAATGAACAAATAATTAATAAAAATATTGGTTTGAATAGTTTTTTTTAAATTGTTCAAATAATTTTAAAGTTCCATTTTCTTCTTCAAATTCTTCTTCTTCCCCTTCCACCCTTTCTGGTTCATTCTCTTTTGGTAATTTGGCTTATTTGCCGTCTGTTTCAACATCTACAGATTTTTATGTGCCATCAATTGCAAGTTCTTGCTCAATTGGCGCTTTAGACCAAATTAGATCAACAGAAATAACTAAACTTTTTGATTACCTCTTTCTTGGATCTCAAAAGGACGCTTTAGACAATCAACTTTTATTGAGACACGAAATAACTAGAGTAATAATTTTTATTTTCATAAGAAGCCTTTATGGCAATAAATAAATTATTTAGTATTTTTAATTTTTCTGTGAGAAGGAAAAATTATTCTAAAACTTTTATCACTTACAGAAAATTTTGTTTGTTTCATGAAATTTAGAACATATCTTCTAAAGTATTCTTTTAAATCCCTTGTATTAATTTATTGCTTTGCTAAAATTTATTAAAAATTTAGCTTTGTCAAAATATTTAACTTAAAATTCGTTTATTGGTACTACTCTGAGTAATTCTTTCATTTTTTCCTGTCTCTCTTTGCGACATCTGTTCTATTTTTATGGCAAACTATATACATTCGACTCGGATCTTCGGAGCCGAGCCAGAGTTAACTCACACGCACAATATCTGACCATTAGTTTTAACACGCAGAGTTGAGTACTTATCGCCATAGATAAAAGATTTTTAAAGTAGTGAAACAAATTGAAAATTTTGATCCACATGTTAAATCAAAATATTTGGTGATATTGGAAGAAAATAATTTTTCCTTTATTGTTTCTTATTTCAACAAAATTTAAAAATTAATTTTTCAAAACAAAAGGTTATCAATCTCAGTGAGAATTGTCCTCGTCCAACTTCACTTCCAGATGATCTCCAACATTTTCTTCGTATCCCGGTTAACGATACTTATTCAGCAAAACTTCTTCCACATTTCGATTCTGCCTACCAATTTATTGGTTATTTTAATTTAATTTAATTTAGAAAAAATTTTTATTTTTAGAAACTGCAAAACAAGAAGGGGAAAAAGTATTAATTCATTGTTTGGCAGGCATTTCTCGATCGCCAACAGTTGCCATTGCTTATGTTATGCGATCTAGAAAGATGACAAATGATGAGGCTTATAATTTTGTTAAGGTTATTTTCAAAATTGAAATGATTAGGAGTTATTTTTGGGGTTACCTGTCGACTTGTTTGTTCAATTTGTATAAAAAAATTTACAAAAATCTACAACCATTATTTGATTTTCAATCCTTTTTTACAATTTATTATGCCCAGAAATTTCTTTAACAAAAATTGAAAAAACAATTCTTTTTTAGTGTCGTCGACCAACAATTTCACCAAATTTTAACTTTCTTGGACAATTATTTGAGTATGAAAGGATACTTAGACAACAAAATATTTTACCTTTTAATTCCTCAATTTCTTCATCACCCCCAAAACTTTCTTCCCCACAAAATGAAGAATTAAATGAAATTAAGAAAAAATTAAAAGAAAATTTAAAAAATCCAAATCTTCAACACAAACCTTCACTTCCTCTCAATTCTTCTCTTCCACCAACAACTATGGCAAGACCTAAACATTTATTGACTTCCAAAGAAGATTTAAAAGTAACTTTTATGGATTACCGTAAATGCTCGAATAATTACCCTCTCTCAAATAATTACTCACTCTTTTTCCTTCTTTAATTGTAAAAATATTGAAAAAATCATTGTTAATTTTAATTATTGAAACATTATTCAATATCAAATAAGTAAATAGATTTCCTCCCTGATTTATTGAGATATATCCCAAATTTAGCAGATCCCCTCAATTAATTACCCTTCCAGCGAGAGGTCGAAACAAAATTACCCAGGGTAATTATACGAGCATTTACGGTAAGTGTTTATCCCCCTCATTCCTTCCCCTTTTTTCAGAATTTTCGACATTCCTGCCCTTCTTCTACTTCAATTTCATTTTTATTTAAATCTCCACTGCCAAATTCTCCAATTCCTTCACCTTCAAATGAATTTTCAAAATTAGATATATCCTTTTCCAATCCTTGTTTTGGTATTCAAAAAAAGGAAGAACAACAAAAAATACCTCCACCTCCTCTCCCTCAACCACCTCCTCCACATCCACCTCTTCCCTCTTCTTGTGATAATAAATTAAAACCAAAAATAATATCTTCAATAGAAAATCCAGTTTTTGATATTCCAATAAAAATAAAAACTTTATCAAAAATTAAAGAAGCAACAATTAATAGTAAAGAAGAAAAAAAGAAAACAAAAAAAGAACGTAAACAAATTAACAGTCACGAACCTTCTTTTGTTTCTTTTTTGGAAAAGGAAGAAAATTTGGAATTTTCTGGTTGGTAATTATTTAAATTTTAAAATGAGAATAAATATTCCTTTTAATTTTTCAATATGGGAACCCCGATTGACTGAATTTTTATAAGGAAAAAATAATAGAGAGGTGAATTCTGCTTTTTTAAGTAATCTGGATTTTAATCGGTTATCTTGTCTAAATCCACAACAATTTATTTTACTGGGAATTATCAGAGAAAATAATTAATTAAAATAAAAAATTTAAAAGGCTATAAAAATTCCCTTTCAACACGTGAATGTTTGGCAGATACTGAAGGTGATGAATTAATAAAATTTGGACCTTCGCCTGAGTTTGGAATAAATCCAATATCTTTTGATAAAATAAATGAAGAAGAAAATGAATTGTTAAATAAAAAGAAGAGAAAAGGAAAAATAATTAGTAAATCTTCTTTAAAGTCTACAAATTTAATTAAAGAAGCAAATAAACAACAACAACAAACAAAAATTAAATTATATAGGTAAATAAATATTTAATTTATTTTTAAATTCAAAATTTAATTTAATTTAAAGTAATCAATTTGCAAATGCCACAATTTCTTCAATTCAAAATTTATACAAAAAATTACCTCAACCCCCAACAACTTTATTAAATAATTATTTTAATGAAAATCAGAAATTCCAAACAACTTCCACAAATATTCCAAAATCCTCCTCTTCCTCTTCTTCTTGTTGTAATCACCGTTTATTTCCTCAATTTGGTTGTAGAAAAAGAAATAATTCTGATTTAATCCAACAACAAAAATGTATTCAATGCAGAAAATATTCTTTTAAAAAATCCCCACTTCCAACAATTAAAGATGATGAAAAATCGGATGAAGAAGTGGAAGAAGTAAAAAATGAAAAGAAGGAAAAAGAAGGAGAAGAAAATAAGGAAATAATATATTCAAAAATAATTTAAAATTATGGGGAAATTTGTAAATAAATTAATATTTTTAAATAATGATTTTAGTGTTAATGTGATTTAAAAGAAGGGATTTTGTTCCTGGACTAATTTGTTGAATATGGGATATCATTTGAAAGAGCTCGAAAAGTTCAGTCTCAAATTTCCCGACTTTCAGTGGCTCTCATACTCTTGCTCTCATTTAATCCTCCAAATCCCCTAATATCCCTCAATATTTCCTTATTTCCACAAAACGTATATCCTTCTTTAAAGTTCGGTTTCGGTTAACCAAGGAATTTGGTGAAACCAACAAGCCTACTCACAAGAAGTTAAAGACATAAAAAAAAGATTTCATTTAAGGCTTGAATTTCTCTGCTGTTTTTTTCTTCAATTTTATAATTAAGTTGTAATTTATTAAATATATAAATGATTAGAATATATTTAAAGATATTACTATATTACTTTTCTTACAATTCTTTCTTTTTGCTTTTATTTGCGGTAGTCACAGCTAGTAGCTAATCGTCAATTTTATTATCAGTTAATTGTCGGCAATTTCTTTTCTTTTAAAGTACTAAATAAATAAATAAAAATATATATTTATTCTCTCTCTCTATTTTTTATCGCAAACAATTTAATTCTTTTTATTTTCCCACAAATCTCTTTTTTGTGTTTTTTTGATCATTATTATTTGATTGACCTTTTTTAACAAATAAAACTTATAAATTGTGTTAAATAATTTTATTTTTTTTCAAAAAAAATATTTTTAATTTTGTGTTTTTTACACTCTTGAGTGATTTGCAACCAATTTGTCCGTTTTTTTCTAATTGCCGAAACGGCCATCAACTTTTTATACCGATAAATAATCTAAAAAACAATGCTTTACTAAATTGTTTTTGTCGGCACTTTTTGAAAAAAAGACATTTTTACGAGGAAGAAAGCTAGTAAAAAAATATTTTTTTAACTCACAACTTTTATTTTGGATTGGAGGAGGAGGGGGAGGGAGGGCTTTCTAAATTTTAATAAATTAAAAAAAAGAATTACTGTGGAAAAAAGAAAAGAGTATGTACTTTTCCGTTATGCCACCTCATCCTAAATTAATACTAAAAATGCCATTTATGGGTAAATAAAAGTCGTGAGTCGAACGGTACCAATAAGATTTCTGTTATTCTGGTGTCCTTCGACTCAGCTTGATGAGCTCTTTCGAATGAGCTTTCAATTGCATATTCGAATTTTTAGCCCCAAAGATGAGCTTACTCCAACCTATGGTTTTTGACCATTTCGAGCATCTCAGTCCACAAGCATCTGAAAAAAGAGTGGTATCGTTCGACTTATCACTTTTATTACCCTATATATGACATAGTATTAATTTATGGGAAGGTGGCATAACGGAAAAGTACCATGTTAAGAAATTGGCAATCCCGGAGAATCGTGGTCCCTGCGGAAAAAAATCTTAAAAATAAGAAAAAGGATTTTTCTAGGATAAAAAATTATGCTGATTACGAATCTGAACTCGGATTTTGAAAAAGTCGAATCCCGAACCCGAAATTCGAACATTTGACATTTTTGGAAAAATTTCGAATAATAAACAGAGCGCAAATTGGTCAATTAATATCTCATTCGAAAGAGCTCGACGAGCTGAGTCGAATGACATCAAAATCAGCTTGATTCTTCAAGTTTGAACAAAGTTATGACACAAAAAACTTAGGCTTACGTTGTTTGTTTTTTGTGGTATAACTTCGTCCGATCTTGTTCAATCACGATGATTTTGGTGTCAGTCGACTCAGCTTGAAGAGCTCTTTCGAATGAGGTATAATTTGCATATTCCAATTTTTTACCCAAAATCAGCTTGGTCCCCCCTATGGTTTTTCGATATTCGAGGACCTATATTCGGGTTCGGGATTCGAATTTTCAAAATCTGAGTTCAGATTCGTAATTAGCATATTTTTTACCCTAGAAAAATCCTTTTTCTTATTTTTAAGATTTTTTTCCTTAACTGATCAGAATTAGGGGGGGGGGGGGGTAAATGTACACATTCAAACAATGTTCAAAATTTTTAAACTTTTATTTTTCTCTCAAATAAATTTAAATATCCCTTTTCCCTTCCCCACCATCACAACAATTATCTCTTTCATTAATTATTTTATTTTTATCTTCTTTTAATTTTCTTTTATCTTTTTCTGCTTTTTGTCTCCTTTTTCTTCTTTTCTGATTAAATAATTTATTCCTCCAACAATTTATTCTTTCCTAAATTAAACAAAATAGGTATTTAATTTAAAAAAGGGAATTTTTTTTTAATTTTACAGAAATAATAATTTTACACAAAAAAATAATCTTAAAGTTTAAACTTTTTTATTTTAAAATAAAATTTCCACCTAATTCCCTCCCTCTCAAGCCTTTAATTATTTAATTACCTTTTCCTTTTCTTCTATATTCCATTCTTCTTTTTGTGATTTTTGTTGATCAATAATACAAAAATCGTTGTTGACTGTATTTATTATACAATTATTATTTTGTATTTCTTCACAATTAATAATTGAAGAAGACGAGGAAGAATATTTGTTTGTTGTTGGGAGGGGGAGGGGAGGGGGAAGTTGTGGAGGTTGTGGATATAAAGAAAAAGATGAAATTAAAGGTTGTTGGGGGGATGTTTGTGGAATTGAAGTAGAGGAATTAATTGATTGAAGAAGAAATGAAGGGGGAAGAGTAGAAGAAGAACAACAATTAAATAAAAATGAAGAAATATCTGAGGAAGAATTTGAAGATTGTGGGTGTTGTTGTTGGGAGTAGAGGGATGATAAATTAGAGGAAGAATTATTTGAAGAATATAATAAACGTTTAAATCTTTTTCTTCTTCTCAAAAAACTTCCATTATCAAACATATCTTCTGCGGCAGGGTCCAGTGCCCAATAATTTCCTTTTCCCGGATTTCCAGGTTCTCTCGGGCATTTAACAAAACAATCATTTAAACTTAAATTATGCCGAATAGAGTTTTGCCAGGCCGGGAATTTGTCTCGATAATATTCAAATTTGTCCATAATAAAATCACAAATTTGTGAAAGTGTAAGTCTTCTTTGTTTGGAATTAACTATTGCCATTGATATTAAAGCAATATAGGAGAATGGGGGCTTTTTTGAATTGTTGTTGTTGTTGTTGGTACTGTAAATTTAGTTGGGATTTAGATAACTTTTTGTTAGAGAGAGAAAAATAATTTTATAGAAATTTTTTTTAATAAAATTTACTACATATATTTATGGTAATTTAAATTTAAAATAAATTTTTGTAAATTAAAATATATTTCTATTTTTTCTCCCAAACCTACATACCTATTATTTTCTTCAAACATTTTTTCTTCCAAACTTTCAAATTCCTCCATTCCTTCTTCCTCTTCTTCATTATTTTCATCATTTTTCCATAATTTATCTTTTTCTTCAACAACATTATATTTTAAAGAATTAATTGAGGAAGTTGAAGGAATTTGAAGTAAATCTGTTGAAGAAGAAATTCTAAATTTAATTTAGGTAATTTAGAAAAAAAAATTTAAATTTACAGATTTAAACTTTTTTGTTTTTTTAAACGTTTATTATTTTGTTGTTTATCTTCATTATTATTATTTTCTTCTTCTAAATTTTTTGATTCTTTTGATGAAAGAATTGTTTCAATTCCAAAACGCATTTAATTAAGATTATTTTAAATATATACTGTAAATAAATAAATAATTAGCAATTGAGAGAAAGGTAAAAAAGAAAAGAAAAAGTAAATGACCTAAAAGTACAAAAAAGGAGTATATAAAAATATTATTTTTTAATTGGAATGTGTTGAATTGTTTTGTTTATTACTTGTTTTTTTAGGTTTTATTTTTGGATATATTATTTGGTGAATATATGGAGTACGCAATTTTACTAGTATATATTTTATATATTCCTTCAATATTCTGTATTTTAAAAAAAGAGGGGGAAATATAAAATAGAAAAATGAAAAGACTACAATTTTTAAAATTAAAAAAATATATTTAGTAGAATAATTAAACTTTACTCGTTCTGCCAACTCTCCTAAATTATTATTTCATATTTAGGGTAATAAAGGGTGTCTATCACAAATCTGAGGGCTGATTTTAAACACCCCTTCTTTCAGTTTCAGAATAAAGAAATTTGAGAAACGAAAAATCAAGTTATCAAATTGAAAGAGCCCAAAATGTTGAGTTGAATGGACCCAAATAATTGCGATTGGATAATTCTTGGTTAAGTTATCGAATTAAAAAAAATGATTTTAGATTTACAATTATCAGCCAATCTGTGATCAGACTTTCCTTATATTTAATGTTTTGGATTAATTTAGGGGTTAAAAGAAGAATTACCAAATAATTTATTTAATAATTTTATTTATTACAATTAAAAATTTTAATTTAAAAATATCTGATTCTTATAAAAATTTTGTTTATCAAAAATTTATGCAAAATTAAAAAAATGATTTTCCCAAATTTAAATATTTACAATTTATTTTTAAATATCCTTTTTTTATTTTTTTTAAGAAATAAAAACAAAAAGGTGGAGCTTTTAATATATAAAATAAATTATAAAAGAAAAATAAACAGAAGGGAAAAGGAGGGAAGGGAGGAGTTATTTATAATGATTGGATAATAAGCTAAAGAAAATAAAAATTAATAAAAATATTTTGATTGATATAATCATGTGTTGTTGTTATTGAAATTGGGGAAAAAAATATAAAAATAAATTGTTTAAATTTTTAATTAAATTTAAAAATTAAAAAAATATTAATATAAATATTGCTGTAATCGTACAAAAAAATAATTTTAGTTGAAAATTAGCTAGAAATTAATTTTAATTCCTCCACAGATTTAGATTGGAGACTAGCTTGATATTATTTTGTAATTTTCGAATCCTTTTCTCGTGTATTTTTAAAAGACCGAGAAGCCTAACACCAATTACCGCCAAACCCTAATTTAAAGAAAAAGGCCAACAAAAAATCCAAATTAGATAAACAAAAAAAGAAAAAGATTAATTAATTGTGTAGATTTATGTCAAACAAATAATTTCTTTTCTAAAATAATTAATTAGTCATTTGAGTTTTATTTATAAAAATATTTTGATTAAAAGAAATTAATTTAGTATATTTATTTAATCACAGTTGTTGTCTTTAAAAAAGGGAAATTATTTTTATCTTCAAAATTATTAACTATTGGGGCTAATTAAAAAGTTATTTTTGGATGTTTTGAATTTTTAATTAAAATACCGTGTTTCCTAAAATAAAGCTCTACCCCAAATTAGAGCCCCACTTTGGAGGATAGTCGAAAAATAGAGCCACATTGGGCTTTATTTTAGGAAATACGGTAGTTAGGGAATAGAAAAAATAATTTAGAAGAAATTTAAATATTTACAGTAGAAAAAGGAAAAAAGATGTAAATCTTTTTTTTGTTTATTTATAAAGAAAAAAAAGATAATAATAAATAAATAAAATAATATTCCTTTTATTGGATAGAAGGGAATAAATATTTGGTTGAATGAATTAAAAAAATAAAAGATAACATCTGCGCTTTTATAAAATAAATTCACGCAAAATTGGTATTTTTATTTAAATATTTAAGTGTTTGAAGTAAATTTTAATTAAATAAAAGGAAAAAAGAAAAAATTAATTTTAAAAATTTAAATTAATTAAACATTATTTTACATAAAAAATATTTTTTTCGTTTAAATTCTCAAAAAAATAAATTTATAACACAAAAAGAAAACATTTTTATGTTTTTCTGTTTAATGGTATAGACAAGAAGCAATAAAAGAAAATAAATAAATATTATTTTTAAAGGAAAAAAAGCTGTCACCAAAATAAAAAAATTAAAAGAATTACTGTAAAAGGAGAAGACTAAATTGAGACCAATATTTCTTCTTTTGGCCAACTTAAAATTTCGAAAATTTAAAACATTTTTTAGAATTTTAAAAATCTTTTTGTTAATCCAAAATATTTATTAGAAATAAATAAAATAAATAATAAATATTCTCTTTTTTTAATTAAAAAGATATTTCTTTGGATTTCCTTGGGATTAAATGTTGGTCTCGCTTTTTTAAACAATTCTCAGAAAATTTATTAAACTAAATGAACAAAAAGTTTAACTAAAATGGTAACTCAAAAGTTTTTTGATATTAAAGATTTTTGATATAGTGTGAAATTTTAAAAATTTGAGATCGGACCCCTGCTTTAAACCTTTAAACCAACGTTTTTAATATTTTTATGCTTTGATTTGTATAATTGTCAGCGGTATATTGGGCAGCTGCGAAAACTTGTAATACTTAGTTTTTAGGAATAACGCCCCTACTGTATAAAATTTAAAAAATAAAATAAATACATATTTTAATCAAAATAACGAATAATGAGGAAAGAATTAAAATATTTTAATTAATTAATTAATTAAATATTATTTTAAATATGTATTAACAAAAGACCTTTAAGTTTTCTAAAATCTTTACAAAAAAAGCTCCGCCCATTTTATATTCTCTTTCTCTCTTTCCTGTACATATTTGTCAGTTCCGCCTTTTTTTATTTAAGTATATTTTTTTATTTAATTCTTTTAATTTTTCAACATTTTCCAATATAAATTCAATTTATTTCTATCTATTATTTACCATATTTTCTCTAAAATACCCCCCCCCCCCTCCAATTCCCCTTTAGTGGATAGGAGTGGGTATGTTAGAAAGTCTTTACTGTTAGGGGTTTTTTGAAAATGATTTTCCAATTCAGAACACCAAATCCATAATTTAAACCAAAATAAAATTTTAAAAAAGAACAGACAAGAATGTTCATAATTTTTTAAGTTTGGATTGTTGCCTGAGGAGAAGAGGGAGGGAAGGGAGATATTCTGAAACAACATCCCTCTATTGTTTATTCTTTAAAAATATTTTAAAAAATAATTTAAATAAAAATATCAATTTTAACTATTCTCCCTCATCCTCCTCCTCTCTCTCCTTCCCTCCTCACCCCTCCCAAAATTATGCTTATCTAAATACATAAGAAAGTGCCAATTTTATTACTTGATTTTTGCCGCCTTTTTTAAGAGGACGAAATTGGTCATTGGGGATTACGCGATTAGAAGATATTTTCTTTTTGATTTAAAAAAGGGAAAGTTGTTGAGCCTCTCAAGTTTTTTATGCCGAAATAAAAAAATAAAAAAAGAATCTCGGTGCGCAACTTTTGTTTTTGATTATTATTTTGTTAATAAAAAATACTTCAAAAGGAACTAGTATATCGACCTTGATTTTTTAAGTATTTTTTGGCAAAGCAATTTCCGTTCCCCTTACTATTAGATTAGTAATAATTAAGAAAAAATTATTTTTTACTTTTTAACTCCTTATTTTATTTTTAAAAATTAATTCAAATTTTTTTATTTAGTAAGGGAATGGCTTTAAAGGAATTGGAAAAATATTTTTATTTTTTTTTGAAAAATAAAATAAAAATAATTAAATTTAAAAAATTTAGATAAATTTTATATAAATTTTAATTATTTTTTCCTATTTAGAAGAAATATATTACAAAACAAAAAAACTCCATAGGGGGTCTACTTAAAGACTGACATTTTTTGTGTTTATTTTTATGTCAAAGTTTATTAGACCGGAAATATATTTAAATATTTTAACACTTTTATGACAGTAAATAAAAATAAAAATAATCTTTCAAATAAATCTCTGAACATTTCTCTCTCTTTTTTTCTTAAAACTTTCGGCATTCTCTCCCCCCCCCCCCCTCTTTTTACTAATACAGTAAAATAAAAAAATAAAGGAGAAAGAAACACTTCAGAAAAAGGTAAAAGAACATTTTCTTCTTTATGGCCTTGGCAATTAGGGGATTAACAATTAATGAAGAAAATATATTTTTAAAAAAGATGAAGAAAATTGTTTTTCAAAAAAATAAATTTATTTATTTAAAATTACAAAAAGAAAATTAGAAAACTTGACAGAAATTAAAAAATAAATTTATTTTTATTTTAAATTTATAGTGAAGGAATTAAAAGTTTTTTTTTATCTCATAATTTCACAATATTTCCATAAATTATTGAAAGAAATTTTGACAGGTAAAGTCTTCAAAATATAGACAAGATATAAAATTTATGTGTGCGTTTATAATTAGTTAATAAACTTTACAGTAAAATAATTAAAAGAAAATTAAAACTTTTTTTAAATTCAAAAAATACCAACTTAAATTTTTAAATAAATTCACAAATTAGAGCCTAGAAATTTTTAATTTATGAAAATATTAATTAATATTTTTTGGTAATTATTTACTAAAATATTTATTTAATTCAAAATTTGAAAATAATATTAATTTATTTTGACAATATTTGAATGGAAATATTTATATAAATAAATAAACGAATAAATAAGAAATATTCCAGCTGCCTACTTTTTGAATTTTATTTAAAAAAACATTTTTAGGAAATTAAATGATAAACAAATATTTTTAAAATAAATGTAATGAAATTTGGAAACAAGTAAAAAAAGATTTTTAGCTTTCCTATATCTTTTGTTTTGCTACATAGCTTTGAATGATATAAAATTTTTCAAGAATTATGGGTGAATGAATGACTTACTCGTCACATTGTTAACGACAAATTATCTTTTAAATCCAAAGGTTTAGGCTTTATTTGAACATTTTGGGCACCAATTTGACAACGCACTTTATTTACTACTAAGTAGGTGTGACCCAACTACGCATTAGTCTTTCAGCCCCTAGATCTGTTTTAAGCCATTGTACTTACAAATGTCATGGAATATCCATCTTGCGCGTATCTTAATTTAAAGAAATTTGGATCGACAGACGTAAAGGCGTCACAAATAAATATTTATACTATTCGAATTATTATTATCCCAATCCATCTTCTAATTTTTCTCATTTTCCCATAAACAAAAGAAAAAAAAATAAAAGTTTTTGGAAAAAATATATGTGCTTGGCCAATTTGTCAGCGGCAGTCTTAGTGTCGCCATTCACCTAAAAAACCTAGCACGAACAGACCAAAAGGAAAAGGCCCTGATTTAAACAAAGACCTATATTAATATATAGCGGTGATCGATGGGATTTAATGTAAAGAAAAGGGGAGATATTGAACGGGCAAACAGGCAACAGATATTAAAAAGACAAAGTTTAACAAAGAAAGAAGGCGAAAATTCAGCTGTTGAAGGGGATTTTTAATTTAGAAAATTTAAAATTACTAAAATGGGATATTTAAAAATAAAAGAGACCTGTTAAATGTTATGCCTCCTGCATAGCTTTAGGAATTAAATAACTATCCACTTTATATTTTAAAAAATACTTTGTTTAAAGTTAATTCGACTTCTCAAAATCATTAAAACATAATAAATACTAACATTAAATAAATCTTATCTCTCAAAAAGTAAATTAACCAATAATTTGCTACTTAAACTTAAAAACCCCAAACAAGAATTAATTGGGGGTAATAAAAATATTATTTTATTTTGTGCCATTTTTATTACTTTTTGAATAAATAAATGTAAATATTTATAGTTTTGTCAATTACCAATAAGAAAAAGGGGAAGTTGTTGAAAAAAGAAAATTTTAAACAAAAATTAAATTACTTTACTATAAATTTCAAATGAAATTTGATTCAAAATACAAACACACAAGAGAATATTATTATTGAAAAGAAAAAGGTAAATTGTATAATAAAAATCTTTAAAGGTGTTATCGCCATGAAAATGTCTGATTTTGAAAATAAATCTGTTGTTGTTGTTTTTGTTGTTGTTGGGGTATGATTTTTTGTTGTTGTGGTTGTTGATATTTTGTTTGTGAATATATAACATTAATTGGAATATTTTGTTCTCCCATTTCAATTCTTCTATTTCGCATTTTTCTACTTAATTCAGCTTTCCAGTAATCAGCAATTTCATGTAATTTTAATTCAACACCATCAATCCTTCAAAAAATATTTTTAAAAATTAAATAAAAAATATTAAAAAAAACCATCTTTCAGTTGTATTTTTAATTCTTGTTCTATTCCTTTTTTGTTGAGAGTTAACAATCATTCGATTCTCGTCTTCTACACCATCTCCTGCATAAATTGATGGACGTTTTCGCTTCCGTTTCTTCGAAGCTTTTGAATTCATAAAATCTGTGTCACCGTTAGTAAGAGCAACATTTCCATTTTCTGCAGGGCTATCATCATCTTCAATCGAATATTGATCAACTCTTATTTTGTACTGAAAAACAAATTTTAAAATTTAATTGAACAAGAATTAAACAACCAACCTGCTCGTAATATCCCTCTGGAGGATGTTCCAAATGACCAATAACTATTCGAACCTCATCATAATCAGTTAAATGTGTCCAAACACGCGTATCCTTTAAATGTATTTATTTTTACTTAATTTATTTAGAAATTAAAAAACAGGATCATCGGGATCAGAGGGCCACATATCCATCCAACGAATTGAAGCATAAATTTGACGAAAGCGAAGGGCTAAGGCATGAAGCGAAGATGCGCTGCTTGTAAGGTAACGCCAACAGTGATCGAATGCAGGCCGTGGACACAAATAAGGCCATGCCTGAGGATTGGCTTTTGCAGATGGTAGAAAGCCTGGAGCCAACGTTTTAGCATTTAAACCTCCTTGACGAGCTAAACGACGCATACACCTGAAATTAAAAAAAAATAATTTATATTTTGAAAAGAAAATCTGTGCTGTATATCGAAATGCAGACTTTTAATGAATTCTTATCAGTTTTCCCACACCTATTTTAAGAAAACTATCAACACTTTTATTCACCGTTCGTTTTAATTGCTTAATTAAAATTAAGTTCTAATTGTTATTTAAAGGAGTAAAAATATATAAATTATAGTTAATTAAAGGAAAGTGCCTTGTATAGAAACTAACCAATTTGGAAGAATGAGAATGCTTTCCTTTGTTCTTCCATTATTGCACGATTTACGTTTAAAATTATAAGGCTTAGGATAAGGAAAAGTATTTGTTTCAGATTGCGTCGAATGTGGAGATAATTCTCGTTTAATAGATGGAGGTTTTGCTCTTGCAGGTCGTTCAGAAGTAAAAACATCTAACGACAAAGAAAAATATTAATTTGAAAAAAATTTTACTCGGCAGATTTCGCACACAGCTTGGATTGTAACAAGGTAATAAAATGGATGAGTCAATTAAAGAAAACCCGTTTCTTGGTTTCTTGATAGAAACAAAAGCAGCTCGGCAAGAAAATGAAAAACAACAATGACCATTGACATTCGAAAGTTTGGCTAACTCTTCTTTTGTTCTCCAAATTAGTAGACGGTTAGCAATCTGATAAAGATGAGCAGCTTTTAGAGAAGCAACAGATTTTGAAGGTTTCTGAAATAATTTAATTTTGTCAGGAATTTCTCAAAGAAAAATGTAAGAAAAACAAATCACCTCATATGGATTTGGTTTCTCAGGACATGGGACAAAACGTCGTGTCATTAATGAAGAAACCCAAAGCCATCCACCTGACAGAAAGTATAATTTTGAAATAATTTAACACAAACCTAATGATCCCTGACCATTTACTCGGAACTGTTCATTTCCATCTCTTAGCCTCCACAAGTTATGTCTAGGTAGATTAAAACCATAAAGGGAATATTTGACCCAAACAATCCCAGTTGATTCAGATTCATCAGCATTAGCAAGTAGCTAAAAATGAAATTTTATTTGAAAAAACATGTGGGATTTTTTTAAAATTTCGAACAGAAAATTTAAATAAATTCTATACCTTTTCTTCTTTCCTTCTTAACGATTCAAATTTTTGTCGCTTTTCTCTATCCTAAAATATAATAAATTACTGAAGTAAAAATACTTTTAAATTAACCTCAACAGTAACTCGATTAAACCTGGTCAAAGCTAATCCTGCCCACCAAATACTTGAAAATAAAATTTAAAAAATTATAATATTAAAAATGCTTACTTTAAAAACACAGGTTTGCGAACAACTCGTTCAAAGAGAAGCAACAAATAGCGTAAAGTATTAAAGTTAGCACCTTCTCGTAATAGTTGCTGCATAAAACGTTCCTTTTCATTTTCAAGAATCCAATTTTGATGCATTAATGTATCAGGAATACGTTCAATCATGCGACGAATGCTAAGTTGAATACATTTAAGAACATCTGCTTCTGTTCCAAATGGGGAAGCTCCCCTATGGTTGGGCCACTTAAAATACTAAACTTTTAACGAAGAAAAAGATAAAAACAAACATTGAATTCTCCATCATCAGTTAAGCAGAAACGAGAATTTAAATAACGCTTTTTATCACGTTCTTTTGCACGTAAATAAGGAGATCTAGCCAAATCATTTACAGAAAATTGATTGACATAATTTCTGTGTCCAGCATCAGAAAATCCCAGACGAATTCCTCTACGCATTCGTAGTTCTAAATCTGAGGAAAGTGAATAAAATGAGCCATAATTGTTTGATTGAAGAGAATCATTCCATACTTTATGATTAAAAATTAGCTGATCTTCTAAAGAGTTTTAATTAAAAATACAAAATTTTAACAGAAATTATCTAACCATTCAATTTTCCACTCCAATAACAAGCTTCTAATCTACCATGACGAATACAAAGAAGATTGCGGATTATCTGCATTAAGCTGGGCTTTTCCACACTATCAGAATTATTATCAGTAATTTGCTCTGATTTATTGTCAGCTTCAATTTGAGCTTCAGTCAAGATTTTAGCCATTCGATGGGAATTATCGACCTAAATTTTATTCAAAAGGTCAATTTATTAAATAAAACCTGTAAATATGCATCAACAACTGGCTTGGGCGATTTGGTTTGCAATAACCTACGACGTTCTTCTGTCAGTTCAAGGGTAATATGCATTTGAACAGCAATGTGAGGCAAACATTCGCAAAGCGTTTGACATAACCTCTTTTCATAATAATTCGGGTCAAGAACAGCACAAAGATCAAAAAGTTGAGGCAAAGTTGAGTAATAATAAATTTCATTAATAAATGGATCATGACTGAAAACATTTAATTACTACTGTTTATTAGCTTGTAAACTAACATAAAAATCCGTCTAACAAGGAACCAATAAATACGACCTTTTCTATCATAACCAAGTGGCAACTTCCTTAGAGTAGTTTGACCAGGTAAGATACAATCAGTTGAACCAGTTAACTGAAAATGTTAAAACCAATTCTAAAAAGCTTTAATAATTAGTAGAGGATAAAATTTAAAAAATATATTGATAAAAATATTTAAATGTAATTATAATATTTTAATACAAACTTGGTGTTTAATACAAACAGAGCAAAGCCATTTCTCGTTTAACTCAGGCGGACCAAAAGAAGATTCTGTACAATTAAAATGATAAATTGCATCACAGCCAGAACATTCTATTGAGGTTTGTTGTGATTCGTGAGAGCCAATACAAGATTTTGCACAATAACGACAATGTTGGTCATGCTAAAAATATTAGAAAATAAACTTTCTAAAATTTTTAAAATAAAACCTTAATTTTTCCTTCATCGCGAACTAATTGTTTGAAAATGGTTGTCTCAAAAAACCGATCACACATCCATTTGAGAACGACTAAACGTTTATCCATAGCTACAAATGGATATTTTCCCTCTTCCAAAATTTTTAAGACTTCTGCTGGAAAATTTGGATCACTTTCCAAATACAATCTCAAAACCTATTTAAAATAAAAATATTTTTTAATAATTAAAGTATTTACTTCGGCATAGTTCATATGGTCGAGTAATTGCAGTACAACGTTAAAAGAGAGATTTGTATCAAAAACAGAAAATGTAGTTTTTTCTTGTTCCTCTTCAGAGAAAAATAAACGCAAAAACGCAATATGAATTTCTCCAAGAAGTTTAGACTTTAAATTGAAAACAAAATTTGTAGAATATATAAGAACAACTAACTTGACTTTGGTTTCGCAAAGCGCAACAAAAATCTTCAAAAAGAAAAGGAGAAAGCTGAATGGTGGAGCCAAAATTATGAATTACTTCGTAAACCTAAAGATATCAATCAAATAAGCATATAACCAGATAGATAACCTCTAAAGTATGTAAAATATGATCACTATCAATGAGAAGGTCCATGCTGGCTCCAGGCAATTCTAATGCAGGGATTCTTTCAGGTGGAATTTCCAACCACGGACAAAACATATCAGGTGGAGTTTGTGAGCAAGTAGCTTCTGTCCCCTCTTGTGTAGCAGAATCAACATCAGAAACAGTTGATATATTATCCTCACTGACCCCGTTAACATCAGCCTCTAAAATATGAAAATAAATAAAATAAGGAAAATTACCGGAGTAAGCAACAGAACTCTCATCATCAGGTTCAGAAGCTGAGAAAGATGCACGATTCCATCCTTTCGGTTGATCCAATTCATCATCACTCTCTTCCCACGGATTTCTCTTTCGTCCCCTATTCAAAAGATTTTTTGGAAAATAAAAAACTAAATAAAACAAACCCATCGATCTGTTTTAAATCACGTCTTCGCGAGGTTATCCGGCCGTCTTTTTTAGAACTAGTAATCGACACTAAGGATTTTGATGAAGATCTTTTTCCTCTTCTTTCTTTAACAACATTTAGTCCCTTTTTAACACCTCGCAAGTTTCTGTTTGGCGTAATATCTTTACTTCGAATATTTGCAAGCGATTCAGTTTGTTGACGATTGGGATATTTTGTCGCACGTCTTGTAGTTACAGGCATTAAAAAATTAGAATCTTTTTCGAATTATTTCAACTTTAATTAAAATTTTTAACATTTGAGTAAATAAATTTTTTTATATTTAAAATATGCCAGAAAATATAAAAATTTTAAAAACAATACTCAATAAATATTTGATGATTAGAAACAACATAAATTCCAACAAACAAATGCTTTAATAAACGTGTAGGTACAAAATATCTCAATATAAAAATATCGTCAGAGCAAAAAAGTTAAAATATCGTTTCATAAAAATATCGTTACGGCTAAAATGGGCTAAAATGTCGTTTTCTATAATCTGATTTCGCAACAGAATTCTATCCTTAATAGTAGATTTTACCTCTTAAATTTGAAATTTACCCTTAATGGATTGCGAGAAAAATCAGCAATTTAAAAAAACTCAAAATAGACTTACAAATTAATGGTGGCCCTTTTAATTTTAAAAAGCGATGTTTTGACCAAATTTACCCGTGCCGATATTTTCATGAAACGATATTTTAATAAACGATGTTTTGTACCGAGCGTTTAACAAAAGATAATAAAACAGACGGTGATACAAAGAAATAAAAAGCAAAATGACATAAATTTGGCGAAAATTCAAAATTTGATTAATTTATTTGTTAGGATATCGCTTGATTATTTGAAAAGTGAAACGAAGAAACAATTTAGAAAATGAATACATAACACACCAAAATTTCCATCAAAGCTCTCTTAATAATAAATCTGTCCCTAATTAATATATATTTTCCTTTTAATTTAAATTCTTGTTTCCTAAATATTCACATAAAAATATTTTTTTTTCCACAAAGCGCAAGATTAGAGACAATTTTTCGGGATAAACAAAAGAATCTTTTTCAAATAAATTGATTTCTTTTTTTTTCATCCTTCTATTGACCAATCAAATCAACAAAAACAATTTAATTGTTGTAAACAAATAAATATATTTCGAGAAAAGACGAAGAATGACTAATAAATAAATAAATGTAAGTATAAGACAATGAAATGAATAAAAAAATATTTATTTATTTATTTACTCGAGTCCGAAACATTTAAGTGTTTATTTTTAATTTTTAAATATTTTTGTATTTTCCCTTTACAATCAAAAATTAAATTTTTTGGTCATTTTATACTTTTATATTTTGTTTTTATTTTTAAATGATGATTGGAATATATATTTAGTAATTAAATATTTATTGATATATAATTGACGTAATTAAACTAGTTTTTCTTTTTTTTTGTTTGTTATTTTAATTTCCGAAATTGTGAAATAATTAAAAATAAATAAAATTTTTAAAAAAGAACTCTAAGAAGAGGATTGCCAATTAAATTTTTTTTAATTTAAATTTTTATTTATAAAATATCAAGGGTGCAGTAAATTTTTTTATTTTAGAATTAACTATTTAGTATCTACCTTCCCCCCCCCCCCCCCTCTCCTTCTATTTTTAATCAAAAATGTTTGATTTCATTAAACAAAAAAGACTTTATTTTTAAATTTTTTATCTAACAAAATTAAAAATAAAATCTAAATAATTTCCATTTAATAATTCCAACCAACACTCTAGGAGAGAACAATTTTAAAAATAATTTATTTATTTAAAAAATTGAGCAAAACACCGTGCGGCCATAACGGCCCAAAGCCATAACTTGCTGGAAAATGTTTGGCCCTTGCCAATTTTGGGAGAGGAATTGTTTGATACTAAATCTGATAGGATTAAGAAATCTTAAATAAGTTATGGCTTTGCGTGTTATCGCCGCTCTCAGTTTTGGGCGTGCCTCCTCCAGACGGTATTTTTGTCAGACGGTGTTATGTCCCTCGCCTATAAATACTTCGAAAACGAAAATTTAATAATTTTACTATGTTCATAACTAAATATATTTATTTATTTGGACCAATCATCCATTCACTAATCACCCCCCCCCCCCCTCCACTCTTCCCTTTTTTTCTCTCTCAATAATTTTGTCCTCAATTCAATTGAGTGTAAATCCTTTTTAGACGTAAATATATCGAGGGAAAACAAACACAAAAAAATTTTGCCGTCCTTTTCGTTTATTCAAAAAAGAAAAAAATTTTTTTTGTTGGCACATAAAATAGCCTTTCCTTCCTTCCCCAATTTTAAAAAATAAATAGAGCAACAACAAAAACTATTATTTATTTATTTGTTAATGCCCAATTGACGCAAAAAGACTAAATAAAACTGTTCAGTTAAATGTCTATATACTTTATAATTTATTTAAATTTTTTGGGAGGAAATTTTTGTTAATTTTAATTTTATCCAATATTTTTATTTTTTAAAAAATATTTTATATAAAATTTTTTAATTTATTTTTTTAAATTTCTTTAAATTAAAAAAAAAAAATCTTTAATTTATTTGACAAAAATTAAAAATACTTTGGTATATTTCATTCAAAAATTAATTTTTGTTTTTGTTTGCCATTTTATCGATATAATTTCAAATAATTTTCTGATAATTAATATTAATTAAATTTTATTTAAATAAAATTGAAATATTAAAATTGAAATCTTAATTTATATTTTTTAAAGAATTCGTGTATATTTTTTGAAAATTTCTAAAAAAATTTTTTGTTAATCTTGTTTCATTTAAAAAATTTTGAGCAGCCCCCTTCTCCTATTCCATCGATATTTTATTACCTTTAGATCCCTGTTAATCCCCCAAATACATACCCTCTTAATCACCTCTAACCCCTCGTACATATTTTAATTTACAGTATCTCTACTTTAATGTTTAGACAACAGTATCCATACTTAACTAAGTCTCTAAAACTGCCCCCAGTCAATGACTAACAAAAATCCCGAAATCGGGAATTCCCTATGTTTTTTGTCGGCAGGATCCCTAGTACATACTACTCGATTATCTCTCTACACATTTTTTTTATTTTCTTTACTTTTTAAATGAATACCAAAAAGGTTATTGAAAATTTTTTGGATTATCAAAAGATCTCAACCCGAAAATAATAAACACAAAAAAATCCTCAGATAATTCCTGGGGGTTTACAATATTTTTATTATTTTTTAAATTAAATTTTAATTTCTCTGAACTCTAAAATAATTTCTTTTTCTTTTATAAACGTCATTAAAACTACATTTTTATCATAAGAAACTGTTCTAATTTAGTATTAATTTCTTTTCTTTTTTTTGCAAAAATTAAATTTATTTTAAAACCTAAATTAATTAATTTATTAAAATGATTTTATTTTTTAAGAATTTAATAAAATTTTAATTTTTAAATTAATTTTTAAAAATATTCTTAATTATTTGTCAATCAAAATTAGTAAAGTTTAACAACCTCCTCCCCTCTCCCCTCAATCAGAGACGGCCAAATTGTTTTTTAAATTTATTCTTCGATTCGTGTCTAGCCCCAATCTTCAGGAGCGGGTTTAAGGGTTAATTATAAAATTTTCGAAAAATTTTTTTACATTTTTAGGTAATACATTTCCATGCTTTGTTTGTGGTAAAAATATAATTAAATAAAGATATTTTTTGTTCAACAATTTTTTTTAATTTTCCTTCCCTTTTTCGTTTGTCAAATAAAATATTTTTTAAAATATATTTAATGTCCAGATAATAAAGAGTGATAAAAATATATATTAAAATAAATTGTTAATCAATATAGATTTGTATTTATATATGTGAATAAATTGTGTGTGTGTGTGTGTGTGTGTGTGAATCGTGATAGGGCAAAACACCGTCTGACAAAAACACTGTCCACACATTAGAGCAAAAACTACTATTAATTTCACTTAAAATAAATAAATTTTAAAATAAAATTTTGTAAAGGAATTAAAGTACAAACCAAAATAAACCAGAAGGTCTAAATGCATAATATTGATAATATTGACATAACTCAGGTTTATTATCTTTAAAAGTGGACAGTCTTTCTTTACTCTAATTTCCAGACGGCATTTTTGTCAGACGGTGTTTTGCCCCTACCATGTGAATAACGGGGCGGCCATGGAAACCCTTTTAAATCTTTTTTTCTACCCACACATACATGAATATGTTCGCGCGACTTTTATAGACTTACTTCGTTGGTTCAATTATAAGAGAGTATGTATATTTTAAGAGAATAAAAAAATATTTTTTTTCTTCTAAAAAAAATTAAATATACAACAAAATATATTGGGGGGAGAAATGCATGTGCGCAGGTTGTGTGAATGAAGGAAGCCTTTTTTTATTTCCCTTCCCATTTCTTCTACATATTCTTTTTTTACCTTCCCCCCCCCCCCTAACTGTAATTATTGACTATATGTATATTTTAATTATTGAATTTATTTTAAAAATAATTTTCAAAAAAAAAATATTTTTGTTCTCCTTTTGTTTTTTTCAAATTAGTAGATATGCCAATTTGTTAATTGGTCATTCTAAAAGGGTCACATTTTTTCATAATTTTTAATTAAATTTGCCTAATTTTTGGAATGATATTCGAATGTTTTA